CAGGAAGGCACTGATAAAATTAGGTGTACTTGTTAGTTCAGCGTAGGATACTTGCAGTGCATGCATTAGCTGCTCTAATGTGCTGGTAATTATGAAGTCCAAATTACAGATATGTAGGCCAGCATCATTTCAGATGGTGTAAATGAAGTTAGAACTGAAAGCCCATCATGGTTCCATGCTTTGCAAATATGGTGGCTGTTAGAGCAGCAGTGTGAGCCGCCGCACAGCTGTGAAAAGGGGCTGGTTTGAGCTGGATCTTCCAAATAAATGTAACGTGTTTCAACTCTCTGGTCATCCTGAGCAGCTTTGTAGTTTGCTTTGTGCACACAACTCAGTCTATCAGGTTCAGTTTACTGAAAAGATGTGAGAGGGAGGCGTAGGAGAATTACCTGCCTGTGATGTGAGATTTAATCCGATTGGAGCTGAGTGTCCCCACTGCGGTCTGAGGCTGAGCTCTGCCTGCCCAGGAGGAGCCAGGCCAAGCCTGCAGTCCTGGACATCCCTCAGCCAAGGGGACTTCCTCAGAGGCTGTGTCTAGCTTTTTTCCCTTTTAATATGCAAGCTGACTCTAATAACTTATGTCTTTTATGCATGTCTTCTTAAATTACATGGTGGTGTGGTTTAAGGCAGCCCCACACAGCCTCTCACTCCCCTCCTGTGGAATGGATGAGGGAATCAGAAGTGTAAAAGTGGGAAAACTTTCAGGTCAGGGTAAAAACAGCTTAATAGGTAAAACAAAGCAAAAGAGGAATTATTCACCAGCACCCCTGGGCAGGCAGGTGCTCAGCCATCTCCAGGACAGCAGGGATCTCTCATGGTTAATGGGGAGAGTTGGTAAAGTGTGGAAAATGGGAGAGGAAGCAAAGGGCATTACCAGAGCGGGGTGATGGTTGCTGGTGTTGAAGAATCCATTACCTGGCATGGCAGGAGCCAGCAGGTAGCGAGCTGGACCTCAGGAGGAGGGAGGTATTAGAGCTCTAGGCCATGTTTCCTTCAGCTCACCATTTCACAGCCTCTGTGTCTGTGGTTTACTTTTTGCTTCCCTCCTGTTTTGGGGGACCACCATGAGCTAATTAAGCTGTTCGTGTGACTGAACTGGATTAATGAAATGTTAATCTTTGTTAACCCTTTCTTTAGTCTCTATTTGTTTATTTTTAATCCATGTTGTTTCACTGATCCTGTTTTGACTGGGATGCCACACGGGGTGGTTTTTTAACAATGACAAAGAAATTCTGAGATGTTCTGTTTCACTGTCATCCCCCTGCTGGGTACAGTGCCAGGGCTGCACTAAACTGGTGCTTGTGGATTTGTACTGTGCCTGGTTAAATTATATTTCTCTATGCTTTCATGATGTTGTTTACATTGCAAAATGCAGTGGGATTCTTACTGTTTTGATGGTTTGATGTTGGCCTGAAACTTCCTGAATTATTTCTGGGTTTTTATGGATTTCATGTGTTGTTTGATGTTTCTAGACAAGTAATCTTACAGTTGTAGTTGTTTGATCATTGATTCTGATTTAAATCCTAAATATTTGCAACTTTGCAGTCCGTAGGATGGTTTGCATCTTGATTTTTGTAGAGCTTTTCCTCTGATATAACAAAGACTTGAGTGGTAAATATGTACGTGAAGAACATCAGTGGTGTTTGAAAGACCTCTTTAGTCTTCAGCAGGCAATAATGTTCCATTAAAAAAACCCCAACATTTTCCTTTTGCATGGAATTTGTATAACAGAAAGAAATTATTTATAGATAAATAATTTCTAAAGACCTCTTTACTGTAACCTGGATAAAGAAAGTACTTTCTAGCCATTACTTCTGTAAGGGAGAGAAACCATGTAAAAAGCATGATATGAGGAAAGAAGTCCTTTGATAGTCGTGAAGTGTGGGGACTTGCTCTCTATCTCAACTTATGGAATACATCATATTTTTATCAGTTTATTTCCTCTTACGCCTTCATTTTCTTAGTTGTAGAATACAACTGTCCATTTCTGCTGGTGGATTGGTCTCTTGCATTTGCTAAAATTGCTCTTCACTGTTTTTATCAAACAATTTCAATTATTCCTGAATAAATCACCTAACTGAAGGAAACCAAGATTAGCTCAGCTGGTTAGAGCATGGTGCTAACAACATGAAGGTTGTGGCTTGATTCCTGTTACTTAAGAGTTGGACTCAATGATCCTCGTGGGTCCCTTCCAGCTCAGAATATCCTTTTAATTCTGTGACTCTGTAATTCACACAGAGACAGATCTCGAAGCCTTGAGTTATTTTTGCTGCTGGAGATGTGCTGCAGTTGGTGCTTTGCTGTAGCAGGGTGTCTCTGTTTGAGGCTGATCGTAAATGTAGAAATTTAGGGTTAATTACTTTTTGCTTCTGGATGTAAGTAAATATTGTTTGTGGATATTCCCCCTCCCCACTGCTGATGGCTGTCTAGTGACAGTCACTAGAGAGGAGAGAAGGGGGAGCCCAGGCAAGGGAAATAACGGTGCTCAGGTTCCCTTTACTTGTAATGGCAAGAAAACAGAGTGTCCAGTGTCCTGGAGTTGCACAGATCACCTGGGCTGAACTTTCCAACATTGCTGAGCTGTCCCTTGGTGTTCCCTGCCTTGTTTGAATCAGTATCTTTGGGAGCCAGCATGGTCCAGTAGTTTGTGGTATTCCAAGCATGAAGGCCCTCCCAAAAGAGCTGGCTGGGGATGGGAGACTGTGCTGCTGTGGAAGGGAAGGGCAAAGGAGCATCCTGCAGAGCTGGCAGCAGCATTCCAGCAGGGCAGAGTGCAGAGAGGACGAGAGAAGAGTGCTGCTGGGATGCTCTGGCAGCAGCAGGGTCTGTGCAACAGCTGAGTGCTTGATGGATGGATGGCAGCAGAGCCTGTCAGGGTAGCCTTGTGTTTCTGTCTGAATCAGGACTCAGTGGTTTCCAGAAATCAATTTTAGTCCTTTCATTAAATTACAGACAGACTCCAGCTCTAAAAAATTTAAGAGTGTGTTGGTGAGAATGTCTCTTGGGAGGAGATGGTGCAAGGCTTCTTTAAATAGGTAAACATCCGTTTAGGGTTTGGGGTTTTTTTAATCATAAGGAACCAGCAGCATCATGTGTTCTGCAGTGTTAATACTCTTAATGAAAAGGTCTTCAAATCACAGATCTTTCTTTTTAATTTCAAAATGTATAGCCTTGCACAAAGGTGAACTCAGATTGGGCTGTGTGGTTTCCAAGTTCAGGAGAAAATTTGGCCTTGATGTATTTTCTCTCCTCTACGTATGTGGAAGATAAAAAAAAAACCAGCCAAGGAACAAAACAGCTTAGTACATGTCTGAGGTTTTTCCTCAATTATCTAAAAGTTGACATGACATCATCTGCACAGATGTAAATATAGAAAACAGTAGGTGTGTTAAATCTCCTGACATACTTCTAAAAGCTTTTTACAGAGGACTGACTTCACTTGAGTGGATGTTTGTGTCAGTAGAAATGTGGCATTATGTCCATTTTTCTTTCTGGAAAACTGAAAGTTTCTTTAAACTTGTTTTCATCTTTTATGGTTGTTTTAGCTGTGGAAATGCTGTTATCTTTTCTGTCTTTAGCTCTACTCTTTCATAAGATGGATATATTTCAGTGAAGTTGTGTCCTGGTTATTCCTAACTGTTCCTCTCTCTGTATGCTTCAGATTTTCCCAAATATGCATTTTTTTCTGAACAATGATATTATTGAATGATATGGTTGAACAGATTAATAAATAATGTGGCCATGTGGTTTTGTATTGAAAACTAGCTGAGCTGTTGATTTTTCAGGCAAATAATAAAAGCAATGCCTCCTTCACTTTCAGTGCTAAAACCCAGAGAATTAGCAAAATAGAAGTAAATATTTTGGGTATTGCATGACCTGTCCTAGGTCCTGATTCAGGGTAAGTTCCCTGTCTGAGATAATATTTAAGACTTAGTTAAACAAAATCCACAGTTACCAGGCTTCTCAGCTGTTAAGCGACTTGTTAAGCATTCACTGGAGGTTCTGTTTGGTTTGGTGTAATGTGTTTGTTACGTTCTGTATTGTGCTGAAACCATCTCTGTCTATGGCTACTTAGTGCAAGTAAGTGCTGTGCCAAATAAAGATTCTAACTTGGCTTTGAAATGGAACTTTAAACATTACTCTAGACGTACAAAACAAACCCAGCCAATTCTGAAATCAATTTCTATTGCCATGTAATTGCTGCATGTAAGAAAACAAGAGAGGAGTTGGAGTGTGTTTTCTCTTTTGCAGGTGTTGCTGAAATAGTTCCATTTATTTAAAGCATATGATTTCATGCAATTGTGCCTGATTGTTAGTGCAGCTGTCAACAGCTGCATGCTCATTTAGCTAATTGCATTCTAGTAATATAGCTAAGCTTATTTTAAGATACGCAGTTGTACGTCTTTGTTTTTTTTCTTGAAGCTACTGCTCACACTCAGAATATTTACTGCAGAAAGTTCTGTGCTATCACAATGGGCTGTCATTGCTCTAGAGGAAATTTAAGAGCTTCTGCACAAGACTTTCAGCCAATCTAGTGTATGGATAGCACCTGGGCAAAGTTGGACCATGCCACTTAAATTCATACAGTTCTAAAGGCATTGAAATGGTCTTGTCCTTGGGGTCAGTTTCATCATTTGCTCTTTGGGAATATTTTGTAGTTATCATGTGAAACTTTAATTTCACAAGCAGCTTATTCCTACTGCATCAGCGTTCTGGTTGTGTGTACAGGAACAGTGAGCTTCTCTTACATACTGATCATCTCCTTCTAGAAATACCTACGTGAAATGAGAAAATTATATAAGTTGTATATGTAGAAAAAGCATATTAGGGGAGTAGGGTGTCATGCATGCTAATTCTGGATATTTGTATGTTTTTTAGTGGTATGTGTTAGCAACGTGATCACGGTCAACAGTATGAAATGTATAATGCAGTGTTGTTTTTATTTGTTATATAGCTTTATGCCAGTATATACAGGCCTCTAAAACCCGAGATGGTGGCAGCCGTTTCATTTCAAGTGCAACAGAAGGTAAAGGGAAAAGTGTGGGGAAAAATAAAAAAAGCACTTTGTTCATCTGATACTCTATCTTCATGGATGTTTATGTGGTTCTTGACCTTCTAACCTTGTAGACTCTTCCTTCACAGCTAACTTCTTGCAATAGATGGTGGTTATCTTTTTTCCTGAGTCTCGAAAACAAAATTAAGAGATCTCATGATGTCACTTGTATGTCTATCTAAAAGTTGCATCATCTTTGCATTTTGTCTATTTGTGCTTTTCTTCAGTAACAGCATTGCATTGAAACTGAAGCTTTAGCTGTGTTTTAACAAGAATCTGAAATATCTGAGGAGTGGCTTAGAGAATTGCTGTCATGACCACAATCTCAAGATTGCCACACTTAAGGAAAAGCACAGATACTTAGCAACACAGAAATGTTACAAAGCTAATCCTTGCTAATACCTGCAGTCTGACTTTATGCTAACGAGCTGTCTTGCATTTTCTGTTTCTCTTAAAAGGAATGTGTCCTTAATTCACTTACCCTCGAGTCTACCTGCTGATGTCCTGCTTTTTGGCCTTGTCTGTGCTTAAAAAGGGAATGAAATATTTACTTGTGTGTTTTTCTTTCGTCTGCAGGGGAAAACTTTGAACAGACTCCGTTAAGACGCACATTTAAATCCAAAGTTCTTGCTCGCTATCCTGAGAATGTTGAATGGAACCCCTTTGACCAGGATGCAGTGGGAATGGTCAGTGTCACTTCATGGCTTTTGGGGTTTTTTTTTGTTACATTCTAGAGAATGAGTAGAGAAATAAATTAGCCTGCAATTAATGAATCTTTTTTTGTGTGTGATTTTTCCATTTAATAGAATATGGTGTGTATTAATTTAGGTAAAATACAGTAGTTTTCTCTCTCAGGTTTCTGGTCTTGGTGACCAGAAAAATACTTTCCTTTATGTGGGTTTGAATTTTATTATTTTATTCATAAAATATATGAGGCTGGTAACAAAATAGTAATAAGCTTCAATAGAAATTGCATGCGACCCTTTAGATATGTTCCTTTTGTTTTTCTGATATAGACTTATATCACTGTATTATACAGAAATGTAACAATAGAATTTAAAGTGGAATGCAATGGCAGTCTGTGGATTTTAAATCCCATTTTCACCAATGCTTCTGCAGGCAGGGGGAGAGAACAGCGTTTTTTAATGGACATTGTCTCCCCTTCCCCTTTTCTGTAGCTGTGTATGCCTAAAGGGCTTGCTTTCAAGACACAAGCAGATTGCAGAGAACCTCAGTTCCACTCTTTCATTATCACTCGTGAAGATGGCTCGCGGACATTTGGATTTTCTCTCACGTTTTTTGAGGAAGTCACTAGCAAACAGATCTGCAGTGCAATGCAGACGTTGTATCATATGCACAATGCTGAATATGACATTCTTCATACTCCCCCCACCAACGACAAGGAGAGCTGCAGCAGCGCTGGGGACTGCAATGGCACCTCCGTCTCAAAGCTACAGCGCTTTAACTCCTATGACATCAGCAGAGACACGCTCTATGTCTCAAAGTGCATTTGTCTGATTACTCCAATGTCTTTCATGAAAGCTTGTAAGAAAGTTCTAGAACAACTTCACCAAGCAGTGACTTCACCTCAGCCACCGCCGCTACCTTTAGAAAGCTACATCTACAATATTCTCTATGAGGTTCCTCTTCCTCCAGCAGGAAGGTCATTGAAGTTTTCAGGTGTTTATGGACCAATTATCTGCCAGAGGCCAAGCACCAATGAGCTACCATTGTTTGATTTTCCTGTTAAAGAAGTTTTTGAATTGCTTGGAGTAGAAAATGTGGTTCAACTCTTTACCTGTGCCCTTTTGGAGTTTCAGATACTGCTTTATTCACAGCGTGAGTACTTGGGTTTTGTTTTCTTATCTTGAAGTTGTACTGGCACAAGGTCTTATTATGTCTTGAATGCTAAAAACACCAGAAACAACAGAATAGCTGCATTAAAGTGGTATGGGCATGCTATTGCAGTCTGGCTGATCTGTATGCAGGTCTTGAGGTAAATAAAAGCACTCTAAGGAGAGTGTTGCATTGGCTCCTGCTGTTAGACACTTAAACTTAAAACTGGCTTTTCACATAGTCTCCTCTATTCGTGGTTTGGCTAACCCCTTTGTTGTTGGCTCTGGAACTGTGCTACTGGATGGAGCAGTTTGCCTTTTCCATGCTCCTGTCTAGCTGCTCAGCTGAATTCCCTGCTATCTCTGCAGAACTAGCCATGCATTTTGAAACAGTACAGTTAATTATATATACATATGATTCTGAAGAAGAGTTAATCATGCAAATACAGTTTTCTCTTTGAGTACCCAAAGTCACATTTCAGTTGTTACTTTGAAAGATAAGTACCTGAAAAAAGTTTTGACTAAACTCAAATCCCAAATCTCCATTAAGGCCTTGAAAGAGTTATAGCTCTGAAGGCACATAGCTAAAGCTTGCTTTGAAGAGGATGGGCAGCAAATGAGCTGAAATAGCATGTTTATCAATTAGTGAGTAGTGTGGGAGTGGTATCTATTTTCTGTGCTGAAATTTGTGGATACTGGCCTTCTTACTCCACATCCTGTTGCTCTAATACGGAGTATGTGGAATTATGCCTAAAGATAATTTCTGTACTTTTTTTTTTTTGGCCCAAGCTGACTAATATTAATCCAGACTCACTCATTCAGAATGGTGTAGTTTAAGCAGACAGCCTACATTTTGAACACTACTTTATAGTAATGGTTAGGAAGCTTAAAAGACCCCAAGACAAATTCAGAGCTAGTCCATGGTGTTACTGAAATTTGTTTTCAGTGTTTGCTTCCCTTGAGCTGTAACTGAAATAGGTAGAACACAAAGGGTAACTATTTACAAAATATTACCTACATTTATCAGCAAACTTCTCCAAGCATGAAATACAGATTTTGTGTTGTGTGTTAAGATCTGTGCATAGACTAAAGCCAAGGATGGATTTGTGTGTACAATCAGGGTGATTAAAAGTCTGTAATGGCAGCAGGGTGTTACATTACATTACAGGGTGTTCTCATTGTATAGGCACTGTGAACTGCAGGAGAAAAACTGCACAGTAATTCACATGCAGTCAAAAAAACTTACTGAGCTCTGTCATGGTTACTCTCTTTGATTTAAAAAACAAATTGCTTATTGTTCATAGCAAATCTAGAAATACTTGTCTAGCAGACAAGATTCTTTTGTGGTTTCCCCTGAAATGGATTAGGCATTGGTATGTTTGAGATTTAGGGGGAGTTTCTGTGGGTACCTGTGTCCCACCCGTGGAGGATTCAAACATCAGCACCCTTCATGGAGAAGAGGATGGTGGTGTTGGCCTGTGGAGGTGTCTGAGGTTCCTGTGGTGGCCTGGAAGCTCCACAGAAAAGCCACATGTGCATCAGCATGTGGGAGCAGTGCTCCTGGAGCTCCTGCCAGGCCATCCCCTTGTGTGTGCTCTCTTGCTCCAGGCTGGAGCTCAGCTCACTCAGTGCTCCTGGAGCTCCTGCCAGGCCATCCCCTTGTGAGCTCCATCCAGGCTGGAGCTCAGCTCACTTCTGGGCTAGCCTGCTGTATTCTGCCTTCTCTTTCCAAGCCCTTTTAATAGGTTCAGCTTTCTGTCTTGGGCCCTTTCCAGGTGTCTGATCAGTGGCTAATTAGAGAAGCTTAAAATAGCCCTGGAACACTTGAGTTTCTTGTTTGCAGGCTCAGACATTTGGAGTTCAGAGGGATGAGGAATCAGTTGGGACGGCTTCTGTCCACTGTTTCCCTGCCTCACCCCAAGCTTGGGCTGACTTGGGCTGTGTTGTACATTATGGAGGTGTCTTGTCTCTCTGTCATGTTCTCACCTTAATTTTTGGTTGAAAAGTCTTCTTTCAGTAGAAAAATAATTTTAGTTATTTGTTTGCTCTCTTTTGAGCAAACCTCAGGTGTGGTGAACTGGCTGCAGCAGTGCCTTCTCAGTAATAGTAGCCAATTTTTATTTTTTGAAACATAGCTTCTCTTAAGGACTTTCTGAGAGATTTAGTCCCTCTGCCTTTTTTTGTTTGTTGCCTTGTTTTGTTTTTGTTTGTTTGCCTCTGTTATTCTTTTCAACTGTATTATGTTCCTAATATATTCTGCTCTTTCTTCAGTATGGTTGAGTAACATCTGTTTTTTTGCTGTTTGTAAAACAGCAAATATTGAATGGAGATACAGGTGATTGTGCACTCAGTTCTAAGTGGAATCAGGAATTGCTTTACTTTTGTAAAGGTTTTTTCATGTTCTTGCATGCACACCAGTGTGAGGTGTAGGTTGTCCTTCAGAATATAAATACTGAGTTTTTAAATGTCATCTGAGTTTGTTCAGTCTCTTGGTGCTCAGACCCATGACAGCTAAGATAATTTCTTCTCCTAGGTCAGGTGAGATTATGGTATCATTGGATGGATTTAGATTTAGAACAGTACATGTCAGGATCAGCAGATTTGTAAGATTTACTTGGAAAAATACCCCAGCAACAAACACACACAAAATAAGGAAGGACCACCAAAATAAAAACCAAACACCAAACCTCTTGGAGGTCTGGTGAAACTGGATGATCTTGAGGTCCCTTCCAACCCAAACCTTTTAATGATTGTATGTGTCTGTGAATTTGTTGCCAAGTGCAATCCTTTAGGAAACAAATTATTTTAGTGTTTTAAGCTTCAGTCAGTCCTTGGAGTAGGAGTAACTTCACTTGGCAGTATAAGTGTTTTGGTTTAAGATTCCTTTGACATGTTTCTGACTCGATGCTTCTGGAAATTCTTCTTTTGTCCCACTATGCTGGCACAGCCTTGTGTATTTTGGATTGCTGTAAACCAAGTGGAGGGAATGAATGCCTCAGCTGGATTGTCCCTTTGAGAGACATGTCTACCATTTGGAAAAGTGTCAGGGGCCTGTAAGAGAGGGAGGAATTTGAGGATGCTGCTAGTGCTGAGCCAGTGCTGAGGAGCTCTGGAAAGAGTCACTGCTGCTGGAGGCCTGTGGGGAGTGCCCTTGCCAGATATTCTGGGGGAGCTGCTTTGCATTCCTGCAATTTATGTTGCTCTTGTAACTGTGAAATAGACTTATTCCTTATCTCAGAGAGCACCTAGAGCTCTTCTGAAAAGTGTGTACTGAGTTAAGACAGCTGTGAAATCTGCTTGGAGGTAATTTTTCTAAACAGCTAGAAACAAATAAAGGAGAAATGTAATGCACTGCTGCCACAGACTGTTCTCTAGGACAGTTTTGTTTTCTGGGTGGCAGCTGTCTGGTGCCATTTTACAGTACAAATGAAGGGATTTTTTTCTGCTCTGCCTTTGAATCACTCCTCCCCATCTTTGTTTCACTTGTTAAAATAATACTCATTCTGGAGATGTGAAATATTATTTTCATGTCTTTGCAGTATTACTCTGTGCTGCCTAGCTCTGATCTCTTGCACAGGACACTCTGGTTGTGCCTCCAGGGATTTAGGAACCTTGCTGATTGAATCCCTCTGTCAGGCACACAGCAGGAGATAGTGCACCCCACTGCTTCTGCTAACCACAGCTGGTTCTTACTGCAGCCACAGGGCTTTTTGAAGTGACTTGTGGGTTACTTGACAAATATAACAGTATTTCATTGTGATCCATGAAACAGGAAGATTAAAAGGAAAAAATGTTCCAAAATGTGATGATATAATTGTTTTAAATTTGGCTGAGTCAGAGGATTTCTGTGGGCACTTGACAGACTTCTCTCTGGTAGAATGTGAAAATGGGGAGGTGGAATTATGGTTCTTAGAGCTGCCAGCTTCTTCCCTTCCTGTTCCCCTTTTTCCAGGAACAGGACCTCTCAATTTATCTTTTTTTATCTTCTACAGATAAATATTGTTATGTAACTTCTCATACACACTTTAAGAGAGAATCTATTTTATTTACAGCAGTTGATTAGAAAAATAAATCATGCTTTTTCTGTGTTCTTAAGTGGCCAGATTAAAAAAGTAGTGGATTTTCTTTTCCTTGCACAGTGATCAGTTAAGCACTTTGCTATCTAACAATGCCCTAGTCATATGTCATTATTTCCCTACCAGTGCCTGTGTACAATACAAGGCCAAAAGATCATGTCATTGACACCAGAAAAAGCACATTCTGATTTCAAGGACAAGAGCAACAGCACTGCTGAAACATTTCTTACTCTTTTAATCTTTTTGTTGTTGTTATTTTTAAATCTTCTGTAATTCTTTGGTAAGAGAACTGTGCTGCTTGCTTCTTTAAACCCAAAACTGCCTCCGGAGCCTCTCTGGGTAGGTACAGCTTATGAAAACATAGGAGTTATTTTGGTTTATATTTTCATGCTTCTTGCCTTTGTCCTTGCCTTTTGCCAGTAGCAGAATGCAGTCACTGTTACTTGCAGGCTGCAGCTGGGCAGGACAAATCTTTGGGAATGGCTTAAGCCATGTGGATGTCCAGGATCAGAGTGCTGCTTTTGCAGATAGCTCTCTGGCAGGACGTGGCTGCCCAGTGGATAGAAATTCTGACCTATTGATGTTACTTTGTAATTAATTTGGAAGGCTGATACTAAAGTTAGCTTAATGACAGAGGGAGAAGTTGTATTTAAATTATCCTGCAGGATCAGACAGGGGGCTTTGTGTAGTAGGAAAACACTGTTTCTATTTTAAGACTTGTACTTCCAGATAAACGAGCCGAATGCAAACCAGCTGCAATGTTTATGTATCTATGGCTACATTTAAAGTTCTTCTAAGAACTGAAGAAGATGGGGTATGGAATAGAATCTTCTTCCCAAAGCTTATCATTAATTCATCACTTCTTTGCAGTCAGGCTGTGATTAAAGCTGCAAACCCATACGTAGGTGTGCAGGCAGAAGCTGGTGTCCAGGCAGAGTAGGGGAGTGTTGCTGTGATGTTCATTGGTGTGTCAGTCCAAATAAGATTTTGGCAAAAAACTTTAACCTGTTTAAGCTGTTCTCACTTGTTCTGGTTGAAGGGTCCTTCATGGCAGGTCTGCTGTGAGGCAGTGACAGGTAATTCCATCAATGACCTCTTCCACCAGCACAGCTTGATATGAAGATAAAGAATCAAAAGCCCAAGTTGCAGAATTATGGGTGATGTTAGCAAAACCTGTGCTGAGTTCCCCTTAGGTTGTGGGGCTCTTTGCAGATCCCAAACTCCACGACTTTTTCCCCAGACAAAATTAATCATGAAAGCCAGGAACTGAATTTTTTTTTTTTTTTTTTTTCTGGTGTCTGAAGTCTTGAGTGGAGACTGGCTAAAAGATGGAATGAAAACCATCAACTTGGGAAGTGCACAGTTAAGCTTAATTTTTCTCCATAGTGTTTAGAACAAATGTTATTCTTGCAGTGTTCATCTGCCCTTAGTGTGCAAGAGCTTCAGAAACTTCAGCACCTGAGCCTGCCCATTCAAGTGTCTTTTTCAGTTTCACAGTGTCTTTAGCTCTGTGAAAGAAGACATGCATCCCCCACACCTCTGAAGGTTACTGACTTTTTCCCCCACACATCTGAAGGTTACTTTTTCCTCTTCCTTGTATTCCCTCCCCTTTCCTGGCTGGAATTGGATGTTGTTGCAGTATCATGAAAAGCCATCCTGTATCTCCAGTATGTGCTGTATTTATAGCCTGACAGAAGGTAGGAATTGCCCTAGTTGTGTGAGTGTTTTATACCCTTTCCAGCCTGGCAGCTGGAAGGCAGTTGGGATGCTTCAGCAGCTGTATTGGAACACACATCTGGTGCTGCCTCCCCCTTTATGAGATTTCAAAAACTGTTGGAGATGACTCTGTAGTTAGAGATGAGGAGGGTGCAATGTTTGCCCAGCAGTGTGAACTGCTCTAGCCACCAGTGCTACATAAAAAGATCTCTTGGTGTGTTGCACAGGTAGATTTAACACTGCTCCTAAGTTTTAGGAGGACATGAGTTGTTTTTATATTGAACTGAGGCTTTAGTCATGCATTGCAAAGGCTAAACAAAGCTGATCCTTTTCATTTTCTGCATAGTTATTTCAGTCACACTGTTGGGTTGGCTGCTATACAGCATGCTTTATAGACATTTAAACACTCTTTGAAAAAATGTTTATCTGAGAGATACCAGATGCCTTGGGTTTCATCCAAGGCTTCCATAGAAAGCCCTGAGCACAGAGAAATTATTTCTGATGTGTTTCTTAGCTGATTACAATATGGCTTCTGTATTCAAACTGGTGCTCTTGGTGACCCTGGTATAGGTAGCAGAAAGTGACTTAGCATGCATTAAGGGTTAGTTTGCTCATTTCCATATGACTTGTAGAATGACCTACTTTGGGTTGAGCTCTTTGTTGTTTCTGCAAAATGTGCTGGGTGTGCAGGTCTGGGTTTTCATTATGATGCCACTCAGCTAGCACTGGGTTTTGTGGTTTCTGTTTTCAAGCAACTTCTCATTTCTTTAATTTAAATTCATTTACTTAAAAGTATTTGTGAAAAAAATTTAATTTTCTTGATCTTTTTCAGATTATCAGAGGCTGATGACAGTGGCAGAGACCATCACAGCACTAATGTTTCCATTTCAGTGGCAGCATGTGTATGTTCCTATCCTTCCAGCATCCCTCCTTCATTTTCTAGATGCTCCTGTCCCTTACCTCATGGGCTTGCACTCTAATGGACTGGATGATAGGTCTAAGCTGGAACTTCCTCAAGAGGTGAGAGGAGCTTGTCTTGATTGATTAAATACTGTCCATGACTATGAGGGAAGTGAGAAATTATCTAAAACACAAGTGCTAACTGTACCAGCCATTGTCAAGTTCTTGCTGGCTCTCATTTGGGATAGGTCTTTTTTTTCTTGGAGATGCTGACAAAAATCTGGTGAAATAGATAAAGCCCTGCTTTTGAAATTGAATGCTCTGATGGAATTCAACTGTACTTTTACAGGTATTTGGGTTACAGAAAGAACATTTTTTGTGCTGGAAAAATGAGTCTTGTAGTGCTAGGAAGTGCAGTGTGAACTCCCCAGCTGTGGCCAAAAGGGAGTGATGGTGAATGAGAAGAGCTCGACTGGCATCAGCATTGGCTGGTTCCTGGCTGGCTGGGCTCAGGCTGGGTTTCCCTGCCCTGGACTTCTCTCCTGGGGTTGTCTTGCATGGACCCAGCCTGCCAGGTGTGTGCACAAAACCATTTCAGAGTTTCCCCTAGAATGCCAGCTTCAGTGTGCAGCAAAGTGTCGGCGTGTACCTGAGCAGCTCCTGCCTGTTGGGTGGTGCTGAGGAGCCCTGGGAGCAGCAGCCCTGTGTCAGGGGGAAGGAAATGCTCTGACAAGGCCCTGCAACTCCTCCTTGGGGCTGGGACTGCCTTCAGCCTGCTTTGAGGTTCTCCTTATTCGTTTGATCCCCTGTTCAGTTCACAAGCACTCCTTGTAGGGATGTGCCACGAGAGTTTAAGGGCTGCTTGGGAGCATCAAGGCACTACCCCAGGCAGCAGAGGAAATGTCTGACCCCTGCTTACTTATAGGTGTAACTTTTCAGGTGAGGAACTGACAGGGGAACTTTACAGGGGATGTAAATCATGGCAAACACCCTTCTTACAGGCCCTGGTAGGATTCTCTGCCTTTTTCTCTGACTCTGGGTTTTCTTCCATTACCATTTGCATTTCTGGGAAAGCAGAAGCGTGGCAGGCACAGGGTTTTGTGGTGGTGGTGGTTTTTGTTTTCATTATCAGGCAGTGCTGCAGCATAGCTTGACACAAAAAACCCTTCCTTTATAAAAAAGCTGCGTGAAATTAAAGACAAGATATTTTTGTGAACCTCCAGTCTGGTCTCCATGCCAACATTGCTCTTTTTCTCAAATCCATATGCTGGTAGTTTTCATTTGTTTTTCCTGGCAAGTTCAAAGTAAAACTTTTTTTTTTTTTCAAATTGTGGTTTTTTTTCTGTGAAAACTCAAGTGTTTAATCTCTTGATTTCTTCATTGTCTTGCTCTCTTTTTTTTTCTTATTTTCCACTGGAATAATTAATAACAGAGTATTGTGTGTTCTTGCCATGAAAACAACAGTCTATGGCTTTGGTTTACTATTTTTTACAGAATTTTGGCTGTACTGACAGGCCTAATTAATATGGTTAGTACACTTCTTAGGGAGAATAGCTGATTAAATAAAACATATGTGTGGATATGCATGCACCATGGATGTTTTCACTGTTACACTGTTACACAAGCTTCTAAAAGACTGTCCTCCTTTTGTAAAGAGCTTCCTCATTTTAAAATCACGGTAACACTTTCAACTAAATAAACATATTTTAATTTCAAATAGACATTTCAGTTATTTGCAAAGTAAATAGATTTTGGAAGAGATTTATCAGGTTATTTTGAAGGTTTAAAGTAAGGCAGTTGATCTATTTTTAGATGTTTGAAATAAAATCCAAGTACTATTAAAAAGTGATCTGACACCTCAATTTACATTTTTTTTTACAGATAGCCTTTTATGTGAAGGTGGAGGAGTAGATTTTTGATGGTTTCTTACAGAGATGAGAATTGTCTGGGAGTGTAGGACATACAAGACAGAAAGCAGCAGCAACATGCCCATGTGGTGGAATTTGCTGCCAGACTTCCTTGTCCTTCTGAAGTTTCAGCTTTTTTCTTTCTTATTTGAAGAGTGAGCTCTTAAAACTTTGTGCACAGTGAGTTTGAGCTAGTCTGAGAAATCCCCTTGGTAGTCATTGCTGGGTAAGGTTTCTTGTGAGCTGTTGAATCTTTTGCATTGCAGGCTGGAGATGTAGCTGTGGCAGAGAAATGGACTGGAGACTCCATTCTCTTAGGAAATACCAAAAAGTTGTCCTGTACCAATAGATTTGTTTATTCAAGGGGTTAAGTAGACTGGGAAGAGCAGAAGCTCACTATTATTGAGGTTTTCATTGTAGGGAGTTTGTTTAAAAAAGCCCAGCTAACCAAGAAAGAAACCCAAACAAGCCCCCATAGAACAGCAAACAAAACCTGCCAAGGAGAGTGAATGTGTTGTTGTAGAACAGCAGGAGAGGGCATGTGGATTCCATTATTTGTGCTTCAATAAAGACAAATTTATCATCGCTATCAGAGGGGCTATTAATATATTTAACACTGTTTATCTCTCAAGTTTGGAATGTATATCAACCTTTATGAAGTCATCAGGGTTATATGAGGAGCTCCTCTAGGATCCTGATGCCAGATTTTCCTCACTTGTCACAAAGGGTATACAAAGAGCTGGTCTGTGTTGTAATTTATTCTGAGTTCTGCAAAAAAATTTTTTCTTTGTCTTGAAACTGCCTGAGCTGCATCTCTGTTCCTAATCTATTTATGTGGATGTGTGGGACAGCTGCTGTAAAAGAAAGCAATATCAGATTTAAGCAGGGGCCAAAGAGGTGTGCACAGCTTTGAGAGAAAATCTAGTTAGTGCTTCTCAGTTGAAGGGCATTGTGGAAGAAAATAATATTGCTGTCTAGCTCAGCATGGATCCCTCAGTGTCACTGTAAACTTCTTCATTGTGGTTTTATAATGAAGTTTAAAAAAGACTAATTTCTCTTGCTCAGAGTGTTTTAGGTGAATATTTTTAGGCTAATAATGTGAGAATGTCTGTCCCAACTCACATTTGGTGTGGTGTAAGTCTTGCACACATATGTCCTAAGGCTTGTTTTGGTGGCAGCCTCCCATATTTGGGTCATATCTGGTGTTTCCAGGGGATGCTTTACAGCATGGAAATCCAGCTGTATCCTAGAAGTTAATGCTTGCAGCAGATGATGATTAAAATCTCCAACAAAAAAGTTATGTTAGTACAAAATTCAATTTTGGTTATCCCTTGGGTACATCAGAGCAGTCCCTGATGGAGAATTCATTGAAGACCACCAATGACCTGCAGACCTGACTCTGCAGCCCAGTGCAACCAGGCAGTGCTGAGGTTTGGTGTGGAGTTGAGTTTCTTGTGCAGAGTGCTCCTTCTCACAGGTGCTGCTGCTTTTCTGAGGGCTCTGTGTGTGCATGAGCATCCTTGTGGTTTCCCTGGCAGCTGCATCAGGGGCTTGTGAGGAGCCCAGAAGGGAAGGGGAGGGCATGGGAAAAGCTGTGCTAGAGTGAGGTGCTGCAGATGTCACAGGGGAAGGGAAGAACCTGTAGCTGTCTCAGGTGTTGCTGGCAAAAGTGTGCTTTGTTTATCAGTGAAACTGATCAATAAAAGTGGTTTTAGCAGCTTCCTCACAGATCACAAACCTAGCAAGTACTGAAGTAAGATTGGGTTTTTTGATGTGTGTTTGCATTTCCTTCTAAAGAAACTTCTGCAGTGCTACAGAAATACATTTTTAACAAGCAAGTTAAACCATTTCATGTAGCAGGACTTGCATGTATATCTCACCACTCTAATTTAGGAGAATGGTAGAAATTGAAATTATTTTCCGTGGAAATAAGCAATGCTGAGTTTCCAGCACTGGTGAAATCAAAGTAGTACCTCATTAAAAAGCCTGTTTTTAATGAAATGATCCCAAGGGTCTTGGGCAATAGCTTTTCCTGTTAGAAAAGTTGAAAGACTTAAAACCTAAAATGCATTTTCTCTGCTAGTATTAGACAGATTATATATATTCTCAGTGTTTTTATTTGTGCCATTAAAAGGATGATTCGGTGCTAAACCTGAAGAAATTCTGTGGGTTTCTATTTTTGTATGTTGTTTCAGAAGATAAGAAAGGTCTGTTGAAAAGCCTTTTTTCCTTCTGATGCTAACACATTAGACCAAGATAATTATTGAAAGATAATCACTGCTTTGTATGCATTCTCAGGCTATCTGCTGCTGGTTTGATCCTTGATAATACTGCAAACTTACTGGCAAAACTCAGTTTTATATTTCCTTGCACTCCAGCGTGAACAGCCACCTGAGGAGTTTCTGCAGGCTGCAGTGGCTTTCGGCTCTGAGCTGTTCTCACTGCCACATGTTGGGTTGGTGTGAAGGACAGCAGTGCTGACAGTAAGTGCAGAAGGTCCCCATTTGCTTACAGGAGTGGCACAGGAGCATCCTTCAGAAGTCAGGCCCTCTGCAGACACTTGGCACAAGCCAGCCATGTGTGTGCACAGCTGCACATCCCTGTTCTCTGGGTGCTGTGTGCCCTGGGTGGCTGTTTGCAAGGTTGGGGCCAAATGCTCACAGGTGATGCAGCCTGGAGATGAGTGGGATTCAGTCTTTCAGTGCTCTATTCAAGCAGAAGATAAATAATTTCCTTCTGTGCTTTTGAGCAGAGCTGAAAGGAAGGATGTGAGCTTGATAGGCCCTGCTAGATCTGTCTGGGGCTTTGGCACTTAGTGCCTGAGGTCAAACTAAATTGTCTTTGGTTTTGGAATGGATGGGTGTGCTCCAGACCCCATTCAGGCCAGGGAAAGTGGTGCTGTTGGCTTCAGGGAACCAGGTACACAATCACTGATTTGCTTAGATTCATGTTTCTAAGGTTTGTAAGGCTTTCACCTGGACACCCTCTTACTTGGAATGATGAAAGCTTATGGGAAGGACAGATTTTTAAGTTAGGATGTGACATCCTTGTTCCTTTGTGTAATATCTCAGGAGGACCTTTTATTGTAGATGATGCAATGTGTCCTCTCCTGTGACAGGCTGCTATTGAAGTGGTATGTAACTGTTTTGGGGTTTCTTTTGATCAGAAAACTGATATGTAAGCAACAAATAAAAGAATATGACTGCTCTAGAGACATGAAATACCAAATAACTAATATAAGAATGCTCTTTCAATTATATCTCTACTTACACCTGTTGCCAAGTATCTTGTCTCTATATCATTTTAGTTTTGTGCGAGTAAAATAATAAGCAGTGTATCCACATAGAGCTGTCAGCTATTCACAGCCCACTCAGCTGTGCTGCCTCCAGACAAAATAACTAAACCCTTGTGGCCAAAGAACTCCTTTCTTTTTCTGCTTTGTGTACTTGCCCAGCTCCTAGCATGCAAAATGCTTTGGATGACCATGATTTCATAAATAATAAGTGCCTTGTAATTTTCCTTAGTTTTTAAGGAGGGGAGCTCTCTATCCTTACTGTATTCCATTCTGTTTGGTCTACAGTGTAGCAGCATAGTGAGATTGACTGCTCTGGTGTCTGTCACTGATTTACTTCACATTTCATTTTCACAGAAAAATACTGGTTTGGTACCTCTCAAAGGGCTTGTGCATGGAGATGTTTTTGCCATTTCTGTTCCCTAAGGAGCATGACTTTTTCAGAAGTTAGTGTGCAATTTCAGAAGTTAGTGTGGGCTTCCCTGAGTTCAGAGAGGCTAAAGTCACCCAGGGAATGTTTGCTTATGGTGCTCTGGGTAGCCCTCTCTCTTATGTGCTATTAATCAGGCACTAGATAACTACAGAGTGTCCCTGAAAATATTCTTTACACTCTGTTTAGAGTATTGCTGCACACTGACTTTTTTTAAAAATGCTTCCATATATGCCAATTTCTGGAAAATGTAATTACAACTTGCATGATAAACAGTCGTTGTTAGGAGTTCAGAGTGTTTAAACTGTGTGTATTGCTGTTAGAGAGGAGCCCTGCAGAAGGGAAAATCACATTGGAAGGATTAAGCAGGTGTTAGCCCAGATATTTATAAGCAATTTTAGCAAACATTGAATTTGGCTTTTTCTTTATTTGGCAAGGAGTTTAATTTCAGTATGAAGATTAGAATTTCTACATTGGTAAGGTTAATGTTTGATTTCTTTTAGGCCAAGTGCTTTGTGGGTACAACCAAGCTTATTAAGCAAGAGTGATCTTTTCTGCAGAATCTGATCCAAAAAGGAAGGAAAGTTGAATGGCATCAATTAAAGAAAGTTGTAAAAGGAAGTAATACAATTAAACTGTTTGAAGAGTTTCTTATTGAGTCTGTCTTGCCATTTTGCAGACTGCTTGAGGCAAATTCAATGCTTTTTGTTTCTCCCTCAGCACTGATTGGTAGGCATTGTGCCTGGTTTCAAAGCTTCCTTTCTCTTCTGTCCTGAAGTGCTTGCAGTGTTTCTGACAAACACCAGCTGACTTGACTTCTGATTGTCACAGAACCATGGCTACAGAGGGAGCCTTGAAGCTCCTCGATTCAGGTGCTTGCTTCAGATGCTGCCTTGGAGCAGTGCTGATGTCAGGGGAATTCAGCAATCACACCTGCCCTGCATAAAAAGAAAAACTTTTTCTAAGGTGCACTAGAAACTGTTTGAGAATTAAGCTGTTAATTCTCCTTTTGCAGCACCTAATTCAGTTTGTGATTTAATGTCCAGTAAAGGATCTATACAAGAGATATTAAACTGTTTTATATGCTTTCCTTTGAGCATAAGAAATCAATCTCCATATTGAAAAGTAGAACATCAGGAAATGGAGAACTGGACTTATGCTTTCATTTGTAACTATGGGTAATATTGTAGCAGGGCATGAACTGGACTGTGTGCAGGCTAGTGCAATATGTCCAGTGGAGTTCTGCTTTAAGAAGAATTTTTTTTCAGTTTAAATGTTGAAGCTTAATAAGATGTTTGTGTTTTAAGGAGAGTTGACATCCTCTGTTCTATAGAAACTTGTCACAAGTACTAAATGTATATTTTCATAAGTTTACTTAATAAGTGTCAGGCACAACTTATTCTAGTCTACCTATGGCCAGTCCCACAGCAAATTCCTACCAGTACTCCTTGTACCTCTGATTGCTGGGATCATTCACCATTCATTCCATGTGAGGATGATATCTTCTGATTGTTTCTTTCCAATTAAATTGTGGTGGTGCTTCCATCTTCCTGCACTTACTGAATCACAGGAAGTAACTGGAGATATGTCAGTTCTCACAGACCTGAAAGATGGTTTTGCTGCCAAGCTGTAGTGATGCCTGAATTCAGGTATGGCTCCTAGAATGATGCAATGCAGTTAGGTTGGAAGTAGCCCATAATCTGAGTGAAATATTTGGTATAGTGAAGGTTAAACAGAACAGTGACAGTCCATGTTGATTCTACTGGGAAGAGAGACTGAAATGCTTCCACAGAGGACCAAAGTTACTTCTCTGTTCTTACCTTTCCAGGCAGGTTTCACACATGGCTGGGGTTCTTGCTGTGATGTGTGTAGTTATGTAATGTCTTGAACCCATTTGATTTTGCAGTGCAGAAGCCAAAAGGGGAACCTTCCTTCTTGCCAAATAGAGTGAGGTAAACCTTGAAGGATGCAGAGCTTCTTTTGATCTTGCTGTGGAAGCCACATAGGTGGTTTTGCTTTTTCTTTTTTTTTTTTTTTTCCCCTCACCTTGGTCGTTTTTGGTGGTAAATGATGAAGAACAGAAAAACAGAACAAAAACTAGTTCAATTCATTTTTCCCTTGGAAAAAAACTTGCTCATTGAAAGAATTGTCTTAGTTGTTAGGCAATTGCCTTTTGTTGCTTACAGAAGAAAGAGGATAACTTCATTGCACTTCTGCAGTATCAGCACACCTTTGAGATTGAAATTTGCTAAATCTTTTAGGGAAATGCACTTATAATCTGAACAACAGGCAGTCACCTGTTTACATACAAACATGTATAAAGTAGAATTGTACATATCGTGTAGCTAAAATTTACCTGTACATGTATGAAAAAAATCACACATTTGTACCTAATTTATGTTATAATCTATTTTGTACTTAGTAAATGTCTGTAAAATTAGACTTCATTCTCAGTTACCTCCTGAAAAGACCTGGAAATGTAAGTCTTGTGTTACATTCTTCAAAGACAACCAACCAGTTCAGTTGGTTGGGGCAACTCTGTTTTACAAAATAACCAAACAAATGCAAATGTGTTTGAATCTCTAAATAAGCAGAAATCCCAAAGATGAATAATGTGCTTAGTGATGCTGTAATGCTGTCCTGTTCTAAATTAAATCCCAGGCTAACCTGTGCTTTGTGGATGTAGACAACCATTTCATCGAGCTGCCAGAAGATCTACCCCAGTTTCCAAATAAACTTGAGTTCATTCAGGAAATTTCAGAGATACTGATGGCTTTTGGAATTCCACCTGAGGGAAACCTGCACTGCAGTGAAAGTGCCTCCAAGATGAAGAGCCTCAGAGCATGTGACCTGGTTTCTGATAAACGAAATGGGAACATAGCAGGATCACCTCTGAATTCCTATGAGCTGCTAAAGGAAAATGAGACTATTGCAAGACTCCAAGCACTTGTTAAAAGAACAGGTGTGAGTCTGGAAAAGGTAAGGTGTGAAATGAGCTGCACTCTCTCTGGTCCTGCAGTGGCAGATGGTCTGAAGTCATGGCCCAAAGATGCTGTATGTCTGTCTTTACTAGAAGGAACTTTATCAACATGTTCTCAAACCTTGTGAGCACCTGTAGAGACAAGGACAAGCTTAGGGGAGAGAGGGAATGGGATTTAACCCTGCAGCATCTGGGAAAACCTTTTGTTATCCACTGAGTGATTCTTTACTGAGATAATGTGTTTAAAAATAGCACTTTGCCTTGTTTATTTTTGGTTTTAAGGTTTTTTCTAAATTGGCATCACTTTTTAATGAATTAAGTGGCTAAAATTGATATCTAGATAATGCTGAAGTTTGTATCCAGTCTTGGTTTCTATTGATACCTTTTTCATTTTTTCTAGAATATATGTAATTTTGCTTATATGTAATATATTTGCCATGGGGTTACTGTGATGCTTTTTTCTGGTTAATGTTCTTGAAGTCATGAGTGTCTGATTCCCAGCAAGTGGACATGCACAGCTCATGGTGATCCTGATTGGATTTTTTGAGTGATTAAAATTGTGAAACAAAAAATAAATTGCAGCCCTTTGTGTATAAAATATACTACCTGAAAGACCTTGGGAGTTTTTTGAGCTTTTGTGGAATAGAGTGAAATCTGTCACTGTTGTTGATTTTTTCCCCCTGTGAATTGAATATTTTAATTTTATTGCTTTTTTTCATAAATTTTAGCCCACATCTTAACTGAAAATGCATTTTCTTTTCTTAAAGATTACTCTAACCTGTGTAGTGGGGAATTGTGATTTACACTGCTAAGGGCTTAGGCTACAGGGCTGCTAGCCATGCACAGCTTCTTGTTACTGTGCATTTCTGACTTCATTTGAAAGCTGGTATGTGTTTAACAGTTCTAAACCTGGAGTTGTTTGACACCAGATATAGATTTGCCTAATATACAATTTTTTAGGGGTAATAAGAACCTCTGAAAAGCCTATGCAGGTGATTGAAGGGTAAGAGAAAATTTAAGTCAGTGGCATACATGGACATGTATATGGTTGTTTACACTTTTAAAATTTATAACATATCCAGTGCAAACAATACTGAAGTAAGTTTTGGTTTATTATGAGAAATTTTCTAGGCAAAGGTTTTTGTCTGGATTTTTTTGATTTTGCTCTTTACAGTAAGTATTTTTCTTCATTGAAATGTTGACTTGAAGAGTAGCAGCTGAATGGCAGATGAAAATTTTCTGTGCCTGGAATACCTGACAAAGCATCAATACAAGTTATTTGTGTTTTCCTTTACTTGTTCAGCTGGAGGTACGAGAAGAGACCAGTAGCAAAAAGGATCTTAAAATTCAATGTGATGAAGAAGAATTCAAGATTTACCAGCTGAACATTCAGATTCGGGAAGTTTTTGCCAACCGCTTCACACAAATGTTTGCAGATTATGAAGTGTTTGTCATTCAGCCCAGTCAGGACAAGGAATCCTGGTTTACAAACAGAGAACAGATGCAAAACTTTGATAAAGTAAGTTGTAATAAAAAGGTACATCAATGTAAGAGGAAGACAGTATTCAAACTTAAGGCTTTTTGTATTGGGCCATCAAACAGAAAACTGTACTGTCAAAATGGTAATTTCTTCTTTAAATTTCAGTGTTCCCAAAAAAGTCACATCTTAGATATGTAGAAGAGTATGTACAAATACAGACTTAAAGAGCTAAAGATATTCTTTTAAGGATACTGTAGAAAAATGCAGCTTGCCCTAGAAAAATAGCTTAGAAAGACTGACTTTAGCTAATCTCCACATTAAGGTTAAATATTACAAGTGGAAACTGATTTTTAACCAGAGGAATTGCCAAATATGTTAATGAATTAAGTAATGACCCCAAATAATGCTTGTGTACATGTGTACCAAATATAACTCTTGCAGAGAAACATAAGACCCAGTTATTCAAATTTTTGCTCTGCTTCCTTTGATGGAGATATTTGTCAGCAGGAGAGCTCACATGGGTGAAGGTTGTTGCAGCACTGTCTGCTAAAACACTCATGTGATTCCCACCAAGTTGCATGAAAAGATTCCCATTGATTTCACAAGCTGTGAGCCCAGCCAGAAGTACCAAATATGCACACCTGCAGTACTGGTGGTGGGGTTTGCTGGGGTCCTGTTGTAAGTTTAGGAGATGAAGGAAATGCTAAAATCACAGTGTACCAATTATTGTGCTCTACAGTAGGTGATTGTCCTGATGCTGGACATTTCATACAGAGTGCCTGTTTTGGGGATAGAATTGATGTATATAATAAAACCAGGCTTTAAGTGGCACCAAAGCACTCTCATACATCCTTGATCAGAAAAATTGGTGCTTCTGGTGGATGTGTCTCTCTCTTTGCAGACTCCCAAACACTCTTATCTCTTCTTGTCTCTTAGGCTTCTTTCTTGTCTGACCAACCTGAACCTTACTTGCCTTTCCTCTCGAGATTCCTGGAGACCCAAATGTTTGCATCCTTCATTGACAATAAGATTATGTGCCATGATGAAGATGACAAAGACCCTGTTTTGAGAGTTTTTGATTCTAGGGTGGATAAAATCAGGCTGCTGAACGTCAGGACGCCGACCCTGCGCACATCTATGTATCAGAAGTGCACAACCATTGATGAGGCTGGTAAGGGCCACAAGGCACTTGCTTGACAATTAGTGCAACTGGTCAGTGCTGTTTGTTATAGACAATAGATTAAGTAATGATTTGTGCTTTGAAACCTCAAAAAAAAAAAAGAGACCAAAATAGCAGAGATGTAGAGCTTAAGCAGGGGACTAAACGTTTTCTGTGATGTTGAGATGTGAGATGAAATTAATGTGAAGTAGAACTCAGATGTTTTCCTGCATGCTTTGTGTGTGAAAGATGTCTGAGCTTAAGAAGAGAAACATTTTTCTCCTTTTGGTGGCATTCTTTGATGTCAGAAACACTCTTGTACTAATGTCCCTGTTGAAATCAATAAGCAACTTCCATCTCTTTCTTTAATTTGACATCTGCTTTTAATTGAAGATATGTGATTATAGATACATGTCTGATTAAAGCACCTTAAATAAATTAACCTTCTACTATTTCAGAGAAATCTATTGAATTAAGGCTGGCAAAAATAGATCACACTGCAGTTCACCCACACTTGCTGGACATGAAAATTGGACAAGGGAAATACGAGCTTGGATTTTTCCCTAAGCTTCAGTCTGATGTTTTATCCACTGGCCCAGCAAGCAACAAGTGAGTAAGCTAAGGCAACAGGTGCTGAATCTTGGCAAGGTCTATAGAACAGCACTAAAGCAGAGATCTTAGAAAGCAAAGTCACTTTTGGGGTTGTTTTTTTCAAGTTGGAGCAGATCAGATTATGTGGGGTGGGATTTTTGCTATGTCTGGTTTGTTTTTGGTTTTTTTTTTCTGTCTAAAATACAGACTTCTTGAAGCAAATTTACTCAAGAAAGCTCTCTTGTGTTTGAGATGATAGTTTGTATACTTAGAGTTACTTGCAATTATTGTCAATATAAAAGCAGATCCCTTTATTTGATCTTATGTAGGAACCAGCAAATATATTAGGATATTTTCTTATAAAACCTTGAAGGAGGAGGGGCAAGGCTTAAATTGTCCTTGGAATTGTGACAAAAAAAAGAAAAATACAGAGCAAATGTATGTGATCTGATATTCTAAAACATTTTGGTTTCCCAATGTTCCAGAGATTCTTTGTGTGTGTTTGCAGCTGCCCTTTGGCTGATGTAACTGATGTCAGCATGTTGAGAATGTGTAGAATGTATAGAATAAACTGGAAACCTCTGCCTCTTCCCCTGCCTCCTGACACTTGGCTGGTGTTATTCCCTACGTGTAGGTGGACAAAGAGGAATGCTCCTGCTCAGTGGAGGCGCAAGGACAGGCAGAAGCAGCACACGGAGCACCTGCGTCTGGACAACGACCAGAGAGAGGTGAAAATTGCTCAGCTCTAGAGATCTGATTTTTTTCTTTCCTAATGGCCTGAGAAATGCTCTGCAACCTTTATGAAATGTCTAGACAGTTACTTGCAGTTCATGTCTGCTCTCCCTTAAGTGTATTTAATACAAATGAAGTACCAGACCAAAAATACTTAATTTTCTTATTATAAAAGTTATGTCATTTTTGCCCCCACTCAGGACAAAATTATTTCATCCCACATATAGGAGAGTTCTCTGAAAATATAATCATAACGATTGCAAGTTGTTCTGCTTTTTTTTTATTTTAAAGGGATTGAGTGGGAAGAGGAGAATTAATAGTTTTCAGCCAACTGTTTCCCATCTCTGAATAACTTAGTCACCCTGTGTTTCTTTTGTGTATTTCGTGGAGGAAAGATAACCCCCTCTAGAGAGGGATTAATTTCATCCTAAAATCAGGAGCATTGCCTTTTGACCTAATTGTCTTCTGTAGACCATAATAAAAATCTTAAGGTGACAGAGTGAGAGACAGCCTCATTGCTAAGGTGAGAGTGTGAAGCCCACCCAGACTGTCACGTTTGTGGCTGCCTGTTTTTGCACAGTGCAGTCTGATGCTGATTTACCCACCTTCTGAGCTGATAAACATCTCTCACCGCTGCTCCTACAGCTGACACAGTTTTTCTTTGTGGTGAAGTGGCTTTGAAAGATCTGGGTGAAGTGAACTAATTACAGTACAGTTTCTGATTCATACGGTACAGACAGCAGACTGTTACACCAGGTGTTGATTTATGGGTAATTCCAAGAATAGACTGGCTCAAAATATTAGAGGTTTTTTGTTTGTATATAACCCCAGAGTTTTGCTTTTGTTTGTGTGTTGTTCATTAAAAACAATTTTCTCTTGCCTTGTTAAATATTCTTAGAAAAGCTTAGTTTGGAATTTTAGTAGTCTTGTGTCTGTTAGGATAGTGTTTTGAAATTCAAGTGTGTTTGTTCAGTTCATCCTTTTATGGTAGTGATGGATTTAATTGTCTTCCTAGTGTACTCAGTTCCGGAATTTACTTACTGGTTTGTTAAAATTTTGTTGAATTATAGTGTCATCTCTGTCATCCATGACCATGTAACAGAAAAATGTCTGCATAATAAAAAACCTCTACGAGTAGTTTCTGGCTTTGACATGTTCCATATGCTCAGCTAACTCTAAAGTGCTTTTTATTTAGATGTAACAGAAATGAATAGTAGTTGATTTCTAACCTCATTACTGTGCTAAACAACACAATTGTTAAAGCATGGCATCTTCTGAGCTAATTACAAAGGCAAAAATCTACCTCTGGGCTCTGGGGTGTTTTGTTTGTTTTGTTTTTTAGCTGATTCCTCACAAGTTCATTTCCTACAGGAGTTATTCTCTTGCAAAAGGCAAAAAATATCCGAGGAATAAATACTTTGAAATACATGCTGAGCTGGGGGTACCAAGTACCAGTGGTAACAGTGCTGTTGTTTTAGGGGTGTATGCTGTACCTCTTTGAGGACATAATGGTGATTGAACAGGGACCTCTTCTCGGGGTGCACCTCAGACTTCCACAGTAAACTTGAGAGAGGGGAGGGAGCTCTTCTGAGATGAACACTGGGGGTCAGGCTGAGCAGGAGGGGTCAAAAAATTGAAGCTTTGCAGCTGCCAACAAAAATCAGTGCAATGGAGACTTTTTACTTGCAAACATTTGTGCCCAGTGGAGGGCAGAGTTTACACCAATCCACTGATTTAACACCATCTTTTCTTTTTTCCTTTCAGATTCATTACTTTTGAATTTATGTTTATGTTGAATGCTTGGGAGTTCTGCATTGTATTATGTCTTCACTCTTTTCCTTTTCTGTTTTGCATGCTTGCTTTTATTACTTCATATGTCTTACCACTTTCACTTTACATCTGCCTGGCTTTTTGCTACCAACTTATCCTGCCAGCACCTGGACTTTTCCATGTCAGAGCTTCAGTTGCAGTTATGTTTATACTGGGACCAGCATGATTGGCCCTTCATGCCCTCTATAAAATCTGTGTCAGAGCATTATCTGGTATGTCCAATGCACAATATGATTGTAATCATAGTTCTGGATAAAGATGCATAATTAAATGTATATATCATAGCTCTTTAGTGCAAGGCCAGTGGAGAAGGTGGAGTTTTCCCTCTTGGTGTTTGACAGATCTATTCACTGACATTTCAATTGGTCATTATTTCAGTGTAAGCTAGAGAGGTTTCCTGTTAATTTTGTATAGGTACTAATCCTGAGTGTTCCATCAGTGCCTGTACAGGACTTTGTGTCACTAATTCTCAGTTAGCTGTGCCCTAACCAACCTGGCTTCCAAAATTTGTCATATCACTCTTGTCTCTGGGTTGAAAACAGTGGCAGTAATAGGAGCAGAAGAGCTCTTTCAAGTAGAGTGGGTTCAGGAAATAATTTTCCTCAAAAATGCAGCTGGTTCACAGCTGAGAGATGTTGCTATCATTTGCATTTTGCAGCTGCTTCCTGAAAGAGCAGTTTTCTTGCAGTCCCCATGTAGACCAGTCTGCCACTTGAATACTCTTGGTCTGGGTAGTTTTTAAATATTTTTATTTAAATGAAAAAAAAATAAAAAAGACAATTGGCAGTGGTGCAGGGAGTAGCTGAATCTCTATGCATCTGAATATCCTTGGCAGTTTGTATTGCGTTTTTGTAATTCAGCAACATGTGTTTTAATACTGTGTAGACAGTATAAATGGGGATTTGACCTCTGGTGAAATAGCAGTTTTAAGTGTCTCAGCCCTAAATAATGCTGGATGAAAAGGGGCCTTTTCTGAAAGAGGAGATCCTTTCCTCCTTACTCCAGAGGTGTGGGTTATAAAGATAAATTTACCTTTTTCTCTCAGCCAAGTAGTCTCACTTGCACTTTGTCTGTGTCCATTTTCTCCTCCAATCCAGAAATACATCCAAGAAGCCAGGAACCTGGGCAGCACCATCCGGCAGCCCAAGCTCTCCAACCTCTCTCCATCAGTAATTGCACAAACAAACTGGAAGTTTGTAGAAGGCTTGTTGAAGGAATGTCGAAATAAGGTAAAAAAGAGAATATTTCTGCTCTCCTGCACCTTATATCCTGTATCTCATATCCATCCTTTCTGGACCATTTTGTATCCAGTATGTTTGAACCCCCCCCACTTTTCTGCCATCTATTTCTTCTTTATCTCTATAAGGATTTTTCATGGTGGTGAGAAATTAATAAAGAGATAATGTATTCAGAAAGTCTGCAAGGAGCAGAGACTTTATCAAGCAGATTTATGATAGAGATTGGATATTCTGAAGGGTCTTTACCATCCTGCTGCCCAAGTCTATTATAGCACATTTCAGTTATAACTAATGAGACAGTGCTATTTCAACAGGAGTGAATAGTCCAAAAGAGAAGCTCGTGGGGAAAATACAGCAGCTTTTCTCATAACTCCATTTCTGAGGAGTACATTTTTAAGCACTTAACAAAGAAATTTGACATTAATTTGTAGACATGCTTCACCAGTATATATTTGACAACATATTAATCTCAAGTGTTCTCATAACTCCATTTCTGAGGAGTACATTTTTAAGCACTTAACAAAGAAATTTGACATTAATTTGTAGACATGCTCACCAGTATATATTTGACAACATACTAATTGAAGTAAATGTTAATGTTTATAAAAATACAGCAAAGAGAATAATTATGAATTAGACACTTGCTTGCCTAAAGTCAGTGGAGGTAATACAGTACTTATGTACAACTTTTCATAAAACTCTATTTAATATGTGCATCTACTTCTGATTTCACTTTATGGAACTGTCCAAATAATCCCCATCCCTTAATAGAGGCACAATAGATGGTGAAAGCTTTTGAAGGTGGACTTGTCTCTGTGACAATGACAAATTGCCAGAGGGACTGAGGGGAACAAGCAGCTAGGGACTAACTTGGACTTAATTTTCACCAAGACTATGCAGAGGTGCTTAAGGGAGTATTCCTCATTTGAAAGCAAGTCTAGAATAGAAACAAAGATGAAAAAAATTTGTAGGAGACGAGTGGAAGCAGTATTCCTCATTTGAAAGCAAGTCTAGAATAGAAACAAAGATGAACAAATTTGTAAGAGACGAGTGGAAGTGATGGCCTCACCATTTTTTCCTCCAGTTGGCTGTGTGATGAATATATTGTGACTGGAAGACTGTACTTCAGGAACTGTTGAAGGCTTTGTTGGCCAGTATGAAATTGTGCACAGTTTAGGAGAATGTGGCTCGTGGGGAAGCTCAAGAGGTGCACTCCAGAATGGGTTTGGTTTAATCCAAATGCCCTTCTGGCAGAGCAGCATCTCCCAGGAATGACATACTTGTGCTGCTTGGAAACACTTGGCTGCATTCACCTCTCCTGGGAGGACAGGCACAAAGTGTCCTGCTCTTGGGGAGTGCATCCAGTAGTCACCAAAGTACCCAAGATCTGTGTTTTGGGGTTTGCTGCTGAGCATCCAGCTTGTTAATGTGTGACCTGCTGTTCCCTTTGTTGGGGTTACTCTGTGGAGGATGATGTGCCCGTTTGCAAACCCTTTTTTTTAGAAAAACAGATGAGCACTGCTGCTGTCCTGGCTTGAAAACCAGGGATAAAAGAGGGGCAGGTATGCACTAATGCCAGAAACACCTATATACAGCCAGTTATTCTGCAAAACTTTGTTAGCATGTGCTTCCTTATTGGTCATTTAAAAAGTGAATTTTAAAGTGATCTTGGAAATTCCTGGGAGAGATTTACCTCTCCTTTGCCTTGTCTTTTTGAGACTAAGAGGATGTTGGTTGAGAAAATGGGTCGAGAAGCCGTGGAGCTTGGTCATGGTGAAGTGAATATCACAGGAGTGGAAGAGAACACCCTGATAGCCAGTCTGTGTGACCTCTTGGAAAGAATATGGAGCCACGGCCTGCAAGTCAAACAGGTGAGGAATAAATATTCCTGTACATTGCAGAGTACACTTTCCTGAAGTTGTGTTATGCTGTTCCTCTCTGCTTTCAGAGGACACCTTTAGTGTGTATGTAGATGTGTTAAAATACTCGTGTGTCCTGCAGTCTTGTTTATGTCAGGTCCTACCCCCTGTGTGTCTCCATGCTGTGGGATGTGTGCAAATGTACCTGTAGATGTGTTCCACTGATGACTTCTTGGAAGATTCTCCATTTAACCCAGGGTTTTCATTTGGTTTGGTGTGTTTTGGTAGTTTTCTTTATTAGGATGATAAAAAAACCCCAACTATTGCTGTGTTCTTAATATTTTTGTTAATGAAGTTACATTGGCTACAAGACAGCCTATCCTAAAGGTGCTGTCGGTGGGATGGGGGAATTTTTTTCCTGAAGGATAATTTAGTACTTCAAAGTAACAGTCTTGCTGTTTTGGTTCTTCCTGGGTAATGTAGGGGTGCTTAAATTATGGTTACAAGATCACTAGCTAGAGGTGTTGGGGTTTTGTGTGAAATTAATAATTGTTTTGCTGTTCTGTTTGGAGTCACTTTTGGGACAAGTTGGAGTTTGGAGGGCCTTTACCAACTTTACTCCTCCTTTGTACAAAGGAGTAGCAAGGGTGGAGAAGATTATAACTTTTTTTTTTTTTTAAAGAATATATGTTCATAATCCAGACAACTGTAATCCAGTATCTCTGTTCCCAGCAGCCAAACACCAGTGTTTAACTCTGCTCTCCTTCAAACTATACAACAGTTTTCTATGTGAAGATTTATCATGTGATTCTCTCCCTTCCCTCTTGTATATCACTTAGGATAGAAGCTGTACTGCTTTCGTCTTAGAAGACAGAGCATCAGTATACTCTGCTTCAACCCAGATTTGGGCATTTCAGAGCACCAGACGGCCAACCCTCCATAAGGTTAATGCTTTGGATTGATTGCAGATGTTGGCAAGCAGCGCTGAATGGTGGAATAAATACAGTGGTGGAATAGAATAGAGGCCTGATGGAGGAAGTGCAGTGTATCTCACAGTATGATCCAGAGTTTAAAATAAAAAAAAAAAAAAGTAATAAAGCACCACCAGTTCTGTGTGCTCTGGCCTTTATGAAATATGCAAAAGCCTGCTGTTTCATACATCGATTTTGTTTTATTTTTCAATAATGAGCCAAGGAAGACTCTTCTTTCTCAACTGACCATAGTAATGAGGATGGCTTTCCTTCCACCAATCCCTGCTTCTACCTCTTCCCTGCTGATGACCCCCAGTAGTCCTACATTAGCTACCTACTGATTTCTCCACATGCAAAGGGAATCCATGCCTTCCGTTGTCCCGAGCGATGCAGGGGTTTGTGATGTAGGATCTAATGACTGAAGTAGTCTGGACTTTCAGAAGGCTTTGGTTATTCCCTTGCCCATTCTCTATCCCACTACTTTCCTTAGGCTGTCTTCCTTCCCCTTATAGATCCAGCTTGCCTCATCATTGCTATTTGGTGAAGTTAAAGGAGAGGTCCACGGTGCTGAAGGAGCGGGCAGACACTGCATGAGTCCTCACATTCATCATGGTTGTTGGCATCAGTTTGCTGCAGGACCCTTTGTTGCTGCTTTCTGTGATCTGTTGCAGTTCTCCTTGCCATGGCAGCTGGTTGCTGAACACTAGACTGTGTGTGCATGTGTGTGTTTATTGGGAGAAAACACAGTTTTGGATGTAAATCTTTGCTGGGTGGTATTTCCATCTTCTTTTTTATCTGTTTGTAATAAGACTTGCAGTTTTGGCTTTCCATGTTGTATCTGTCAGGTACACACAAGACACAATGGATTTTTTTATATCTTTACCACTGAATGCATATTTTTAATAGATTTCTGTCATCACAGATGTTACAGACACTAGGATTTATACTTCTGGAGGCGTGCCACTTCTGGAATAATCCCTCATGGTCAATAGTTCATTATGTCAGCTGCAGGGAGCTATAGGATGGAAATGGTTAGAGAATTTAAAATATAGTTTAAAAAAGAAAAAAGTCAAGATGAACTATCATTACTGCACTTCTGGGAAGGCACTTAGATAATTTTAGAAGAAATTGATAGTGTGGAATTGACAACTATTGCCTTACAGTCATGGCTTCTTTCTGTACAAAGCTGTAAATAAAAATATGGCCTCATAATATGACAGCTTTTCTGAAATGCAGAATTGCTAAATCTTTACTGGGATTTCAGGTTAATGCAGTCCTTTAGGAAGATAAGTAATACTAATTATCTGTAAGTAATTCCAGTTGTTGTGCTGGAGAGCCTCTGTTTGCTTACTGCTGCCTTTCTGCATGTTTGCAAGCTTTTGGTTTATTATGTGAAATATTTTATGATGGATCCAAGAATCTTTCCCAGTGAAAGATTTTCTCACTTTCTGCTTTAAGCCACCAGGGGTTTAAGAAAGTAATAATGGGCAAGGAGCACCTTTTAACATCATATGATGGATTTATCTTGGCCCAAATATTACATCCCAAATTCTGACTTTTAAGTTGGTTTTACAGTGTGTATAACTGGGGTATTTTTTGCTGATAAGCTTTCACTGTCCTGCTTATATTTTGGGATACCTTAGTGTGTTTGTGATTATGCAGGTGCTTTGGTGATGAAATTGAGGGGAATCTTTAGAGGTTCTAAAAATGGGCAGCATTTATCCATAGCCCTGAATTACCCTGAGAGGAGCAGGGCTTGGCCTGTGTGAGTCTTGCTCAGGCTGGCTCTGTGTCCCTTGTCATTTACTGCTGGAGAGGCAGGGAGAGACCCACAGGACAGGTCACAGCCTCAGGTTTAAAACTCCACAGTGTTTTACAAGCCTTTGAATGTTTTCTTGTCATGGTTATTAACTAAGAGGGAAGCAGTTCCATTGACTTTTTCCTGTTACCAGAATCATTAGATCCCAGTAGTCTGACTCTTGCTTTTCCTTCTCAGCCTCTTTACAGCTCCCAAGCTCCTCCCACTTTTGTCTTATTTTTGGTTTTTACCATTGGGTTTATAGGGAGAAACATCTTTAAAGCAAGTTTTTGTCATGGCTGATACTTTCAATGATGTTTCAGACTTCTTTCTTTTTTTTTTTTTTTTAATTCAGCTGGTAGTGATTAACTAATATTTTTTAATTTTAGGGAAAGTCTGCTTTGTGGTCTCATCTGTTGCATTACTTAGAAAACAGACAAAGAAGAACCACATCAGGCAGCTTCAGTACCTCAGGTAAGATTGGCATCTGCTGGAAGAAGATGATTAAAAGCTGTAAGTAAGAGCTGCCTGCAGATTTACACCAAGCAGAGTTTTTTTTTTTTCCCCTTTGGAAATACCCTTCACTCAATATAACTGAGTCAAGTGTTATGGTTGCTAGAGGTTTAATATGGGCCTGATATGTTGTCTCAGTGTGTTTTATGAAAAATAAACTGGTTTGTATTGTGCCCACTTGTTTGAGTCTGGGATCTGACTACCATGGTAGTCAGAAACCCAGAAATAGCTGATGCTTCAGAGACAGGCTTTGAAATGGATTGCTCTGGTACCTCACCCTCCATGAGACACACAGGCCCTGCATGACTGGCAGAGAAAATAATTTTATGGGTCAGGGTGGAAAACTAAGCACAGAAAATTTTGCTGTACACTCTGAAGTTTTACATTATGGCTTGAAAAACAACTGAACAGGGGGCTTACTATTAAAAACTTCAACTGGAGAAACATATTTTAGTATTTGTTGGGTCAACTGTTGTAGTAGAAGCAATATTGTGCATAAGATCTACTGATAATATGTTTTTAGGATTATTAATGTAATTTTTAAGCATTTCTTCTTGTGTCAGATGGGGGCATAGCATATAAATTTGGAGAGAGCAGTAGGTTTGGGGAAGGCAGTGGGTGCCTTTTATTTTTTATTTAAAGCTGCTGTAAGCAAATATTTGAGTATTAGTAATGTGCACAAGATCCTGTAAGCAACCAAAACCATAGATTTGGAAATGTTAAGGTCTCCTGAATGTCCCTTAATTCATAGTGGTTTTGTGTATCAGAATAAGTCACAGTCAGTTCTATGCTTTCCACCTTGGGATTGAGGGCAGGGACTGTATTCAACTTCATTCTGGAGTGTAATTTGAAAGATAAAAGTAGTTCTATGCTTTCCGCCTTGGGATTGAGGGCAGGGACTGTATTCAACATAGAACTTCATTCTGGAGCGTAATTTCAAAGATAAAAGCAATAATATTGCTTGAAAACCCCAAAGTGTAATATTCAAAAAGTAGTGGTGCTACAGGAGTGTGCAGAGCAATAGCTCAGGAAGCACAGGGTGTCTGGTGTACTGAGTACAGCATATTGACATTGTTCTCTGGTGTCAGCAGTGCCACTCAGGGTTACTGCCCAGCAGGAAAACAGGGCAGTCATTAGAAATCAATACTTGATTACTGTGTGTCTTAAGCCATTTGGTGTCATAGCAATTTCAGCTGAATCTAAGCTCAGTGATGTGTTGGTGCTCAGTCTATGCTGATCTGTGGAAACATCTGTGTAGCATGTTAGATTTTCATGTCATTTGGGGTGGAAATACACCACAGTACCTTCACCAGTAGTACAAGAGTGCAAACTGGCATTAATTCACCTTCTTTTTATATTGATTGTAGAATCTTTAGATGGATTTCTCTTAACAAGAAATTGTTTTCTTCTCAATCTAGGAATACTTCTTGATTCAGAAAGACGAAAGTCTGATACAAGTCCAGCCATGTCACCTCTCAGAATCTCTCTCATTCAGGATATGAGGTGAGTTTGAACTGTTAAACAGCCCAGAAACCCCCTGAGATTTGCACACTTGTTTCTGTGTCTGCTGTGCACCATCCTGTGCACTTCAGGGAAGGCACTTAGATAATTTTAGATGAAATTGATAGTTGGAATTGACAACCATTGCTTTACAGTCACGGCTTCTTTCTGCACAAAGCTGTAAATAAAAATATGGCCTTATAATATGACAGCTTTTGTGAAATGCAGAATTTCTAGATCTTTACTGGGATTTCAGGTTAATGCAGTCCTTTAGGAAGATAAGTAATACTAATTATCTGTAAGTAATTCCAGTTGTTGTGCTGGAGAGCCTCTGTTTGCTTACTGCTGCCTTTCTGCATGTTTGCAAGCTTTTGGTTTATTATGTGAAATATTTTATGATGGATCCAAGAACCTTTATAGTTTCATGGAGCAGGAGGGGGCTCTGGGGAAGGAACCTGTTGAACTGTTTTAAAGTAGATAGTTCAGCATTTTCATTGACCTTTACAGAAACAGGTTTCATACTGAGGAGCTTTTATATTGTCAGAGCTATTAAGTTATGGCAATACCATGACAGAGTTTTCATATTTTTAACGTTTTGTGTATTGGTTTAATTCCCACAGAGGTGTGGGTGTAGTGTTTGTGTGCTCCCAGTCATTGCTGGGTTGGTGGTATAGTTCTGAGTCCACTTTTGCTTCTCAGGGAAGAATGCAGTTTAAAGAACTGGTTTGATCTAAAGAATGGGTTTATCTAACATTCAGTACTGTAGTGTGAATAAAACTACAACTTCTACCCAATGCCTTCTTTTCAGTACACTGAAAAAGCAATATGCAGAACTTCTGAAGCAACCTTGGCAGGAATTGCCTTTTCCTTCTTTTCCCTTAGAGCATCCATTTTTTTTCAGTAGAGAAGAGTGAATTGAGGATTTGCCTGCCTTATTAAAATATACCATTTGTGCCTTGTGTGCAAGAAAAGCTTCTACTGAGCATGCAAAGACTGTTTAATTTTCCAAAGCATTCAGCCATAAATATTGCAGAGATAAGGTCCAGAATGAGTCCTAAATCATGTGAGACAATGGGCCTGGTTTAGAATTTTGTAAATAGGGCACTGCATTGCAGATATTTCCTTTTCAGGCTCTTATACTCTTTGAGCTAGATTGCAGGGATTTTTTTCTTGTGCTGAATATTAAGGTGATTATGTTTCTTTTTCCTATAATTTACCTGATATTTTGTGTTCTTTGGAAAACTTCAGCTGAGCTTGGTTCAAAAGAGCTGTCATGCTTTGACAACACCAAGCATGTCTTTTTCTTTTATTCCAGGCATATCCAGAACATAAGTGAGATCAAAACAGATGTTGGCAAGGCCAGAGCCTGGGTTCGCCTCTCAATGGAAAAGAAGTTGCTCTCTAGGCATCTGAAACAGTTGCTTTCAGATCATGAACTCACAAAGTAAGATGGGTTATCTTGGGCAAAGCTTTTGAAAAAATTAAAATCTATGTGATTGTTTGGTTTCAAAAATCCAGGTGTGCCTATTTTTGCATCTGCTTAGCAGAAGGCATGGAACAAATTGGCCTTCCACGTGTGTGAGCTGTTTGGGAATTAGGATTCAAAGCTGGGGTTCTTGAAATGGGTTTTACATTTATAGCCTGCTCAGCAGCCTAAGTGATTTGCTTTCATAACAATCACGTACAGTGCTTACTGTCTGGAAATTAAAGCCATAGTAATTGTCATTAACTTTAACTGAAGACTTCTTTCTGGACACAGCTTAACCTGTGCTGTCTGCTCTTCCTTCCCTCTCCTTCCACTCACGATCTTCCAAGGAATCCCCAATCCCCCTGAACCCCAGCAGCTAATTATTTGATATTTGCCCTGTCTTGTATTATGTTGGACTTTCTGATGAAGCTGTGACCTTCAGTGGATATGGAAAAGCTGAAGGATGGAGAGAGGACAGCTAATAAATCTACCTCTATGTCCAAATTAAGGCTAAGCCTCTCCAGTGAAGTCAACAGTTTGGATCAGGTTAAATTTAGCAGTGCTTGCTCCATGCAGAGCTCGTGCTGTGAGAGGACTTTCCACACACCACCACTCTCCATGTACCCCCACAAAAGAGAAGGAAAAAACCTCTTTTAACACTGGCCAGTGTACTCTTCTTCTATCAGGCAGATTCTGGTTCTCTGGAACAGAGGGAGACTGCAGCAAAAGTATGTTTAAAATGACAGTGACAAAGGACAACTTGTACAGGATGACATCAGTTCTCTGCAATCTTGTGTGCTTTGTGCTGCATATTTAGATATCCTACTTAGAGAGCTGTTCTAGGCAGTGTGGTTTGAAAGTGTGCTCCACTTGTTTCTAGAGGAAGCAGTGCTGATTTCATTGAGGTACTAAAAGTAATGGAGCAACTTCTGCCAGTTTACAGTTAACAAGACTGTGTGCTGTTCCTTTTGAAGCAGCTGTTAGATATTTTAAATATCCCATTCTCTTTACTTGACATTTGTCAACAAATATAAGGAAAATGTTACATGTTTGGTTTTTTCTAGTGTGCAAAGGGAACAGGGAGAAATCACATGTCCAGAGATGTTTGTGTGTCCAGGGAAACAGAGAAACCTTACCCTTGGAAGAGACAGAACAGCACATACCCTGACAGGCTGTCAAACATGTGATTCAGATTGTGCAAATGCAACACAGACATGGGCACCTGTGAGACTTCTGTGGCTTTGCCACTCTTGTGGCTACAGGCAGGTTAGGTTAATTTAAGGCTCAGTCTCTTTATTTTCATTGAACATTTCCTGTCAGTCTCTAGTGTCAGGTTTGTTATATGAGAACATGCCTGTATGTTGACTATCATAGATTTGTTTTGCAAGTTTCTGCCTTGTGACTTGCTGACTTTTTTGTAAATTGATACCTGAAATTGAGGGGAGTTGTCAGCTTGCCCTCCTGGCAGGAACAACGTGTCCATGGCTGGGTCAGCATTTCTAATACCTAATTCCTGCATTCTGGAGGGTTTAGAAATTCCTGCAGCATCAGTTGGATTTTGATATATTTTGGCATGCTCTTCATTTATGATTATGCCCAACACTTGTATTATTTATTGGTTGCCACCTTTGCATGCCTGTCATTTTGGTTATGTCAGGAGCTGTGTACTATCAACACTGAACTATTCCCTGGATTAATGTGCAGGTTGCTGTAGGCCCTGGGTGATCAGCTATAGCCAAATACAAGCAGATAGCCCCAGTTTTTGCCTTATGTCCTTTGAGAACAGTCTTCTGTCACACATCATGTGCTGGAGAGCTCTCCCATGGCACCCTCTGCTCAGAAGTAACTTAGGAGAACTCTCTTCACTTCAGTTCTGTCATTTTACATGGTCAAAAGAAGTCAGAATATTTTTCAAGAAAGTGCAAAATTCCTTTGTCCATCTTGGGGTTTTTTTGGATGGGAGAAGACCCTTAAACCAAATGTTACATCTGAGGGGTGGAAGATAATGAGAACTGGGCTGATTCACTTTGGAGATGTCAGCCTTGCAGAGACTCAGTGTATCTTGGCACACTGAAAACTCCTGACTCTCCCAGTATCGCTTCTCATTTGTAATTGCTTGCCCATTATTCACAGTGTACCTAATAAATTTGCACAGTAGAAAACATTTCACTGGAAGCATCTTGTTACTGTGACAGATTATGTGTTTTGCTTTGTCAGAAAACTCTACAAGCGTTACGCGTTCCTCCGCTGCGATGATGAGAAAGAGCAATTCTTGTATCATCTCCTGTCATTCAATGCTGTGGATTACTTTTGCTTTACCAATGTTTTCACAACAATCTGTAAGTATTTGCTTTCCCTGCAACTCTGATTTCTAGATTTGGTTGAGTCCTTGTCCAAAATTCTAACAAAATTCAAAACTCAAATTCTTCACAATGCTAGCTCTGAGCAGCATGCCCTAATGTAGTTGTTCTGCTTTTTTGCCCTGGGATCCATCTGTGTGTGCTGTATTGCTGTTTCCATGATCTTCTGTGGTGGGCAAGAGTTTCTGTCTCTGTCACTTTTGTTTCGAACTTAGTAAAATACATAGCTCTAATAGTTTTAGTTGGGGGTGAGTTCTCAGCTGAAATTTTTGTGGTGGACTTGTTTGCATGATACTAAATAATCACAGGATGGGTTGTTCACTATCAAGGTAAGAATATTAATGCATGCTGGGAATTAAAAGAAAACAAACCTTTCCTTTTTTGTGCTCAGGTTACTTTGCTGCATACCTGTCTCTGGGTTTGGGGCAACAATGAAATGCCTGTTGAGGGCTGCATCAGAACTCCTCATCATTTTTTTTTCCTTCTAGTTGTTAAAAAGATACCCTAGAGAAACTTTCAAGCTATTGTTGATAGCTATAACATTTAACTGTGTCACAGAGTTCTCAAAGATCTGTGTGCCTGCTGCCACACAACATCACTGGGAAGGCAAAATAAGGAAAGACTTTAGCAAGGCTTATGAAATTGGGGGTGGGATATGTGAAAGGCTACCCTTGGTGGTGTGTTGTGATTCACACTTGTGTGTATGAAAGACAAAGCAAACAGACATCCAAGCAAAATAGCTTTTGGTCTCGCAGGCAAGTTCTGGATAATGTGAAAATCTGGTCTGCTGGATGCAGTTCAATTGTCACTTACTTTAGGACTATCAGCACAGAAAATAAAAAGGGAAACATTTTAATTCATTCTGAAATGCTATGAGCATTGAGCTTTTAAGAAAACCCAACCACCAAATGCTTTCTCGAGGGCAGTGGCAGCTGAGGAGATGCTGAGGGAGAAATGCATTAAATGCCTCAGCTGAAAAGCCCTGACTGTAATCTGCTTATGCACTATGAAAGAAGGGCAGAAAGCCAAGAAACACAGTGACCATTCAGAGAATTGGATTTTGTTATAAAAGGTTGGTTAACAGAGGGCTGGGCAGGAGGTGCTGGGTGGTGGAGAGCATATGCCTCGAGAGTCAGAGGAGGGACTGCAGCTCAGGTGATACTGCATGGAATTAGTCACAGGTAAACCAGGGGACCAGAAAGCATTTGAGCATATGTGTGGTACTATTTAGAAGGAAAAAAAATTGCTGTTCTTTTGAGAGATTGATAAGCCCTAAAGTTAGCATAACTAAGAGTGACATGGCAGAGAGAAATTTGCAGCATTATGCTGTATTCACTGGATTTGTTCAGCCGTGGCAGTGAATGCTGCTGCCATCCATGGCTGTGAAGAAAGGCTGCAGTTAGTACCTGAGTAGGGCGTGAGGGAGTTGTACAGTGCTGAGCTACAGTGCACTCCTGGATACAGGAATAAATTGTCTTTACTTCTTTGTCACTCAGCTGAGGATAAGTAACCATCTTTGTGCCGTGTTGTGAGGTTGGTAAATAAAAAGGATTACACTCATAAGAAGGCATTATTCCATCCAAATTTCTTTCTTCACTTGACACTGTTCTGCTGTCAGCTCTCCTTCTTAGTGGCTGCTGTGTATGTGTAGACTTCCCCATTCTCAGTCAGTGCTTAGTGTGCAAGTGTCAGCATGATTAAATGGGATCTCTGATGTTCTTTTAACATTTCATGGTACTGCACTGCTGTCTGATGGCTTATTTTTTGCCCCTCTTTTGACTAAAGAGGTTACATAATTATTCTTCTTCATTTTTGAAGTATTCTTTCTTTTGTGTTTGTAGTGATACCATACCATATATTGATTGTTCCCAGCAAGAAACTCGGCGGCTCAATGTTCACAGCCAATCCTTGGATCTGTATTTCGGGGGAACTAGGTGAAACAGGAGTCCTGCAGATTCCCAGGAACTTATTAGAAATGACTTTTGAGGTTTGTGTTGCTTGATACAAAACCTGATTTGAGTGTTCTGTTTGTTCAGTTTTAAATTCTGCCCTTGCTATAGCACCTTGAAATCCGAAAGTGTGGCAGATGTGTCTGTGCTCCTGGTCCAGTGGTGTTTTTTGTATTGTCCTTCACCTGTGGAATGAATGTGGAATATCTTTGTAGTTAGTCACAGATAGTTTATGCCTGTGCATAGCACATTTAACCTATATTTAATAACATGCAGAGCAAAATGACTGACAGTTCCTTAGTGCAAGGGATAGACAAGACTGTCTTTATGTTACAACTGTGGGAGGTGTCATATCCTCTTCTGTGGGAAAACAAAGAAGTGATTCTGCTCTGATTTCTGCCTGTGTGTTGTGTTCATTGGGTACAATTGAATTGAAAAATCTAGTTCAGCTGATGTGCTCTGTGCAGACCAAATAGTATTTAATAAAACAAGCAAAACCAAAAACAAGTAAAGCAGCCTACCACTAAAAAGCCCAGAACCAACCATGCAGCAGAAACAGGAACCACATTTCTGAGTTTCTGTCTGAGCATGTTCCCTAACAGTTTACTCCCACAACATGCTGCTTTCTTTCAGTTTCCTCTGACAAACTCTTTGTTTAATTTGCAGTGCCAGAACCTGGGAAAACTGACCACAGTGCAAATAGGACATGATAATTCAGGGCTGTATGCCAAGTGGCTTGTGGAATATGTTATGGTCAGAAATGAAATAACAGGGCATACTTACAAGTAAGTATCATCCTGACATTTCATGTGGGGTAAGTAGAATTCCTGCAGGGAGCTGGCACAGTAGGGCTTGTTTGATTAGAAAGGTCTGATCTCCTGGGACTCTGTGTCTACAGTTGCCTCGACCTGAAGGCACAGAAAGATTGTTTGGCTTCTGGCATTAAGCAAATCCTGGTTCTCATTAATTCAAGCAGGGTTTGCAGTTTGCAGATGTTCATGTCTCGTGTCACACTGTTGGTGGAGAGGATGAGTTGACTGTTGTGCAGCTTAGAAATAATCTGCCTTGACCAAGCAAGAAACAGCAAGTCAGAGCTTGCTGCTTACCAAATATAGGTGGTATTTTATATTAGGTCTGGGTACTCCAGGTGTTATAGAGACACCTTTGGACATAGGCTGGAATACAAGGCCTTATGAGTGTTAGAAACCTGTGTTTACTTGGGGAGAGTAAGGGAACAAAACTTACAGTGAAAATTAAATTTATTTGTGTTAGATACAGCATAGTTTGCTGCCCCGTCCTTTGTTTAGGGAAACTGTCAGGCTCATGTTGATGTCAAATTGGTGGGTAAGTCCATGCAACTCTCCATGCCAGTTCATTTGTAATTAAATGAAGAGGGAAGATTCTATTTCTGGATGCTGTTCAATTTTCCAATTAAGCTGATTAAACTGCCATCAACATTGGTTCAGAAACAGTGATAATGAGCAAATGAGCATGTGTGCTTTCTAGTGTCTGATTTAATACCCCAATTCAGTAGAAGTACTGGTGTTTTGGCATTTTAGCATATGTTTGGGCTGTGGGGTTGTTTTACAGCTGCCTCGCTACGTAGCATATTCAGTGTATTTCCTCACCCATCTGTGGGGTGTGGTAGGAGTTCCCCTTTTACCCATTTTTCCTCAAATCATGCTGGGACTCAGGCAAAATCTCCTTTGTGGATGGATCATCTACTGCAACACTCAGCACAAACTTGGAACTGAAAAGATGTTTTACTTTTGCTGCCTGTGCTGGCAAAAGCCAAAGCCAAGACTTTATTACTTGGTGCTGGATGAATGAAGTCTTTCTAATAACTATGCTAGCAGGATTTGGGCTTTAGGCAACTGCAGTTGAAAGTGTTTGGCATGGAATTGAATGTGGATTGATCCATTTATCTCCTTGGTGTTGTTAGGTTTCCCTGTGGAAGGTGGCTTGGGAAGGGAATGGATGATGGCAGCTTAGAGAGGATCCTGGTAGGAGAGCTGCTGACTTCCCACACGGAGGCTGATGAGCGGCAGTGCCGAACGCCTCCCCTGCAGCAGTCTCCAAGCATGATCAGGAGATTTGTCACTATCTCACCAAACAATAAGCCAAGTGAGTGCTGGGGCTTGTCCTGTCTTGTCCTGTTCTGCGTCATCATCTGAGGGCTTGCAAACACAGCTGGAGTTTGGAGAGGACCTGTGAAACTCAGCCCAGTGTCCTGCTTGTATTCCAGCTAACTTCCAAATTACAATCCTGAGCATCCTGTTCAGTCTACTTAACTTTTGAAGTCTGAAAGGGTGGCAGATGTGTCTTGACTGTGCTCCTGGTCCGGGTGTTTTTTGTGTTGTCCTTCACCTGTGGAATGAATGCTATGGAGGAAGGTAGAAATTTGTTGCCTTTTCTCTGTCCTTTGTGTATGAAGAATCTTGCTAGTGGTTTCTATTCATGGACTTCTTTGTTTGCTCTTGAGGTCAGTGTTCTGTGGTAGTCTCATTCCTCATAAATCAGGTGGTTACTTTGTTCCCAACCATACTTGGGTTTGCAGCAAAGCTACCACAGGAAGTATTTCCAGGATGCCCAGGTTTGTTAATCCTAAACAAAGCTCCTTTTCTTTGCTTTGGGTCCTGGTCTGACAATTCACATAACATGTAAAAACCTTTTCCACTGCTGGTGTTTTGAAACACCACAGTGTTAACTTCAATATAAAACCAAACGATCTCCATTCCTACCTCCTCAACAATAAATAAAAGTAGGGTTGGGTTTCCATTTCCCACAGCCCAGCACTGTTTCCTTAACAGAATGAGTTATATTGGTTTGTGCTCCTCTGCTGTGCTTTGTGCCGTGCCATAACCCTCACACACAAGGTACAATTTCTGAAGCTGTACTGGATATATTTTTGTGTTTTGCAGAGTTAAATACTGGTCAGATACAAGAAGCTATTGGTGAAGCTGTTAATGGTATTGTCAAGCATTTCCACAAGCCAGAGAAGGAGGTGAGGGGTTGTTCTCTATGTAATGGCACTCCTGTCCTAAAACTCTGATTAGTAAACATGAGAGAATATGTAGCAGAAGTAACTAAACTGAATGAACAGCCATGTGCTTGAGAATTCCTGAAGTGCAGCAAAAATGAGACACCAAGATAGTACAGCCTCAAATACCTGTGTTTTTCTTCTAACTGGAGCATTCTGCTAAATTGAATGTTAACATTCTGGTATTGGAAATTGTGGTATTAGTCAAATTCTACCAAGGATTCTACCCATACACTGTCAAGAGCACAGCCTACTGTTTAGGTTGTTCTGAATTAACTGACATTTTACATCTGCATTGAGTTCTAAGTGGGTTTTTAATGTCTGTTTTGCATTATCCTTGCTACTTAAAACATGAAAACCCATGGGCCACTTTAGAAAATGGGAAAGAAGCAAAAGCCACCCTGAAAACACCCACATTCCCCAAGAAAGTGAAAGAAGTGCTCTTCAAGACTCTTTTGCATTACACATGTGATCAGCTGGCACAGCAGTGATTTTCTGAAACAAACCTAAGCAGCATGCCCCTGTCCTGCCCTTGTGAGCCAGAGAGGTGCAGAGCAGTGCTGGATCTGGATGGATGGCTCTTGGCAGTCAGGATTTTTTTACATTGCTGTAACACCTGACTTCTTCATTCATTCTTCACCTGAATTCATTATGGCATGACAGGTTCCTATCCAGTGTAATTCTAGTCAGTGATCACATTGATAATAATCTCAAGTGGCCATGCACTGGTTTTGCAGAACAGAATTTACCATCATGTGCTGAAGCAGGACTTTATTTTTTACTGAGCATTAAATGCTTTTGTTGATAAGCAATCAGAGGCACATGATACACTGGGTCTGTGATCTGTTATTTAAAAAAAAGAGGAAAATATTTTCCTAATTTTCAGAGTGATGATTATTATAGGTAAAGCCTGCTCATTATCTTGGCCTGTTTGAGGCTTTGTTTGATGATGATGATGAGGCCCTGACAATGCTTTCCTCAGCCTCCTTCTTAGAGAAGTCAATCCATTTTTGAATGCTCAGGACTTGTGAGAACTGGGCCATCCCGTTCAGGGTCACTGTTTGACAGCAGATTTAAACTTTAGGCATCTGTTTATTTAAAAACTTAATGGGACACCTGTGTCCCAGAGTCCCAAGGTGAACTGATGATTGTGTATGCTTTCTGTGTGTGCTGGCAGAGAGGCAGCCTGACCCTGCTGCTGTGTGGAGAAAGTGGACTTGTTTCAGCTCTGGAGCAAGTGTTCCAGCACGGGTTTAAATCACCGAGACTCTTCAAGAACGTCTTCATTTGGGATTTTTTAGGTGAGTGGGAGGATGACATCCCAGAGCCTGTTTGTATCTTTGCACTACATCCAGCTGTGTTCCTTATCACTGCTGTTGTGTCTCAGCTGGTGTGAAGAGCAGACTTCTTGGAGGCATCTCAGCAGCTGCATGGCCATGAGAGCTCCTACCTGCTCCTACTGTCATGAGAGAGAGCCTCTGTCTTCTGCCAAAGCTGGCTGTACTTAATGCAGCAACTGGGCTTTGTCCTTCTAGCAGTTACAGTGTGAAACAAACTTTCCTGCTGAGGAAGAGGCACATAAACAGGGTGGTGAATTGGAATGGGGTAACCTTGCTCTTAATTGACAGCAGAGAAAGCAAGAAATCACATTTGTAAGAGAATGAGTTGTCTTTCAGAGCACAGCAGATGGATCTAGTGCTGTTGTATGTACTGGACATTGTAATAAAGGGGTTATAAGCATGCATTTTTCACACAATGGTCTAGATCCCTTGACAAAGCAAAATAAATCAACTGACTTCACAAACACATTTTAAAAAATTAATTATTTTTAATGTTTCAATACTTTGAGTAGCTGCTTTAACATTGCTGTTCCCCTTATATGATCATTTTACTGCACTCAAATTCATTACATGGGTGAACCTCTTTAGCATTGTTCAGAGGGAAGGAAGGGGAATCCCAGTTTTTTGCAGGGGGAACACAGGCCTGAATCAAACAGAAAAAAACAGTGCCTAAATGTAATGATTCAGGAAATTCATGGATGAGCTTTGATCCTAGGCCTTTCAGTTTTAATTCTCTCCTAATTGCACTGATGAAACTTCATTATCTCCCACCATTCTTTTAAGAAAAAGCACAAACATACTATGAGACCCTTGAGCAGAACGAGATGGTCCCAGAGGAGAACTGGCAGACAAGGGCCAGGAATTTCTGTCGCTTTATCACTGCTATCAACAACACCCCTAGGAACATTGGGAAGGATGGCAAGTTTCAGATGCTGGTGTGTCTTGGAGCCAGGTATAAATTTATACTATATTCTTTATAATTGTTGTTATTGATATTTTAATGAAATGGTAAAGATGTTGCACAGGGGGCAGTTACTCCCCATTCCCTGTCTCATAAAGATAAGTGGAGAGCATGGTAGGTCTGCTTAAAAGCAAAGATTAAAAATGATGTCTGTGCAGATGTGAAATTAACTTGGCTTTATTTTTCTTCCCAAACTGCCCACTGGCCCGAGACCACCTTTTGCACCACTGGATCGCCCTGCTTGCAGACTGCCCCATTACAGCCCAGATGTATGAGGACATAGCCCTGATTAAGGATCACACGCTGGTGAATTCTTTGATTCGGGTGCTGCAGACCTTGCAGGAGTTCAACATCACCCTGGAGGCATCTCTTGTCAAAGGAATCGACATCTGACCTCCTGTCCCACAGGAAAAACTGTTGTTAAAAACACAGAGAAAAGCAACAAGGAGTGGATCTCGTTAGTATGCAGAAGTTCTGTCTTGCCAGTACATTGTATCGTGAACATGTTCATGGCCCAGAAATGCAACTTTGACTTTTCTTGAAGGAAACTCCAGAAATAGTACAGGCAAATGGATAGAAGCTGTAAACTCAATGTAAAAAAGAGGATTTTGGTATAAATCTATTTTAGAGTTTATTTGCTGATTTGCTTTTTACACACTTTCATGTGAAAGAGATAGAGATGAGTATTGTGCAGCTTATTTTAAAGCTGCAGTATTTCCTTGCCATAGAAAAAGTGCAGTGAGCCTTTCAGCATTCTGTGAACTTGCCTTCAGATATGCTGTATGTCATAGATCCCAGTGTATACACTCCATTTCTGCTGAGAAGGTCATTCTATAGTTTTTAAACTAATATTTTATATATTAACATTATTACCAATGTTTGATTTTTAAGGTGTTGGGTCATGTTCTGCTGCAAGGGAACTACAGATCTGATCTGTGCTTTTAATAGCTCCAAAGCACTGATTTGTCAACAATATTTTTTTCCTTTATTTTTGTTGTCAGTATTATTTTTAGTGAAATCCAGGAGACTGAACCGTGAAATGTCCAGAGATCAAAGTAATATTTTTCATATTGGTACGCAATTGCACAGAAGAAGAAATTAAGTCTGTTTTTTAACTGATGTTTTTCTATTTATTTAACCTATCATTGTGTTTTGTAAGTTTGTCTTTAAAAAAAAAATCTTCTATGATACAACTGGCTATATTATGTTGCAATTCAGAATTTACAGTGTAGCCCACTTAAATGAAAAACCTGGAGTAAATGTTCATAACACAAGAACGTTTCCACTTAAACCAGCCTTTTGAAGCTTGGTATATGATTGCTGCTGGTAATTCTCTTAACTGCTAATAAAGAGGGACATGAGTTCCCCAGATGCCAGATGACTAAATAAAAACCTCTATGCCCCATCTGAAGTAATAACAGTATACCTTACTAACAAGTATAAGGATTTCTTTTCTGAAAAGACAGTGGTATTAAGGTTTTTTCTTTTCCTTTTGAGTGCATATGTCTTGGATCCTGTTGTCACAGTCTGCTTCATTTGGGATGCTTTTGTTTTTAGCAAAGAAAGTTTAGTCCATTTCTGCTATGAAACACAAACATTTTGAAAGCTTAATTTATTGGAGATCTGGAACTTGGCAAACGCCTAAAGGCATCTCTGTTCATTTGAGTCCTCTGATAAAAATCTCTTTGAAATGAATATGTGACTTAAGAACAGGCTGATTTATCAGCATCACAAATTACTGTACAGAAGTTCAGGGCTGTGTATTTAAGAGGTCTCCACTGTATAAACTTATCTCAGTATTGTCTCTCTTTGGGGAAGCAGAGTCCAAGTTTTTTGGTTCATACAATGTTGTAGCACTTTTACTTTACCTACAGCTTAGTCACATCTTGTGATAGTTTTATTTCCATAATTTATGAGTATAGCACATGTATTAAATTTTTGACTATTTTTACTTTTGTCCTATTTATTTCATTATTAAACTGAGAAGTTCCTTTGTCACTACTTATCAGAGCAAGATTCTTCTTTGATTTCACAGTAGCATTAGGAAGATGTGAGAGCAATGTCTGAGCCACTCCTCACATGGGGGGGGTGCAAATTCTTTCACAGCTTACAGGAGTATTCTCTCTGTGTGTAGGGTTGGTTTTGTTGGTTTTTTTTGGGTTTTTTTTAATTTTTTTTTTATTTTTTTATTCCCACTTTGGAAAGGAAAAAATGAAGAAAACCGTTTTACTGCATTCTAAGAATTTCATATATTCAACTTTATGTTAGGATGGTCTTTTTACACCTGCCCTAAATTGTTTATGCATTAATAATAGCAAAACAAAAACTGGTTGGTTTTTTTTTTGTTCATTTGTTTTCTGTTGTTGTTTTTGTTTCAGCTGTATTGAAAATGACTTTACTCTGCATGTGTATTTCACAGAGAATATTAAGTAAGAAAGAAAGGTTCCATATTTTGACCTTGAGAGATGAGTTGATCCTGTTAAAAGCATATATCTCATAGTATTAAGGGTGGATTAATTTTATATTGCATGAGGTAATTACCCTGAACTAAGATTCTTTTTTTGTCTTTTCTTTTTTTCCTTCCTTACACAAGTTTCCCTAGTGAGACATGATACCACTGGCCTGAAGGCTGTTTTGGTGTGGATTGTTTTGCCTTCATTAGGACAGTTTGAGGTACCTGGGATGGGCAGAGGCTGGGATTTGGTGATTGCCAGGGGTGGGCTCCTTGGCTGTCCCATGGGGATGATGCTGCCCATCGGTGAGAGCACCCTGAGTGCTGGCTGTCCTGTGCAAAAGGAGCACACAGAGATCCTCTTCCAGCTCCTAGGTTACTTTATTCTCACAGGAAAAGCCAGTTTGAGATAGACCTTCCTCTTCCTCTCACAGGGGGCCTATGCTTGATCCTGTTGGGGTTCAAAGCACTTTGTGCTGTGCACTTCCAAGTCTGCAGGGATTTGCTGCACTGATGGAGCGGTAGAAGGTTCTGAGATGCAGCAGAAAAAAAGCTGGTTTTGTTAGCTCCAAAGGCAACCAAGGAAGAGCAAGATACTAAATACAGCCAGTGCCAGGATTTTGGGAAGAGATTTAGCTGGCATGTGTAAGAGCAGCCCAGGCTGTAGGAGCAGCCACAATCCCACCACTCTGCAGGGTTCACCTCAAACCCACCCACTTCTCTCATAGCTGTTCCTAGCAGCAGCCCCACAGGATAAGGTGAGGATCCAGCATTTGCCCTTGCCATGCCACTGCTGAACTTCACCGGAACAAACAGTGTAGTCAGCACCTTTTATCCAGAGCTTTGTAAAATCCTTCTCCCTTTGTTCAGAGTAATGCAGTTTGAACTTTTTTTCATGTTACTTTTCCAAAATAAGGGGGCAGGTTTGGTAGGTACAGTTAGCGTGGCTGTGCTGTTCTGTTCAGTGGGCATTTTTTGGTAACTGTTAGTGAGAAAAGATAATCTTTTTAACAACGCACATTCATTCTAAAGAGAGAAATGCAGTGATAAAAAAGTAAGCAGCTCATCATGGAGTAAATACATAGTGCTAAACTAGCCAAATATGTTTACAGGCTCATACCTGATTGAGAGGAAAAATTAGGCTATCACTTATCAATTATTTAGGCTTCTTTGGTTAATGCTACAATGATACTTTATACAAAAAGAAAATGCAAATTAATAAAGTTTGGTTTAAATGTAATTAAATACTATGATGGTAAGTTTATACAAAAGGGAAAAAAAACCCACCTTTACCTGCCATAAACTTTAACCACCTGATATTCTGTAGCTGAAAACATATTCATGAACTGGAGACTATTCCACAACTTTTTCCATTACAAAGAGTATTTTTCAAACTGCTCAAATGGAACTTACTAGCTGGATGACCCATACTTTTTATGTGTTTTAAATTCATGAATATGTTAAGATTTCTGCAGTGAAACTATTCAGATTTTAACATTTTCTGTATATTGTCAAATGAATTTTGTCTGTAGTGAAGAGACTATAGGATACTTGAAAATACTTGAAGAAATTGTACACATACTTCACATCTTTGTAGCTCTTTATTTTATACCTAGAGATTGGTGTTAAACTAAGATAAAGCATCAATACCTTATAAACTATATATTTTACTACATGGGGAAATCACTGGCTTGTTATTTTTAAGGGCCGTGTTGAAGTTTACATTATGACAAAACCAGGTACTGTTTTCCTTTTTTTTTTTTAATTTTTCCTGTGACATTTCAATCCATTGGACATTAAATGTGAATTGGATATACAAAGAGGTTTTACAGGTGTAGCTCATTTGCTGAATTGCAATAAAATTTGTCTTCTAACATGAAAAAATAGCATGAATGTGCTATTTTCATAAAGCCTGGTATAATTTGGCTGATCATCTGGCTCACTGCATGGCTGCAGGTCTGTGGCACATTTTAGTGGCTCGTTTTTGGTCTTTGTTGTACAGTTTTGTGTCTGATGTGTTCAGCTACAGCTGCTCCAAGGCAGCCTTCCCCAGGCCATCCCTGTCAGACTGCCAGCAGCGGGGGAGCTGCCTGCTCAGGGAATGGGGACACGGGGGAGGCAGAGGGACCAGCACACACCCTCAGATGTGCTGCCATTCCCTCTGTTCCAAACCACATGGGTCATCACTGAATGCTCTGTTCCACCAGGGAAGGCAGAAGGGAAGGAGCTGGATCATTGATCTGGAGGTATCTCTGTTGCTTCACCTCTCACACCTCCCTGCTCTGTGGTGGAGGCATTTTTTTAAGCAAAGTAACAAGTGTCGATATCCCTTTTGGGGAGCTGCACTGATCTGCCTGAGCTGGGGGTGATCCTGCTCTGCCAGCAGCTGCTGGTGTCACCCTGGGCGACGCCAGAGGGTGAGCTGGGCCCGGGCCACGCTCTGGTGAGCTGCTGCTTGTCCTGGGACAGGTTTGGGGGTGCAGTGGTGGCCTTGGTGCGTGCTGTGGGTGTGCTGGGCCTGTGAGAGACACCCGGGCTGATGTGCTGGGGAGGGAACTGTGAGAGACACCCGGGCTGCTCCGCTGGGGATGGGCCTGTGAGAGACACCCGGGCTGCTGTGCTGGGGATGGGCCTGTGAGAGACACCCGGGCTGCTCTGGTGGGGAGGGAACTACGAGAGACACCCGGGCTGCTGTGCTGGGGATGGGCCTGTGAGAGACCCCCGGGCTGCTGCGCTGGGGATGGGCCTGTGAGAGACCCCCGGGCTGCTGCGCTGGGGATGGGCCTGTGAGAGACCCCCGGGCTGCTGCGCTGGGGATGGGCCTGTGAGAGACCCCCGGGCTGCTGCGCTGGGGATGGGCCTGTGAGAGACCCCCGGGCTGCTGCGCTGGGGATGGGCCTGTGAGAGACCCCCGGGCTGCTGCGCTGGGGATGGGCCTGTGAGAGACCCCCGGGCTGCTGCGCTGGGGATGGGCCTGTGAGAGACCCCCGGGCTGCTGCGCTGGGGATGGGCCTGTGAGAGACCCCCGGGCTGCTGCGCTGGGGATGGGCCTGTGAGAGACCCCCGGGCTGCTGCGCTGGGGATGGGCCTGTGAGAGACCCCCGGGCTGCTGCGCTGGGGATGGGCCTGTGAGAGACCCCCGGGCTGCTGCGCTGGGGATGGGCCTGTGAGAGACCCCCGGGCTGCTGCGCTGGGGATGGGCCTGTGAGAGACCCCCGGGCTGCTGCGCTGGGGATGGGCCTGTGAGAGACCCCCGGGCTGCTGCGCTGGGGATGGGCCTGTGAGAGACCCCCGGGCTGCTGCGCTGGGGATGGGCCTGTGAGAGACCCCCGGGCTGCTGCGCTGGGGATGGGCCTGTGAGAGACCCCCGGGCTGCTGCGCTGGGGATGGGCCTGTGAGAGACCCCCGGGCTGCTGCGCTGGGGATGGGCCTGTGAGAGACCCCCGGGCTGCTGCGCTGGGGATGGGCCTGTGAGAGACCCCCGGGCTGCTGCGCTGGGGATGGGCCTGTGAGAGACCCCCGGGCTGCTGCGCTGGGGATGGGCCTGTGAGAGACCCCCGGGCTGCTGCGCTGGGGATGGGCCTGTGAGAGACCCCCGGGCTGCTGCGCTGGGGATGGGCCTGTGAGAGACCCCCGGGCTGCTGCGCTGGGGATGGGCCTGTGAGATACAGCCGGGCTGCTGTGCTGGGGAGGGACCTGCGAGAGACGCCCGGGCTGCTGTGCTGGGGATGGACCTGTGAGAGACACCCGGGCTGCTCCGCTGGGGAGGGAACTGTGAGAGACGCCCGGGCTGCTCTGCTGGGGAAGAGCCTGCTGCCCTGATCCCCTGCAGGCATGGACGCGGGGCAGGCCTGCGTGCAGCTGAGGTGAGCGCAGCTTCATTCGCCTCACACAGGTGGCGGCCTCAGGTGCTTCAGGTTTCCTCCAAGGAAAAGGAGGACCAAGAGCAGGGCCTTGCTGGGCAAAGTGTGTTGTGCGACTGCTGGGTGCACGGGCAGGGGCTGTCCGGGTCTGAAATGTTACCATTTGTTGTAGCAATGACTTGGAAAGCTCTCACAAGGAAATACAAATGTCTAAAAGTTATTTCACACCACAAAGTGTCTCCTTTTCCCCCCTAGTATTCCAGAAATGTGTATTAGTAGGCCGTGCTGTGTTCAGCTCTGCAATAAACAGGAACTGTTCTTCGTTTCGGTGACAGTGGCATGTTAAGATGCAGATCCTGCAACATTTAAAATGTCACTGGTGGATCTGATGTTTGGGGAATGTTTTTCTACAAATGGCATAAAAAGACAAGGCATATAAATTACATGGGAGGGTTTTTAATGCCCCTTGTGACCAGAGAATCCAGAAATTTCCTCTGTCTCAGATGAGTCCTATGCAGTCCTGCTCATTACTGAAGATGTGTTATTTTTACACAGAATACAGCAACCCTGGGACACTAAGATGGGAAGTGCAAAAATTTGAGTTATACATTTCAAAGAAAAACAACTACTCAAAACTCAGTGCACACTTGGAGATGAGCAAGGCTTGAAACTACAGCTCTGAGACATTTTTTTATTTTAAAGTATTTCCTCACTTGTCAGGATCCTACTTTGCTTTTACCATTCTGGCATCTCCCAGCCCTCCCAGTTGTTTTCAGCTGCTGTCACAAGCACTCATCATGCTTGCTCAGTCATGCTAAATTTTGGGTCAATATGATGCAGGCCAGCAGAGTTGCTACTTCTCATTAAAGTGCAGATGAAATGGCAATCTATATGTCTTCAGATATTGTTTGATCATCATTAAATAATGAAATTTCACAAGGATTATGAAGCATAAAGCAATTTTCAACCCAAATTTACAGGGTATTCATCCCTGCTCAGGACATCAGGTGTACAATTTTTGAAGCAGATTTTACATCCAGCTGCTCTGTGGCAGCTTAGTCTCCATCTCCCAGTGTAAGGCAACTGCATGTGATAGTGAAAATGGAGAGCAGAGAGGAATTGGGTATTTTACCTCTGTGGAAGTAGCTGTTTGGCAGGATCTATTTTCCTCCCTGAAACTTTGTTACTTGATTTTATTTTAAATTGCTGGGAAAAAAAAAAAATCCCCAAACAGTCCTATTTGGGTTGTCTTCCTGTCCAACTCTCCTGGTATGGTTGTTTTCCTTTCCTTATACTTAGTACTGAAGTTGAATCTTAAGAATTTTTCTAGCTTTTCTCTCTCCCAGTAAAGGTCTTCGTGCCCAGAGCAGTCATCTGTCACTGTGACTCTGTGAATGGAAATGGTTAAAAAGGCTGCAGAAAGGCATCTGAGTTGAGGTCTGAGCTTGTCTGGTTTGTGTCTTTAAAGAGATATTTTAATGGCAATTCTTCATCATAAACAAATGTGTGTTATATGTGAAATAATAGCCAGGCTCCTTCACAAAACACTTTGAGCTTTATGTATAAGAAATGGCTTCATTAGCTAAGATAAATTTGATATTGTTCTGTTTGTTTTCCAAGCTGCAGTGGGATCTTTTGATCTAACTTAAGCATTCCCAAATATTTATGTCTCACTTTATGTTTTAGTTTACAGAAGTAAGAAAGATGCTTTGCTTTTACGGTGCCTCAGAAAGCTTTGGATATTTTGGTTACACGACTCTTCAGTGTCTCTTACTGGTTTTTCTGCTACACTCTTCATATGTGTTCTTACTTTTCTTTTGCCAATCTTGTGATGAAAGTTAATTAATACTGGTTGAGTTCATTGAGGGGACTTGCCTGGGCAGTGTCTGAAATGAGTACCAGCTTTTCTGTGAGTGGTTTGGAGCCATGTGCCTGGATGGGAGATGGCTTCCATTCCATTTGGGAGAGCTGTTTGTGGAGACACCCTGAGTGATATCCCTGGATGAGAGATGTGCAGGTGTGCCAATTCCCACCCCAAGTATGATGGTTTATTCAGGAGATCATGGAAACTGGCGAGAAACCCTTCATTCATTTATTGCTTTCTGATGGTGAGGGGAAGATTGGAGTATGGTGCAGGGCTGGAAAATCCTTGGAGTGTTTAATGAGCAGCTTTATGTATTTATAGATGAGATTGCCTAAGACTGAAACCGTCCAGGAGACACAAAAGGTTGCTTCTCATTGGACTTAAAAAGAGAATAACTTTGATCATTTCAAAAGCAATGAAGCCTAATGCTCCAGTGAGAAAGGAGAGTGGTAATTTATAGCTGCCATTAAGGAAACAAAGACAAAGACTGAGGGAAAGTTTCATTCTGAAGATTTACTAATGTGTATAAACCGCCCTTGCAACTAGAAACAGCTCGGTATTTCTCACAGAACAAAACAAAAGAGAAAGGGCAGTGAAATGGGGATGGGAGGGAGGGGTGGAAAAGAATACTGCCTGCTTTTGCTCCCAGCCTGAAAGGTCAGACATTATTTAGGAAATGATAATTTCAGTGAATAATGTATGAGCCAATTTTACCTGCCAAAGGAGCGACAGCTGTGAGAAATCCCTGGCTGGGAATGGAGGTGGGATGGGGCTGCGTTGGGGGTGGGGTGATGCGTGGGCTTTGGCATGGCCTTCAGCCAGGGATTCACGCTCTGCAGTGGGCTGTAATTACCCGGTAAACACGTCAATATTGTATTGAACCGACCCAACGGAGGCCGGAGCGCCTCGCGTGTGTCCGGGCTGCCCCGGGCTCCCTGCTCGGGCTTGTCCGCTCCGGGCGATGCTTCCCGGGCTGCGGGGAGCCCCGGCAGCCTGCGTGTGCGGCATTCCCGCTCCGGCGGGAGGCAGCGGCTCCGCGGACACCTGCGTTCGGGGCGCCGCAGGTGTGCGAGCGCCGGGGCGGGGCTGGGGCGGTTCGTGTGCCGGGCAGCGGGGCCGGGCAGGGCAGGGGGCGGCCCGCCCAGCCCTCGCCGCCCCGCGCCCGCTGTCAGTGCGAGGCGGGCCGAGCGGCCCCGCTCCCTGCCCCTGCCCGGTGAGTGCCCCCGCTCCCTGCCTCTGCCCGGTGAGTGCCCCCCGCTCCGGTCCCTGCCCTGTGAGCGCCCCTGGTCCCCGCTCGATGAGTGTCCCCGGTCCCTGCCCGGTGAGCGCCCCTGGTCCCCGGCTCGCCCCAGCTCCTCACGGCGGTCCCCCCGCGGGCACCGCGCGGTCCCGGCTCTCCTCTCCTCTCCAGGCCGGCGGCCAAGGGCCGGGGCCGGTGTCGGTGCGAGGTGCGGCCGTGGCGGGGCCGTGCCCGGCGCGGGCGGTCGCTGCCCGCGGGGCGCTCGGGCTCCCCGGGTGCTGCCAACGCCGCTTTCCCGGCGGTTCCCGCTGCCCTGGGAGCGGGGAGAGCGCCGGGGCGGGCACCTGGGGAGGGGCGTGTGTGCCGCGGGTGAAGCTGCCTTCGGACCCCGCGGAACCAGCCCCGGGATTCTCCCACCGCCCCCTCCTGCCAAGTTGAAGGCTGCGATGTTTGCTCGCAGTCTCGTTCCTCCAGGGTCTCTCTTCTGCTCGGGATACTGTTACTGCAGGGGGAAATACCTCTCTCTGTGCCTACCGATTTTTCCTAGCCCTCATTCCACGCCTTTGCATGCCTTAGTGATGCGGCTTCTTGTTGCGGTTCTTTACCGCACGCTGCAGATCACAGAACGGCGGTGTAAAAATAACAACCCAGCTGAGCTGCTGTCCTGCCGCTGCCACGAGATCTGCTTGATGCCTCTGTGTCCTGCCTTAGAGGGAAGCCCCCTCCTCGCCGTGTGTGTTCTGGGACCCCTCTTGCCGGGGCAGGTCTGTGTCCCTGGCTCGGGCAGGGCAGAGCTGGCAGTGCCCAGGGCACACAGTCTGCACGTGTGGCTGCTGCTCCTTTATGCCCGCTGTCTGTCCTTCCCTGCCCATCCTTTCTGTTTGCCCCACTAGCTGGGGACCCCTCAGCTATTGCCCGTGCCCTTCCTTGCATGATTGCTCCTTCAATTCACAGCCTCCCACATTTTTTAATGGCTTGACTTCCCTGCTTTGACAGGAAGCCGATTCTGCTGCTCTTCCCAGCTGCTTCCCGCTGTTTGCCACCTTCTCCTTTCTTGCTGGTGGCAGTATCTGGGGACCCCATCGCTGCTGCTGGAGCTGTGTGCACCTGAGAGCCAGGAAGGCACTGCTGCTCTAACACTGGCTCTTTGCCTTGTTTCCCACTGCCAAACCCCATTAGGAGTTAAAACCAAGTGAACACTTTCTGCAGTTGGCAGCTGCTGCAGTACCTACAGGCATATTTTGTGATTGGGGGAAAGGGAAAAAAAAAAAAAGAGCAGGATGAATGCTATAATTGTAAATGGGAGAAGTGCTGGCTGAAATTTCCATTTGGAAAGTGATCCCCACCATAAAAAGTGTCTGACTATTGAAGTAGTCTCTTTCTGCTGATACTCATGCACTACTTCTTGGTTTAGGAGGCACTTTTTGTACCTGCATGGGGTGTTGCTCCTACAATTATCCCTTTTAGCCAGTTGCTGGAAATCTTCCTGTTTCCATGCTTCAGTTTTCTTCTGCTGTGTGAAAAACTTGTGCTGATGTCTTCTGCTGCCTGTAACTTTTCTTCCTCTTCTGTCTACACTTCTTCATCTCCAGGACTTCTTCCTGTTGGTGTTTCTCTTTCTCTTCATTTCCTCTTCCCTGAAGTTTCCACCTGGATATTTTGCTTCAGTTTGCTGTGCTTTGAGATGGCTGGTCAGATGATTTGGCAATGCTGCTCCCCAAATACAATTCTTGTATTAAAAACAATTATTTTACGATTGTACATCTGTTTAATGGTAAGTCAGTCCTTTAACTTGTTGGTGGTGACTTTGAAATACATTTCAATCCTCTCCCCTTGTTATTTTCAAAATCCTTGGGCTTTCTGCAGGTGATGCATGGATGTGATCAAGAACTCTTTCAGTGACTGCTTTTTGTTAATCAGAAAGATTAACAATCTCTGATGAATCTCTGTGAAACTATCAGCTGAATTTCACCGAGCATCCAACCCTTACAAGACTGGTTTGGATGCATTTATAAATGTGCACAAAAGCTTACCATGGGCTTATCTGAATTGCATACAAATATATCCATAAGCAGGTAGAATGTGACAAATTGAAGTGCAGATGCTGTCTCTGCCTGTGTCTGTCCTGACACACAAAACCACACAACATTCTTGTGGGCAGCACAGAGAGGTGCTCAGCCTTGTCATCTCCTCAGGGATGTGTTCAGGAGGCACACCCTGCTCTCCTCCTGCTGGCATCCCTCCTGAGCCTGCTGTCTCTTCACAGATGTGGACGAGTGTGCCCTGGGGCTGGATGACTGCCACCCAGATGCCATTTGTCAAAACACCCCCAAGCTGTACAAGTGCACGTGCAAAATGGGCTACACCGGCGAAGGGAGGAAATGTGAAGGTAAAGAGACCAAGCACAGCGTTCTGTCTGTGTCAGCATGGAGCATTTCTAAGGAAATAGAGCACTGAAAATAACGAAGGATGATTTTAAAATCAAAATAGTGATTGTTTCGTCACCCGATTTACTTCTTGTTCACAAAATCAAAGGCAAACCTTGCATGGAGTTTCACCTGTTCATTTCACTCAGCATGATAAAGAGTTTATTGTTTATGGCCTTAAAAAACATAAGGTAAAGATGCAAGGGGGTTTCAGGGTGTTTTCTCAGTGATTCAGCAAGAAATGCATTAAATATAGTGTGTTTGCAAGACAATGATGATTTTGGACAGCAGTTGCTGCTCACACTTAGGCAGTCATATCCCTGTCTATAACACTTGGGCATCCATCATATTGACTTTTGCTTTATTCCTCAGACATTGATGAATGTGACAACGACTTCAATGGGGGCTGTGTCCACGAGTGTTTCAACATTCCAGGGAATTACCGCTGTACTTGCTACGACGGCTTCATGCTGGCTCACGATGGCCACAACTGCCTGGGTAAGGAGTGTGCTCGTGGGCAGGGTGAGTGCTGTGGAACACAGCCCTGTGGCTGCATCCATGGGGAACACCTGGCCATCTCTTGGGCTCAGTCAGTTCAGAGAGAGAGAATGTTGCTGGTGAGTCCAGGGATTTTCAGGTACTGAGGTACCATGCCAGTGTGGCAAAATCTTTCTCCCCTCTGTAAATGAGGATAACTGTGCTATATTTCTGTGGAGTGCTTTGGGTTTAAATGTGCCAAATGCTATCTATTATTATGCTAAATGAGTTTATATAAAGGAACATGTGCTATCACTGTCCTCTTTGTCCCACAGTTAGCCTAGGATCAGTTGTCAGGTGTGTTTCCAGGCTTAGGGATCTTCTCTGTCAAATCTATCTGTAATGTGGGGGCTTCTCACTCTGAGTATTCCCAAAAGGAGAGGATGTTGGGAGTGTGCAGTAGCTGTGTATGATGGAGGCCACTGAAGAGCAGAGGGACTAAGCCTCAGGCTGCTGAAGCTGTCCTGCTTCCTGGACCCCCGCTGGGCAGTGGCTCATCCTGTGCTACCTGTGCCATTTGCTTTTTCAGAGAATGGCTGTTTTCCTCTCCTGCTGCATCCCATGTGGATGTGCCTGGACACACACCCATACCCATGGCAGTCAGAGGGAACCTTGCCCTCCCTGCATAATTGCAGTTAGTTTGGCTGGCTATTTCCCATTAGTATGGGGCTCAGACCATCCCCAGGCTGTCTCTTCTGCTGGGACAAATCAGAAAACTCCGCAGTATTCAGTGGTTTTGTGTTGGGTTTTACCTGCTGGGAACCTGTTGTGTGCCCAGCTTTCTGCAGCATAGGTGGAGGAGAGGGTGAACTCCCCTCCCCAGGTTCCAAATATTTAAATAAAGTAGAGAGGGAAACAAAATATCTGCGGATACTTTAAAATAACAGAACATCCATCTTATTTTTGCGTTTGTGTAAACACAGAATGGAGTTCAGCTGAGGTTACCATGAAGGGTGGATGTGCAGGAGCACGCTGCCTCTAACAATGGCACCAAAAGGCATGTGTGTATTCTCTTTGTACCCAGGGCATTCTTCAGCTGGGCTGTTTGTGACCACTGACATAACTTAGACCAAAATCTACTACCTGCTGTGTCACTGGGAAGCTGCTCAGCATTGCATGGCAGACCTATAAAATAAAATAAAACAAAATGTCGTTGACTTACAGTGAGGGTTTTACCACTGATGTGCCAATTTTGAGTTGTGATGTAAACGTTAAATAAATATTTTGGCATGCAGCAAATTGGATCACATCTTCTCTTAATCTGTTTATTTACTTTGTTCACGCCAGGGTTGCCCTCCTCTCACCCTTATTTTTGAAGATCTCTGCTGTGCGCCTGGGTTTAAGCCAAATAGACAATTACTTGTTGGAAAGAGATGATTTTTTTGAAAGCTTTCCAAGGTCTGTAAGACAGAAACATCTGCTGGAGTTCAAATCTGTAGCACTAAAGACTCGTGGTGGCTGTTTATTCATGATTGTTTGCACATTCACATCACTGCAGAACTCTAAAATACTCAGCGTCTTTGTGATGGAGATATGTCAGCCGCTCTTTTTCTCCAGCAGGTCACATTCTTTTGCATCCAATTGACTTACTCACTGCCTTCAGTGGACATTAAATCTGTTGTAATACTATGTTATGCTTCTTACTAAAAGCCTCTCTTTCTCCTTTTTTTTAAAAGACAGCTGTTTTCTGCCAGAAATGCCACAATGTTAAATTAAAAACATTGTACTATTAGCCAGGAACAATGAACAGAACAGGGAGCAAACATAGTGTTACAGATGAATTTGCAAATGAGACCAGTGCTTTGCCTCAGCAAGGTTTTGTTCTGTTTTTAAGGGACTGAGTGTTTTTTAGTTCCTGTTAAAATTTCTGAAAATTAGTCTAGGAGAAGTATTTGGCACTCGTGGTTACAAAAACCTGTGCTTATTAAGGGGTAAAATTCCAAAGAATTGGAGATTGGGATGGGCATCCTGTTGTTCAGAGGCTTAGCTGAAGTTTTCCTACTCTTTGGTTCTCTTGGTTGTCTTGCAAGCAGAGCCCTTCTGTGTTCTCTGGTGTTGTTGAGATTCTGAATGTTGCAAAATCAAGATTAAATCTGCTTCCAGAACTTCTGCTCTTGTCCTTGTGCAGTCAGTCAGCACAGCAGCAGCCCTGATGATGAGTGATGATGTCCTAGGTTTGAGGGGGGAGGATGACAAACCAAGCACCAGAAGAGATGTGGTGTGTGAATTCTAGCTAGGGTGAAATAAGGAGCAGGAGGTAGGTGTTTAGCTGAATTTATTTTGAGGATTGTATTTCTCTTATTCCACTTTTGCTTTAGGATGTGGAGCTTCCTGGGGAAAAGAAATCTCAAATTAATGAACCAAAACCACTACAACCTTTAAAGCCTGGATGGGTTTGGAAGCAAAGGGTGGCTGTCCCATTGAGGCAGCCATGTGATTGCTGAGCTGGGTGTGCCTGGGCTGTGGGGTGCACTGGGGACAGGGAATGTTCCTCTGGCTGCTGGGGCTCCTGGGCTGGCTCTGCCAAGGCTGTGGCCATCAGCTCTTCTTGCCTGGGCTGGCCAGCGCTGGCTGGGAGCCCTGTGCCTCGGGGGCAGACTGCACACACGGCAAGAGCAGCAGCAGAAATGCCCTTTCCAGGGGTGACAGCACAGCAGCACCCACAGGGCAGCCGGGGGTGTCCCAGCCCAGCTGATGTCTGTCTGCGCCGTGCCCTGGTGACAGCACAAAGCTCATCTCCGTCTTTCCCTCTCTCCCAGACACAGACGAGTGCATGTTCAACAACGGCGGCTGCCAGCACGTTTGTGTCAACACCGTGGGGAGCTACGAATGCCGCTGCAAGGATGGCTTCTTCCTCAGCGACAACCAGCACACCTGCATCCACCGCTCCGAAGGTACCGCCCGCCCGGCGCCGAGCGGCAGCCGCGGGCAAACGCTACAAACCGCCTTCTAAAGTGTTTCTGGGTTGATGTTTTCAAAGCTGTGAAGGGTCTTGAAGTCCTCACTGCTTTTGAAAAGGAGCGGTGTGTCAGGATCTTCTAAGTGGCTTTGAAGGCGCTGCATCCCTTCCTCCCCTTTGATCCCGGCTGCGTGTCTGCGGTGCTGCGCTTGTCGCAGGCTGAGCTCTGCACCCCCGCTGGCCCTGGTGCTCTGCTGGGCAGCAAAACTCTGCCCTAACCCAGGGGATGGCCACAAACGGAGTTCTGGGCATTTTCACTGGCTTTAGTTACAGGGCAGTAGCTGCACTACCTTCAGATACCTTTCAGATTCCCTGTACAATGTTTAGGTTTCAGCTAAGAGATTTATTGTTTGTCAGCCCCAAAGGTATTCAAATCTCCTGCTTTGTTTTGAGTGAAACCTTTGTGAAGCGACCTTTGAGAGATCAGAGTCTTGGATATCTAATTAGACATCAGATGGAACAAAATTATTTTGGATGCCCTTAGGGAATGCTTTAAAGTGGTTGCTCAGATCAGGGAGTTGTCCATTGAACTGTACAGTGAAAATCTTAGTGAGAAGTGCTTAAAGCTGCAAGGGTTTCTTTAATCTATGGCTTATTGTTGGCATAACTCTAAGAGGAATCTGAGCATGAATAAACAAATCTCATTCTAAAAATCCCCAAAGTGAAGAGATCAACATTTATAGACATATATGGCCATCCACAGATGAGGGTGCTGAGGTGGCTGTCATCTGACAGAGCTGAACTGCTCTTCTGTTTGGATTAAGAATTTGTGTCCTCAGCTCCTCTGGCCCTGGGCTTGGTCTCATGGGGCTCTGGTGGCTCCTCGGGCCGTGGCTCAGGTTGCCACTGCAGGGCTGGGCCAGGCAGGGGGGCAGCAGTGCTGGGACAAGGCACAGCAGGGATGTGAGTTTGTGCACCCATGGAGGAGTCTCTGAGGACTGAAATTGGTTGCTTGAACTCCTTGTCTTGTCTGATGCCAAGAGAGGAAAAACTTCCAACTCTTTTTTCATACTTGCTGCTACTTGAGTACCTTCTACTTTCTTGAACTGACAGCAGCAGCATTCCCTGTCACCAATATTTGCTCCCTTCTTTGTACCTTTGGAATTCTGTGTCTTTTCTTAAAGATGCATTTAATTTCTCTTCATGTTTTTTTTTTCCTAAAAGGCCCTTTTTCCGTAACACCAAACATCCACTTAACATAGGTATTTTTCTTTGAAAAGGAAAACAAAGAGGACAAAAAAGATGGACTTTTTTCCTCCATAAAATCTATCTAATAAAATACATCTTTATCAAAACCAGTCTTAAGAAAAACCTCAACACACTGTTTTGACTGATATGTTTTTTTCTTCTTAGTAAAACATTAAAGTACTTGTTTTGCTTTCTTTAAAAGCCATTTTTTCAGGTTTCATGCTGTGACTGTTTCCCTTCTACCTTGCCCCCTCCCCCCTTCATTACTGTAAAGCACTGCTCAGGATTCTCCACCTTTTTTTTAAACTTTTTTTTTTTTTCCCCTTGGGTGGGCATGTCTGTTGTAAGCCAAATCTCTCTTCTTTATCTTTCCCCTCACTTTGTTCTCTGCTTTTCTGCTCATTTCTGGGACTTCTGTTCTCTGCCTTGTGTATGCATTGCTCAGTGTTTGTACTTTGCTGGTTCTGAGACCTCACAGCATTGATCAAAGCAGATTTTGGCTCCTACTGCCTAGACCATCTATTCAGTTTTGCTTCTTATCTGTAAAATGAGGGAACAATCCTTCCCTGTCTCCCAGCCCCATTAAGATTCTTCATATATCAATGCCTGAGAGCTGCAATCATCAATCCCTGTGGGCTGCAATATTGGCCTTTAAATACACAGAAGCAGAGTGACCTGGAGTTTAAACCACAGGAAATGAAGGTGTTCTGGGAAGTTGTGCACAGTCCTGTTTTTTATCCTTTCTTGCCTGCTGGAATGAGCTACTCTTTATCTGTGTGGGAGAAGAAATTACCTTTTGAAGCTGTTGAAGTAGCTGGCAGGACAGCCATGCATGTGCACCTTGTTTCTGGGTTCCACTTGCTCCATATCAGGGAATACAAAATTTTGAGGGAAAACAGATTTTTTTCGTGAGTAAAGACCGAGTGCATCTTTGTGGCTGCTATTGTTCTGGATGGCAAATCTTGCTGCTCTCCCTTGTGGAATCTCACAGTCATAGCTCTGCTGGCTGTGCTGAATTGGTGGGAATGAAGGGGATCTGGGGGATGAAAGCCACCTTTAAATCCTGTGTGAACTCACACACAGGACACCATGCCAGTGTCACTCTTGGAGCCTTGGCTGCAGAGAACAGGGATAGCTGGAGAGCTTTGGGGGAAAAGTTCCCTTAGCAAGGATGTAGACAGCGTGATGAAAGACTACAGCATTCCTGGGATGTCCTGCTCTGCTGGCTGTGCTGGTGCTCCTCACCATTTTTCTATTCTCTCAGAATGTCTGGTAGCTCTTTGTACCATTGCCTCCTCTCTCTCTGTCCTACAGAATGCCTGCTCGAACCTGCCCTAAATGGAGCCTTAATGCTCTCAGCAGATTGGGAATGTTGTCCTGACACCTTCTGAGCAAAAGTTTATAAATATTTAAACCCAGATCATACATGTAAGAGATTAATTTAGTGTGACCTGATAGGGAAATGCTGCTGGCTTGTTTTGCAGTGACAGGAGTGCTCAGATCTCAGGTTTGCTGGGTAACTTCAAGAAGATCCAGCCGGAAAGGTCTCACCTGGCTCAGGATCTGTTCAAGCACGTAGGCACTGGGTTCACCTCTCTTGGCTGAGTGGGACAATCCAGAGCCATCCATCCCAAGATATTTGTGGGTCAGTAGGCCAGGGTACAATAGAAATTGTGTGTCTGGGAAGCGTGTGGGGAGATTTGACCAAAATTTGCTTGGGGTTTGTTTCTGGAGCACAGTCTGCCATTGCAACAGCACTGGAACAATGTGACCTGGGAGACTCTGTGTCCACCAAGGAGTTTGCAGCCACACAGCATTTATGGCTTTACAGACATCTCTTTAATACGACCTTGTAAAACAGGGCTGAGAGAGATCTACCAGCTTTGGAAGCAAGCAGCAGTCCCAAAGTAAATCCTGGAATGTGTGGATGTGTGTATCTTCTATGAAACTGCCTTTTAGGTCAGCTAGATTTTGGTGGGTTTGGTGGAGTACCTTGTTCCACAATGGATACGTTGTTATTAAAATGCATCCTGATCTGGAAAGGAGTTTTAGCTTTCTGTGGAGACCTGATTGAAGTCTGCTCACTCAGAATGGAGCAATCCCAAATGGAGCATATAAACCATTTATTTGGTGCCAGTGAACTTTACCAAAGTACCTGCTTGAACAGTTTCCTCTTTGGTAGCTCAATAGAGACAAAAGAATAACTTTGTTGACAGAAACTAAGCTTATAATTCTCTTAATGCTCTCTAACCCCTCCGAGCTAACAGACCAAAGCATACTGCATGCTTAAGACCAGAACTTTCACAAAAACACCAGAGCTAATGAGGCTAATTTGTGGCCTCATAGGTTGTCTCCTTCCTTGACTGACACAATAATGGGTGACAGCTTTCCTGTGGGCTCCTTGGGCTGTGCCTGTGTGCTGCAGCATTTGAAGTCTCATTGTCTTGTGGGACTTCTGGAGAGCCCTCACTGTGGGAAACGAATCAGAAAGCCAGTAGAGCAGAATAATCTGGGCTCTGCAATGTCCATTCTTTTGTTGCTTAAAGCTGTCTTAATAGAGAAAGGGTCCTGTAGCTGGTGCTGCAGGGGGTGAGAATAGCAGTGTGGAAAAAGGATCTAATTGAAGTGAGTGGAATAATGGTGATGGGCCGACCTCTGCCTCACAGTGCAGTGGGCTTGCTTCTCTCAGTAGTAAGGCTGAAAAAAGGGCTGTGTGAGTTTAAAAAATACATTGGGTGTGGAATTGACAGTCCCTTTTCTGCAGCGTGGTCACCCTTGCTCTTCTGCTCCTGATTGTGCATCTGCTCAGCTCCAGAGAAGTTTGCTGGGGTGGGATGAGCCCTTGCAGCCAAAGAATGTTCCCCTTGGTCTTCATAAATGGAATGTTCTCACTGGGAAGAAAGAGCATTTTGGTGTAACTTGTCCTTTTAAAGCCAAATGTGCCCAGGCAGAGGATTTGATGGTAAAGATGTGCTCTCTGTACGCCCAAGGAGAGCATTCAGATGTCTTCTCTTTCCTGGTTTTGTAGCACTGTAGAGGACTTCATCAAAAATCTCTGGTATTCTGTTAAAAGAAAACCTATTTGTTTAATTTGGTCAGTTGATCCCGTTGGGTAACTCAGCCAGCTACTGGGTGTTTTTGTGTTGTGTGTGCACAGGCTGTGCCACCTTCTTGCAAATGGCAAAGACACTGATTTGTGTCTGAACCACGGAGCAAGGGGAAAGAAGCTTTTGCAATAATTTTAGAAACTATTCCTCCCTGTTTAATTGACTTTATATCTTTTGCAAAGGTCAGGAAAACACTCTGGCAATTGAGTGCTGTGCAAGAGCTGGCAGAGATAAAAATGACAGAATGCTTTAGGAAGTGTAGCAAAAGTAATCCAGTCATCAGTGTCACACTGGTTCTTCATTTGGTTAAAGCAGACACTGGCACTAAATTCTGTCTAACTGGGAAAGCGTGTAGAAATACAGAACACTGTGATAATACCCAGTGAGGTTATCTTGGGTGGTGTGGACTGAAATCAGAAAAAAAATTGAAAACAAAATGGTTAATGATAAAGAGAATTGATGTACAGCATGTGTGCAATCTGCACGTTGGCCTGGTTTGAGATAGGACCCAGCACTAAACAAAATGGTTAATGATAAAGAGAATTGATGTACAGCATGTGTGCAATCTGCACACAGGCCTGGTTTGAGATAGGACCCAGCACCTGGTCACTGCTGAGACAGGTTATGACTCTGGGAATCTGCTTTGTAAGCCAGGGATTGAAATTGGGATGGCCCTTGTGATTGCTGTTCTAAACATTCCCATGTCTGCTGGCTGCTCTTTTAAGCAGAGAAATAAGAACTTCATTTTAGACTTGGATATTGCCACTTTTTCAAAAGAAATGAGGGGGTTTTATGAACACCTAAAAGTTTAAAGTGAGAGCATTGGATGAGAGTGCAGATGCTTTACAAATCTGTGGATGTCGCTCTTTGGCCTTGCAGTCAAAGAACAGGCACAGAAAAGGTCACAGAAGGAGAAACCTTGGGGCCATTGACTTTGCAGGACTGGACTTGCTGCCTTTCCTCTCTATGAGCTGAAACTTCTCGTCCCAACCCTGCAGAGTCTTCCCAGAGTTAGAGGCATAGTCTGTGTGTGTTGAACTGACCTTGTTGCCTGCACCCAGAGCTGCCGAGGATGCTGATGCTCTTGTACCTTTCCTGTTTTACAGAAGGCATGAGCTGCATGAACAAAGACCATGGCTGTGCCCACATCTGCAGAGAAACACCCAAAGGAGGAGTTGCCTGTGAATGCCGACCAGGATTTGAGCTGTCCAAGAACCAGAGGAGCTGCATTTGTAGGCAACATTCTGCATGTGCTTATGGTTTCCCAAAGTGAACAAATAGTGCTCTGTTTGCAGTGAGATGGGACTTGGTGTGTTTTAGCTAACGTGGGATGGCACCTCTGAACTGTGTGTCTTTGAACTGAACCAGAATTGATGTGTTTTCTGGACACTGTCACACAGGTCTGTTGATTGCTGCAGTGTCTGCAGTTTGGGAGTTGTGCCATCATCCATAACAACTGAAGTTCAGCTCCATGAAGAGCTGTGCAGTGTCTCACTCTCACAGAGCCCTTCAGGACAGGGGCACCCTAGGAAGGTGCATTGGATGCTCAGGTGGCAGTGGGACTGCACACTGTCCTTCAGAGGTGCTGGAAGTGCTTGTGAGAGTGCCCTGTGTTTTCTCCCTAGTGACGTGCAACCACGGGAACGGCGGCTGCCAGCACACGTGTGACGATGCTGACAGCGGGCCTGTCTGTGGCTGTCACCCCAAGTACATCATGCACGTGGATGGGAAAACCTGCCTGGGTCAGTATGCACTGCAGGGGCTCCAGGGGGGTGTGCTGGTGCTGTGCATGCATGATTAATGCTCCTCATAACAGTATGGCTAGAAAATGTCAAGGAGTGCAGAATTAAGGAACCTGATTCCAGGCAGGTTATGCTTCCCTATTTAAGTAGCTACCTAATACTGTTGCAACCTGTAATTATCACTGGTCCCCCTGAAACAGGAGGCCTGTCACTGACCAAAGCAGGCTTCCTTCCCTCTGGGATATTTTAGATTCAGTTTCTTCAGTAGTGTGAGCCAGAGAGTGTAAGCAAGGAGTACATCTGTAAAAACTGGGACTCTAAAATCAATTAATGTATAGTTTTGGCAAGGCAGTTATCCAGTAAAGAAAGCACTTAAGATTTATAACTCTTCCAGTCTCTGGAAGAGTTTGTTGTCTGTTGATTGAAATCAAATGCTCAGGCATGACTGGCTGGTTGCTGTAATTAGCCCAGGATGGATGGTGACAGTGCACTCCTACCAGAGCAGTTCAGTTAGCTCTTTCATCTTGCTGCTCTTTACTACATCTGCAGCACATCTTTTGTTTTGTTAAGGATACTGAAGCAAACATGACTTGTAAGGAAGCCACAAAAGCAAAACATTCTCATGGTTTTGACTGAAAGGTCTTCATGATTCTTATTACTACTTGCTATTTAAAAATAGGTTATTTCTGCCTGATCAGTTCTGACTGTCTCTGATTCAGTGTGTGATGCAGCTGGTTGTGTGTATTGGATGTCAGGTGAGGGTTCTGGTCAGGGCACCTTTACTCACTTGCTTTTTTCATGTTCCTTACAGAGAGGGAAGAAGCTGTTGAAGTTTCTGAGGGAAACACCACAGCAGCAGCTGATGTGGACAAGAGAGTGAAGCGACGCTTGCTTATGGGTAAAAGTGCTGATCCAAAATAATTCTGCTGCTTGTTGAAACCTTTTAGTTTGAAGAATTAGTGGGGGGCTTTTTTGGTTTTTTTTTTTTTATGGTAACCTTCAGCTCTGGGCTGAATTCTGCCTGAGATGATCCATTATCTCTTCAGGAAATAATATCATTCCCTAGTGTTCAGACATGTAATGAATAGCCTTATTTTCAAAAAGAATGACAGAGGAAGAAAGAAGATGCACTCTGTCTTCCCTTGGAGATTGGACACAGCCTGCCAATACTGCATGTGAGATGAGAGACAGGGAGGGAATAAACCAGTAAAGCTCTCAAAACTTGAATAAGTAGCATCTGCTTGATGCTGCAGAAAACAAGCATACAGAGCTAGAAGAGAGTAGATTTCAAAAAGCAGACATAAAAAAGGTGTTTTTTGCAGTTCTCTCAATCAACACATGCCATGTAAAATTGTATTTGTCCAGCCAGTGAAAAGGCTGTTTGACTGACTGAGGTGGTTAGATTGATGACAAGAGGATGAATGCCAAAGAGTGAGATATTTGTTTGACTGGATGAGGAGTGCTGACTAGCAAGGTTCTGTGAGATTTAAGCATAGTTTGCATAGCAGGGAGTTAGAGGAGCAAACTTTGGTTGGAATGGCACCTGAATTCTCAGGCTGAGGGAATGCTCAGTGAGGGTGTTACCCACCATGACTGGGAGCACAGGTAGTAGGGAAGATGAGTCAAGAGGGATTTAAGAAAACTCATTTAGTAGTGCTGAGTGTAATCAGGTGTCTCATTGGTGGGAAGTGTCAGGGGATCAGCCAGGATTCACTGGGGGTGTAAGGAAACTGACTGGCAGTAACAGATTCATCATCAAGGAGCAGGGATTTGTGTTTAAGACACAAATGGAATACCCAGAAGACAACATTTTGGTTTGTAGAGTTTCCACAAAAAGCCTGGAAATAGCTGAGGCAGAGAGTTTGCCAACACATGTATTTAGCAGTTGCTCATGTGTTCTAGGCTGAATGTTTGAAAAGCAGAGTGCTTGGGGCTGTGCCTCGTATCCCATGATGTTTCTTGGTTCTGATTTCCCTGGGGAAACCTGAGCTCTGTGTCGTTGCCAGAAACGTGCGCGGTGAACAATGGCGGCTGCGATCGCACCTGCAAGGACACCTCCACCGGAGTGCACTGCAGCTGCCCCGTGGGATTCACCCTCCAGTTCGATGGCAAGACCTGCAAAGGTGGGCTTCATCCTCCTGCACACCTGATAGGTGTTACCAGGTCCTGTAAGATACAAATCTCCAAACAGAGGCAGCCCAGTGTCCAGAGAGAAGCTGGTGTGTGCAGGCTGACCTCAGGAAGGATTGCAGCTGGGTAGAGGCTGTGGTTTCCTCACATCAGGTGTATCACGTGCAGAGAATCTCCTCTTGTCTGCCTTCCCCCTCTCCACTTCCACCTCCTGTGCCTCGTTTTCCAGAGGTCAGATTTGGGAGAGCTAAAACAGCTCTGTGTTTAAGCAGAGGTCAGCACTGAGGCTGGCAGGTGTGTGGGTGCTCACGGGTACCCAGCCTGGCTGGGCATTAGGAGACTTGGTAAGTAAACACCAGTGTGTAAACTGGGATGTGTTTTATAAACATACACTGCTCCAAGCAGCTCTAATGAGAGCTCTGGCAAGGAGCAAAGGCACGGTTAAGTTGTATATTATATTGCTTTTCCAGTAATTAGATGTTAAGGCTGCTCTGCTAAGTAATAATGATGAAATCCCCAGGCCTGAGTCAATTAATATTAGATAAAGGCCTCATTCTAATGTTGCCATGAAAAGGACAGGGTAGTGCAGGAAGTCTCTGTCTGAGATTTCTGCAGGGCTTACAGAAAGGAAATGGAGAGAATGTTTAAAATACTGAAACCTCTTAGAGAGCCTTGGAGCCAAAGTGTTTCCAAACAGAACTTAGGGAATGGTCTTTTATGAATGCATTGCCCAAATGCAACTGACAAGGATACATTAAATGAGAGCAAATAAATGTCCTGGGGCTGAATGGGCTGGATCATTCTTAAGAGTTGGATCTGATCTTCCTTCCTTCCTTAATTTGTGGTAGTCTCACTAGATTTTGTTTCTGGGCTCCTCCAGCTGACTGGATGTGACTGTTTTCTGAATCTGGCAGTGGGAGCAAGTTGAGTGCTGAAGCTCTATGTTAATTTGCTAAAGGCTTTTTTTTTTTTTTTTCTTGTTACAGATATTGATGAATGCCAATCCAATAATGGAGGCTGTGATCATTTCTGTAAAAACACTGTTGGCAGTTTTGATTGCAGCTGTAGAAAAGGATTTAAATTATTAACAGATGAGAAGTCCTGTCAAGGTATGTGCACTGGAGAGACAATGATACAACAAAAGTAGGACAAATCAGCGTGGCTTGGACATCTACTACAATGATGAAGTGATAATACACTCCAGAATCATTTCCATTCCTCAGTTTGGATTTTTTTCTTCTGAAACAGCTGTTGAGTTAATACAGTTGGCTTGATGCTATTGTAGGAGATAAGTTTAATGGCACAGTGAGCTATTATCTGGAAGGGACAGAGGCAGCATCATATTAAAACCTCTCTATGAGGTTAATGCTTCCCCCTGCCTTGATGACCTTAAAATAATTTACAGGGAAAATTAGGCAATGTATCTCTCTCAATCTTTTTGACTGATTCACCATTGCAATGGAAGTATTATTTCTTAATAGGATATTTAGTTGCCATGAGCTCATTATTATCAAAGGAAAAAGATATAACGTGATCTCTGAAATTATAGGTCTGTAGACAGACTGGAATCTCTGTTCCCTAAAACACCACGGAGCATTTGCTCTTGAGGATGACATGGATTTCTCCTGTGAGACCTACAAAGCATGTTTGCTTTGCTCCATAGTGGTTTGTACATATAGACTTAGCAAGTCTATTTAAGCTGCTTAAATGCACAAAAAAATCAAAATGGTGAAGATCAAAATGGTCCGTGGTTGTGGAAAAGCGACAAGATGAAACAATGTCAATTGAGTCAGCCAAATGGTGAATTATGTGATTTCCTAGGAAACCAGATGACATTAAAGGTGACTTTCAGAAAACTGAACTGACCAAGAGCAAGTAATTTTCACCTGGGTTTTTTGGTGCATTCTTATCCTTTATAAATAGGCAAAGAAGGACAACTATTTATATGGAAAAAACTTACTGTACAAACATCTGATTTTCAAGATAGTTTGGGATGTTATTTAAATGAAATCTATGTTAAAGACTTGCATCTCCCTTTTGCCCCTGTCACTTCTGTTACTTTCCCTTGTTTCAAAAGTGATATCGTGCTGCATGGCCAAGAAAAAAGACTGATGAAAAGTGCTAGTGAAGTTGATGTGAATTTTTTTTTGTCTTGCAATATTCTTACCTGGCATGTAAAATGTACTAGTGCAGAAATCTTAGGTATTTTTGATGGTATAGTGAATGTTCATTCTCAGACAACACTCTGATTTTCAGCAGACGTAAATCAGGTGCTGGATATTCATACAGAGCTTCATTTAGGGAGGAAAAAACCCAAAGGCAATACTTTCCTTCATACAGTTAACTTCTATGTAGAGTAATCCTAATGAAATACGAGTTTTGTCAGCACTTTTCTTCTCCCATAGAAGAGAAATAATTTGATTTAAACATAATTGTAAAAATGTAACAGCAGTTTTTGCGCTTGCCAAGGAAAAGCTTGTTTGGCAAACTGAGCATTCTTATGAAAACTGTAATTTCATTACGTTACACGACGTGCTTTGAAAGAATCTGCGTGGCTCACATAAATCTGCACATCCCTGCGGTCGCTGGCTCCTCAGGGCTCCCTGGGCAGCCTGAGGGGTGCTGATGGCTCCCTTTACACCTTGCAGACATTGACGAGTGCTCCTTCGAGCGGGCCTGCGACCACACGTGCGTCAACCACCCCGGCACCTTCGAGTGCTCCTGCAACAAGGGATACGCCCTGTACGGCTTCACCCACTGTGCAGGTGAGTCACAGACACTGCACAGCCCTGGGGCAGGGCCAGGCTCCCGCTGGGCTGCTCACAGTCCCTGCAGGACACAGACTGAGGCAGACCCAGTGTAAATTTTACCCCTTGCTGTGATAATGAGACACAAGGAAAAGAGAAACTGATCCTGCTTATTCCTGTCTTTGCCCAAGTGATTTTGAGCATGCAAAAGGGACCTGTAACTATTAGGACAAACTGATGGGTTTTGTTCTTGGATCTGAAATCCATTACTCAATACAATTTCCACAGGCAGAAGAGTCATTGGCTTCAGTGAAAAGTCAGTGGAGTAGGGCTTGAAGAACAGGGAGCTCTGAACGACTCTGAAAATTACAGTTCTGCAGGTGCACATGTCAGATCCTCATGTGGTGTAGGTTGGAATTTAGCTGATGTAGTGCCACTTTGCCCAGGCCAAGATTAATACTCTTAAATTTTTATGTCTTTCCTACAAGGAAAGAGAAAGTTGTTCATAGAAGCTTGACATTTGACAAGTTCCCAGAATTAACATGAGGAAACATGAATAACTGGGACACTAAATGGAATCAAGCTTGTTTTATATAAGCTTTAGGCAAGACCTTACTGAGTCCAAAGTTTACTCAATTCTGAGTAAGACCTGTTTATTTCTGAGGCAGAATGAGCACAGTTGGAGATAACAATTCAGAAATCCCTGTGTGCTTGTCTGTTCTACCCTCTGCCTCTAGAAATTCTGCAAATAAGGTACATCACTGTGTTTTATCCTGATGAACATGGAAACTTATCTGGATAAGGAATAACATTGTGATGTGCTCCACTTAGTAAAAGACAACTTCGGATTAATTCCTCTGCATTAATTCAATTTCTTTTGGCTACCAGTGAGGAAAATAAGCTGTAATTTTGCTGTTGGCTGCTAATTGGTCTTTTCTTGTCATACCCCCATGCAGAAGATGTTAATTAATACTCATACCACAGTAAGTCCCTCATTGACTGGCAATCACAGGCTGGTCAGAGCTGATAGGACACTGAGAATACACCTTCTGACCTCTGTGGGAGAAGTCAGTAAGTGTTGGAGATAAGAGGTTGGCATCCTAAGAAAAGGCCAATGAAAACCAAAGATTTGTGGCATTTTAGGCATCAGTACCAATTTAAGATGTTGCCTTCTTTCTCCATTTTTCCTCTGCTGCTCATTGCTACTCCTGCTGTCTCAGTTCTGTTAAAAGTACATTTTCCCCCAAATCAGACTGGTTTTGTAATGTGTTTTACAGTGTTTTCTAACAAATTGTTACTTAGAGGGTGTCTAATCTGGGGACAGCAGTGACAAGAACTTCCTAACATTGAGATAAGTGTGTGTGGCAGTAGGTACCCTCAGATGCACAAACTTGATGGGACTTTCAACAGGTTTCCTCATGGCAGCTTTCTGGGTTTATGTACAATTGCCACAAAGCTCTGGGAGAGAAGTGAAGCCCTCCTCAGGGTGGATCTGAGCAGCAAAGACAGAGACCTTTGCATTTCCCTTTGTTGAAATTCATGAGATTCTTCTTGACCCATTTCTCCAGGCAGTCAAGGTCTCTCTGAATAGTGGCACAACCATCTGGTGCATCAGCCACTCCTCCCAGTTTTGTCTCATCTCTGACCTTGCTGAGGGTGAACTCTTGTCCCACCATCCAGGTTTAATGAAGAGCATAAATAGTTTTGGCCCCAGTGCTGACCCTGGGGTGCAGCACTGCTGAATGGTGCGTTCTGCATCAGCACACAAGTGTGCACCAGAGGCAGCATGTGCTGTGCTGTCAGTAATTTCTCCTCCTGTTGGCATTTCCTGGGCAGGACAAGGCTCCAAAATTGGATAATTGGCCAAAAGAGACAAGGGGGACACAATGGTGATGTTTGCCCCAGAGCCAAAATGTTCCACAGTAGTTGCATCTATCAGAGCACTTTGGAACATTGGTCAGTATGAATCCTGCTCTGTTCTCTGGTTTTATTTAAAATTAGAAATATTAATTAACCAGACACAATGCAACACAGATTTGACTCGATTTGCTTTTCTTAGAGTTGATTTGTTATCATATTGCTGAGGCTGGATATTGTTTAATTATGAGCCACCAGTATTTGGTCTGCTTTGACATTTATCAAGGGATTTCCATGAGGACAAACTGATTCAAGCTGGGTGTCCAGGTATCATCCCTGAAGTCTTTTCAAGACTCTACTGAGCAGTATTTATGTCCACACTTACCTAGTGGAGTTGGAGTGCATAATTTTGGGAAGAGCAACTTTTAAAAAGTATCTTTACCTTTCCTCTGCAGATATTAATGAATGTAGCATCAACAATGGTGGTTGCCAGCAGCTGTGTGTGAACACGCTGGGAGATTATGAATGCCTGTGTCAGTCTAACTACAAGCTACACTGGAATAAAAAGGACTGTGTTGGTAAGGTGTCTAATAAATACATTTCTACTCCTGATGTGTCTGGTGGGCCATATGGTTACAGTCAAATTTGGTGGTCTGTCCAGTTAAGTGGTATGAGTAATTGTTACTGGTATTCTGCTTTAATTTTTAGCAAGGCATGATGGTAGTGATGTGGAAAGTCATAAAAACAAACAGCAAACCAACCCCAAAAACAGGAGATACTTTGAGGGATTTTGATGCTTTCTTTCCTGTGCTTTTATCTAGCTCATTCTTCTATTTCCTTTTGTTCCTCTGCATGAGAAGGCTTGCTCATGATAAAGGAAGTTACTTTTGTGGTGTGATCTTCCAGTGATTTTATTTGGGTTGAATTTTCTGTCTAAACAGCATAATAATTGCATGGGTGCTCTCAGGTACTGGCTACAAAAGCAGCTGCGTGCTGATTTATTGGTAGGGTGAAGGTAGATGTTTTAATGCTGTGAGTGTTTGTTTTATCCTATTTAGAGACAAAAGATCCCTTGTCTGATAATGTGTCACCCAGGGTGTTGCTGCACTGCATTAAGAGTGGTGGGAGTGATAGATGCTTTTTGAGCTGCTCTCCAGATGTCCAGGTATTCTCTGGTAAGTCAGAGCTAACAGAACTGAGCATGTGATTCTGTACAGAGGGTAAGGGTGGCCAACCTCCTCACTGTCAAGAAAGCCCCAAGAAGCAGTCAATAAACAGAGATCTTTCCTCTTTCACTGCAGATAATAAAGGGCCATATCCCTGGCAGTGTCCAGGAAAGCCCCACTTTCCTTGTCTTTTATAACCACTCTACCCTCAGATTCCCTTCTCACAAGTCTCTTTTTGAAGCTGGGGAGGACAGGGAAGAATTCTCTGTGCTCCCTGGGCCATTCCTTAATTGGCCCTCAGAAGCACTGGTGAATGGGGCAAAGGCATTCCAGCCCTGCGTGGGGTCTGGGATTTTGCCCACACAGCCCCTCCGTCCCACAGGACTCAGCTGCTGCTTGTGGGACTGATGCTCTTTCTCTTCCTGAATCCTTTGAATGGCTTAGGAAGAGACAAGCTCTAATGTGGAGTATAGTATGAACAGCATTGTGTGTTGATGCCAGTCAACAAGCTTAAAATGTGTTTCATGCTACAGGAGTCCTCAGTGTGTGCACTGTGCCTGTGTTTTTACTGTCTGTCTGTCTGTTAGGAACACAAGATGCCTACACCCTCACCTGTGGCAGGTCCTCTCAGCTTAAGAAAAAGCAGCAAAATGCAAATGCTTCCAGCTGGCTGGGTAATCACCACATTTACTGTTGTATAGTTTGACTGATTTATTTTCATTGATAACTGTGAAACAAAGGTATTTCTGTTGACTTTTTCCCCCCTCTTATAATTTATCACTTTTTTTCTTCCTTGTGATTGTAGTTCATGATTGCTGCAAAAAATTCCCCTTATGCTGCTTCATCAGCATCATTCAAACTGAGACTTAAAAATAAAGAAAAATATCAGTAGTGAAATAAACACTTAGCCCAGGAGTTATGTCTCCTTTTAGTCATCCAAACCTGGACAGTGTTGGCAACACACAGTGTGTTTAGGTTGGACTGTAATGTTTAGAAGGCATTTACAGCCATAGACATAAACTGCTTTCTGAAATGATTTGAAGTATCTCCTTTGATTTCAGCCAATAGTAGATCTGGTCTTGATCTCCTTTCTCTCTCTCTCTCTCTCTCTCTCTCTTTTTTCCCCCCCCCTAATAAAATGTACTACACTTAATTCTCATTACATTTGTGAACCAGCTTCACAACAAGGGGGTTCTGGCATCTCATTAGGTTTTCTGTGATGATCACTTCTTGTCAGTATATTTTTTTGTTGTCATCATTGTGGTGTGACATTAGGGCTATCTCAGTTTTCTACTCCTTTTTAAAAAATAACATGTTTCATTGTTTCTTCCTGAAGATGCTTCAGCCATCAAGATAAGCGTAACCTTTAAATTAAATGAAGGAAAATGTAGTTTGAAAAAGACTGAGATGTTTCAAGAAGGTCTGGAGCAGATGTTACCAGGTATGAATATAAAAATGCAGGTAAGCAGGTTAGAGCCATAGCTCAGGGGTTAAGTGCTTTCCAGATATGAAGAACACCACAAACAAAGCACAGAGGACTGAAGGTTTTCTGTTATTCACTTCTTCCTGCTTCGCCATGACTCCTGCAACAGTTATTTCAGATCCCAGGATTTCCTTGTGGCATCCTCACAGTCTTGCTAGGAAAGCTCTTATTTTTTTTGTTTGTAATACTGCTAGTAAATTCTCAATAAAATCGACCATCCTTTTTATTAATTTGATCCCTTCTTTTTCTTCCTCTTTTTATCTTTCTCTTCTTTCCTTTCTCACCTGCTCCTTACTGTCTGGTGCCTTGTTGAAAAATCTCCTGACCTTTATGCTGACACTATTGTCATAGGGTTATTCCTCTTGTCTCTTGTCTTCCTTTCATACTTCAGCAGCCCCAGATGGATGCAGTGAGGTCAGCTCTTCCATCTGTTCCAAAGCAGAAAGAATAGCCTAGGAATTTACAAAGTCAGCAGAAAATGAGGAGGAGTACTTAAAAAAAAAAAAAAAAAAAAAAAAAAGAAATGGAGAAATGGAGCAAGGAGTCATTAGACAATATGATGAATCAGTGTGTCTGATTGTTTGTCCTTAGCAGAGTGACAGTGAGGAACTGAGCTGAATGCTCAGTGACAAGTTATGTCCTCCAGAACCAGAGCTTATTCTGGCCGTTTCCTTTACCTAAACCTTGTTTCCTCATTGAAGCCAGGAGAATGGCCATGACTCTGTGTGAGGGTGCATCAGGTGAGAGACTGGCCAAGCTGCTCTTTCACTGGCCCATGGAGGTGATGGTTTGCTCCTCTTTAACTCTTCACGATGACCCACGTGCTGAGCACCGGTGAATGTCCAATAACAGGCCTGGCCAAGCTTTTGCTTCCTTTGGTTTTGTTCATACAGAGAGACAAAATTCAGTAATGGAGAGCTTCCACTATGTAAACCTAACATGCAGCTCTGGCAAGAAAGTTCACGGAGCCCTCAGTAGACTGGCAACGACTAGAGAGATTTTTATCACTGCGGACTTTGAGCTGGAAACGAGCCGGAAGGAGGTGACAGGTTGGTTGGAAAATAATTCCAGGTGCGCTTTGAAGCTTCTTGCCATTTGCTCCTTAATTTCTGTATTTTTCACTTCTGTCTGTATGCAAAATGATGATAAAAAGTATCTCCTGTTTTGAACATGAATTTCACTGCTTCAGAAAGAGTGAGGGATGGAGATAGCTCCAAAGATCAAAGAGCTGCTCAGCGTATTTGTCCTCAAGGATTTCAGACTTGTTCCCAGAAGTTGCTTTCTCAGTGATTTGAGTTGGTTGGTGGGAATTGAGTGGGATTTTGTGCACGATCACTTAGGGCAGCTTTCACCCCTGGTGCCTTTCAGACACGTGCGACGTGCGCTGTGCCCGCAAGAAGACGGAGAAGCGGTTCCGGAAAACCATCCGCACCCTGCGGAAGACGGTCAGCAGGGACCAGTTCCGCATCCGCCTCTCGGGCACGGACCACGAGGTGGCCAGGAAGGCCCTCAAGCCCTCAGAGCCACAGCAGTCCTGTGGGGTGGGACAGCTGCACCCGGGGGTCAGATGTGGTGAGTTATGAGGGAGCTGGGGACGGAGCACCTCGTGTGTTCCACGGCTGTGCTCAGGCTGGAGCTCACAGGGATCGGGGTTCTCCCGTCCAGGAGAGAGCAGGGCTGGGTGTGCACAGAGGGGTGCTGTTAGTGCTGCTGAAATTCTCTCTGTGAGTTTATTGTTGGCAACTGATGTGTTACAGAGTAGAGCAAGGGCTCACTGCACTGTGCTACAGCTGATGCACAGCCTGCAATAAGGTCAAAGCCAGAAATCCTGGGAAATAACATCAGGCACCGATGGCCTTGGCATCACCAATGTCACTTTTAAGAATACATTTAGTATACTTTAGTAATTTAGTAGTAATTTAGTAATGCTGTGTTCCTGAGCTTGTGCACAGCTCACCTCTCCCTTGTCCCAAGGAAAAGGCCGCTCAGAATTGACACAGTCACACTCACTTTGCTGATTAAGCTCAGAGTCCCAGGGAATCTTCATGACAGAGTTATAAATTCATGGTGATTTTATGGGCCATCACTGAGAAAAGTCTTAATTATCATGGCACTGGAGGGCACCGCCATAATGCAGCCAACAGTAAGTGCTTCCAAAGCACAAAAGTTAAGGAGAAGGGTCAGATGTTACATCTTAACAGAGGCCTAACAACCATGACAGCTAATTCAGGCTGCACGGGGTAGGCAGTGTGTAGGTGGATTGTGAATCAGCAAGCCTTTAAAATGTTTGTCACAGTGAATTAGTACGTCTCCCAGCAGCAGCATTTGGCCTAAGAATAGATTTTCCAATCCAGTTTTGCTAACTCTAGAAAAACTTGGGTTCGTAGAACAGACAAATAGTTTAAAACATCTGTGCAAGCAAGCAGGGAATTACTCAGGAAATCTCAGAAAAAGCTGTAAGAGTTCTTTTTTTTTTTATTTTCTTGGAACATTGTAATAAATCTGAAAAATTTTGGAAAGTTCACCAGGATGAGTTTACAAGGATATTTTCAAGCTATTTTGTTGGATGCTAGAGAAAGGCTTTGAAAAAATCTGTCATTCCAATTCTACAGAGCACAGTATGACTCCAAAGATATTTGTGATTTCATCTGGAGAAAACAGCGATGAGTAAGATAAAAATGTTGCAGGTGGAGAAGGCAATGTGAATTGCAATTAGAAATTGGAACAGAGAATAAGCACAATTTTTTTAGATAGCTGCAGAATCAGTTTAATGTTGCAGCACAAATGAGAAGCATACGTGGCATTTCTGTGCTAGTTCAGAGAGAAAAGGGAATTTTGGGCAGTGCCTGCCCAGAAAGCTCTTTGGTGGGGTGAGCACAAACAACACAGGCATATGGTTAAACCAGAGCCACTGAGCATATGAAGAAAAAGGTTCTGAAGAACAATTTGTAGAAGTCAGGCCTCTTCTGTTGCTGAATTGGTGCCCCAGTTTGTTCTGGACACCCTGACAGGTGCTGCTGTGAGCAGTGGAATGACTCTGTGTGTCTCATGCCTTATGGTTTGATTTTCTCCTGCTTAACAAGGTGCAAGCTCTAACTGAACCTTCCTTTCTTCAGCTGAGTTACTCAGACCATGTCCTTGTGCAGATTCCCTGTGATCAAACAGGAGGTGAAACTCACACCACAGCCTTTCCCTTACATTGATGTAAGGGCTCTCTCCTTACACTTGTTCCCCTGCTTATTTTCATTAAATGTACAGAAAATTAGTATCTTTGAAACCTCCCTGTTTGTCAGGCTGCTGGGAGCTGGGCAGACAGCTCCCCGTTGCTGAGAGGACATAAAAGCACACGCAGGGGCAGCGTTGTTAGGAATGCCTCATTTCCTTAGAAAAGGCTAATTGTCCCAGGCTGAATGGCTAAGGTGGGACTGGGGCTGCTGCTGCTGCTTGGGCTGCCAGGCAGAAGGAGCTGAGAGACAGGCTGGGGAGAGGAGAATAGAGTGGGAATAGTGGGAAGAAAGGCAAGAAGCTGGTTCAGGGATCTGTGTGGGAGAGGGTGTTGTGGTTTTTGTTCCTTTGTTTTGATCTGATGGTTTTGGAGAGCTGCTTCTGGATGGGACTGGGGCTCTGCTGACCTAGACATGCTGGTGGTTCTGGGCAAAAAGTGGCTCCACAGCAGGAGATGCTGGTCAGCAGATGCTGTGCAGGTGGTGGATGTGGCCTCTGGACAGCAAAGGACTTCTGCTCAGTCTAGCCAGAGGAGTAGGAAGCAGTGAGGGAAGAAAGCAAGTCAAAGGGACTTACAAGTCATCTTTGATGCAGTTACTGAGTAAAATGCAGGTTTTAGTTTATTGTTTTCAAATACAATACTTGGAGTATGGCTAGGTTAGATGCAGTTTTGGTCCTCTTGTAGAATTCCCCTGGCACAGCACTGCCTGAAACATTATTTATATTTGAGCAGTGTCAGAGGGAAAGTCCAGCTCCTGCTCTGACAACTTTTGTGCTGGGTAACTGGCCTGCAATTGCAGCAGCAAGCTTAATTTAATTTGGTTTCACACTTGTGGTGAGGTAGTTCTATCCCTGATTTTCCTGTCTTAACTCCTACGGTCTTGAGTGGGGCTCAGCACAGAAGAAAAGCTTTAGAAAGACACCAGGAGCAAATGGCATGTGGTTTCCAGGGTATTTTATCATTGTTGATATGCTGGATGCTTGCACTTGTGTGCCTGCTGTTCTTTAGACAGCTGCTGATTCAAGTGAGAGTGTGTAAAACGGAATTCACTGCTGACTGCAAAGGATAGTGTGGTTTATTTCAATTTTGCTGTTTACTGTACAGTTCTGTTTGTGATTTTCTGATGCTTTAGAGGCTCAAATGTTTTTTCTACCTTACGTGTGAGTTATGTATCTATGATGAACCCATTCAGCACTGGCTCGTGTTGGTTAATCCCATGAAGTCCTGAGTATGGCTTCCAAGGAACAACCAGTGACAGGTCCATAACCATGGATATTCCATGAAATGCATAGAGCAAAATGGAGCTTTCATCAGCCTTCCTAGAGAACTGGACTCTCTTAGCAGAAGTATAATTTTTCTGCCTTGAAGTAGATCTTAAGGTAACAAAGATACAAGTCTGTGTGTGACCCCTCTAAGCATGCTGGAAATGCTACGTGCTGCCTTGAGAGGACATTTGTCTTGGGGAGAATGCAGTCTCACTCACTGGCCTGGCTACAAGTGTTCCTGCTCCACTATGAGCTTGACTTCAGAGAGATATAGCAGCCAAAGACCAACTGTTCCTTTTCAGAAAGTGATTTAGCAGAAACCTCTGTATTGAAAGAAAATAAGTTCAAACAACAAGAAATTTAGCTGCTCTTCCACTGCTTAAAACCCTGTCATACCTTGGTCACCTGAAATGGATGCAAAGAAGGATATGACAGCATATCCTTGCCCCACAGTAGTTGCAAATGGGTTTCCCCAAAGAGCTGTCACCTCAGAAAACAGCAGGCATGAGCGGCACAGGCACTGCTCTGATGGAAATGATGAGCAGCTTTATCTTGTGTGGGAGGTGTCAGTGCATTTTGTTGCTCAGCATTCAGCAGCTTTGTCCCCTCAGCTGAGAGGATGCAAATAAGGTAATGACATTTCATCCAAAACGATGAACCATGTCCCAAAGGTTTGTATGTAGTATGATACTGGCATTATGAAAGTATGAGAAAGGAAGCTAAAAGGAAAAGCAAAGTGCTGTCTGCCTTTGCAGTCATTATAATTAAAATAGTTGTGTTGCACAACTGTTGTTTGGTTTTTTGTTTTTTTTTTTTTTTACAATTTTGAGAAAATCCAAGAAGAAGAAATGAATTTATCAAATGGGAGAAAATGGGGCTATTTTTCCTGCTAACCTGCTTGCCCTGAAAATCATAGACCAAAGACATAAATCCTTCGCATGCAAAACCATCTCATGTGACCTAAATGTGTGACCTGCTCCCGCACAATAACTTAAAGGATGCCGCTTCAGAATCCATTTGCATCACTTGTTGGTGATTTTCCTTATAAAGTCAAGGCATCATTCTTAAGAAAATGGTGAATTGGTGGATCATGACCTCCTTTATGAGGTTCACCTTCTCAGCCCCTGAGATACTACAGCGTTTGTCTATAGGAGCAAATGCTCAAAGGCTAATGTGCTGAAAAGAGGGGAAGAGCCTTTAAATGTCTTTGTAACTGTTAATCCTGGTTCCCTGTGGGCCCCTCTCTTCCCCCCACCCCCCTTTTCTTCTTGTTTTTGCATCAGAAAAGCTTTCACTTTTTTTTCCCCTTTAAAACAGCTGCATGAGACTCAAGACCAGGTTTTTAATGGGCATTGAAGATAAACAAAGACAGCGGCTGCAGAAATGAAGTCTACTAGAGGCAATTGGTTCTTTTGTTCATTTGGAGAAAAAACAATCAAGTTTATGAAAAAAAGAGCAAAGCCAGCCAGTGGAATTGTGATTTAATGTCATTATTTGCAAATCTTCAGATCTGGTTTTGACTGGGTATTTCCCACATGTCAGGTGGGAACATGCAGTTTCTAATTTTGAGAAAGGAAGGTCATAAACTTCTGTACTTGTTTTCTTTAAGCAAATATCTGGAGAAGTTTAACTTCGTAGAGGTGTTTCTTGTGGATTTTTGGTTTTTGTTAATTTTGTTGGGCTTCTTTTTAAGAGAAGGTTCATGCTAATTTTATGCACAGTCCTATGGAGCTCAGTGGGATGATTTCTGGGTTGAAATAACGCCCCTATTATTAATGTTACTTTGTGTAATTGAATCTAACACAAAGTCTTATTTGTTATGCTAAATTGGGCCCCTGTGACTGCTGTGAGTTTCTGAACAGGCTTTCCTCACTACCCCAGCTCTGTGCTGCAGTGGGGCTGGATGAGGGGCCTGTCTGTGACATTTCTAGGTAGAAGGTGAGGAGGAACTGGGAGCAGATTACAGGGAATGTGTTTATGGATTGAACTGTCTGGACACTTCTACCACTGTGCAAAGCCTGATTTGATGTAGTCATGTGAAGAAAGAGATATATTTGTGAGTTTGGGGCACTAAAACTTGGACATGGCATGGAGAAATTATGATATTAGCATTGAATATTGAATAGTTGTTAGACTGTAAATAGAAAAATCTGTATGTGGCTGTACTGACCTCTCTTCTCAAATGCACAGAGGATCAATCAAAGCCTGAAGTGTTTGGGGTGTCTCAGAAGTCAGAGCTTTTTTCAGCTGGTTTTGAACACTCTGTTACAGTGGTGCAGTGGTGGTGGCTAGACAGCCTTTTTTCTTTCTGTTGTTGCCATCTCTTAGGAAAATCAGAAGGAAATACTTGATTAAAATGGTTCAGATTTAATGGAAAAGTTCTCCTTTGGCCTAGAGGAGGATCTCAGTGATGTCTGAGGAGGTTTCTTTAAGCTTACTTCCACAATGCAAATTTTCAAAAATTAGGCACTTTGCTAAATAACCCAAGAAGATTTAGATTAACTCAGTTGTATTCCACAGCGACCTCCACAGTTTTCACAACATGTGGCTTCAAGACAAGTACGATGCAGATGGCAAAGTTGTCAAGAGAGATCTGATGGGATGAGTTCTCAAATGCAACATTTGCACATAAGTTTTGGGTTTGATTCCTGCCCGGGGCAGGTTTCCTTTGAGCTCTGATAGATGTCCTACTGTTCTGCTGGACTCTGAACAAGTCTAGGAAACCTGAAGTACAGTTTTAAGACTGAATTTGTAGGGTTAGTGTTTCTGTTTGAAATACAAAACAGAGACACCCCTTCTCCCAAATGCAAAAAAAAAAAAAAAAAAGGCAAACACCAACAAAAACAACCTAAAAAACCCCAAACCACCCCAAACTTGACATATGATTAAAATGAATGGAAAAAGACAAGCTAAGGGGAGAGAGCAGGTATTTTCTAGCCAGGCCACTCAGAGCATTGATTACCCATAGAGCCATGGAGTTGTGTGAGGGAAGGAGATTTGCTCAGGTCTTTCCATTTCTTCCAGGTTTCTGAAGTCAGTAGGCACTTTTCAGGATCACCCTTCCTCACCCTGAATTGTCTTTCCTTGTCATGGAATCGTAAATAGTGCTCTTTCCTTACCTTATTAGGAGTGCTGCAATGAAAGCCTGAATTCATTCATGTTTGTGGAAGTGCACAGATTGTACAGAGATGAGTGTTCTGTAGGAATGTTTATAAAATGGAGAAAGGCTTGAAAAGTGTGGGAGCAAATGAATGTGTGGCCTTATGAGGGCAGAAGTGATGTGTGGTGGAAAAAGTTAGAACCAGGAGCTCAGACTTCCTCACAAGCTTTCATTGATAAGCCACAGAGCATTGCTTAACCTGCTGCATTTTATTTTTAAGCCAAGGAGGAGCACTCAACGATTCCTCCTCGTGTATCAGCCATAAACAAAACTCTTCATCATTGATCATGACCGGTAGTTAATGCCCTGCTTGTTGTTAGTCATATATCCTGAAATGAAGCCAAGGCCAATTTAACTTCCTAACAAAACAGCTATTCACTGAGTGATTTATTGGAGCTATAAACTAAAACTAACAGTTTATTATCGTAACAGGTCTTAAAAGGACAGAATTTTTCAGCAGAGCTGAACAACTGCAACAGTGTTTTGTGCCTTTCCAGAGCAGGGTAATTATTAAATACTGGCACTGAAGCCAGTTCTTTTGTGAAGAGCTTGAAAACCAGAACTTCTCAAAGATACTCATGAATATTGCTGGGCTTGCTAGATAATACTGAAGTGTGTGATGAAGTAAAATCGGGCAGATTGGGTTAGTGCTGTCTGTGCACCATGCAGAACACAGCAGCCCAGGGCACAGATAATCATTACCTAAGATTATCAGAGGAATGGTAAGAGTATTTCTGCTTTAAAATCTTTGAGGCACAATGTTTGGTTTACTGAATTTGCACAATTACTTGTTGCACTTGAGGTTTTCAGACTATCCAGTAATGCTAATGGTCATGAAATATGAATATTCAATAATAAGATTAAAGTAGTTACAGAAATCTGGAAGTATGTTTTTGGCATCTTAGGTTCAATACTAAATTATTTTATTTGGGAGGAATTCAAGAGCTCTCTAGCTAGACTGAGGAGATAATCACTACATAATTGCACTGTAGAGAGGAGCAGAGAGCCCTGGACAGGCTGAGTGTCCAGTGTGGCCTTGCAACAAGGTGTGAAATCCGTTCCAGCTCCCAGAAGGGCTCCCTAGCCCCCAAGGCTGTCAGTGCCTGCTGCACAGTGCACACTGGAGGTATAAAGCTCCAGCTGTCGCCAGCATTCATTTCTGCAGCCCTGCTCCAGCTGCCCAGTGAAGCAGAGCAGTTTCCCTGTGGGTCCTGTGCAGGCTCACTGACACTCCTTCATCTCTAATGTGTCCTCTCCTCTCCTAGATCAGTGCTCCCCTGGGGAATATTCTCCTGATGGCTTCAAGCCCTGCCTGCCATGTCCCCTTGGAACGTACCAGCCTGAGGCTGGCAGAGTGTCCTGCTTTCCCTGTGGAGGAGCTCTCACCACCAGGCACAGCGGGGCTTCCTTGTTTCAGGACTGTGAGACCAAAGGTGAGGCCAGGGTTTGTCTGCTGAACTGCACTGATCCGAGGCACAAGGAAATGCTGCTGCTCAGGCTGGGCATTCAGAGAAGGTTCTTTCTCCTTCTGAGGGTCAGTCCTTGCAGGAGTCTCACAGCAGGTTGGCGTGGCCTGGCTGTGAGGAAATTCAGTAAAACCTCAATTCTTTCTAAAACTGATTACCGAAAGCATGGGTAAAAGAAAATTGCTTATATAAATCACTAGAGGATAACATCTTTAACAGAAAATCTACTGCTGCAGAGCAGAAATAAGGGATAGAAATAAGGTCCTGATGCAAACATTTGGTAGCGGTTTGGATGAGGAGATCACTCTCATTTCAGTTGATATGTTTATTGAGAATTACAACATATTGTAAGAATTTAGCAGTATCGTTGAAGAATTAATATTACTGGTAGTAGTGTGATATCTAATAGTTTCCTTCAGTGTACAATCACTGAACCCACAAAGACTGCTTCTTCATACTTAATTTTGTGAAATTGAAGTACTAAAAAACGATGTAAAACTCTGGATCAAGATAAGAGGAGCTGATTTCAGTTTTATTTAACATAAACAAAAACAAGTCTATAAATGAGGTTCAGTTTTGAAATTGGAGTGGAGATTAAAGGAATTCTTTCTATTAACTGGAATGAAGAGCTCAGGAATTTGCATGTGGAAGAGGCCACATGAGACGTGGAATCACAGATGCAAAAACTATTTGGAGCTTATCTGAAGCATTTGGGTTGTGGCAGCATGTAGGGAAGGACTCCTGGCTGAGCTAGCTTCCAAAACTCAGCAAGAATTATTTGGGAGTAAGCAGAGCTTGAAATGAATAGGGGAAAAAAGGGACTGTGCAGCATAGAAAACTACATTTGATAGATCTTTTTAACTTGTACAAAATAATCTGAAAAACTGAAATGGTTTTGTTACCCTCATAGTTTGTTGTTATGGTTTTATTGCTGCTTTCACACAGAACCACTCTACAGTGCTGCATCTGAGAATTTTGAGCTTGCACAAAATGACCTGATGAACAAAAATTTGCTTAATTACCTAATTTTTATTACCCCCACAGTTTACAAATATGGCATTTCTGTTTCTGAGATTACTCTAGGTCTTGCACAAATGTATAAAAGCATATTCTAATATGCTACTGCCACTTTTAAACCATGATTATCTAATTACTGTCCAGTTCAGTGTTCTCCTGGCCATTTTTACAACACCACAACTCACCGATGTATTCGCTGTGCGATTGGGACATACCAGCCTGAGTTTGGACAAAATTACTGCATTTCCTGCCCTGGAAACACCACTACTGATTTTGATGGGTCAACAAACATAACACAGTGCAAAAGTAAGTACAGCAAGATGGTTTTGATGCTCTCTTACAAATAAAAAGACTGGGGCATTAATGTTTGGAGTGACCTTAAGGGCAGCTTTGCTCCAGGGAGCTGGAGAGAAGGCAGAGCTTGCTCCTCTTTGGCTGCCTGCATCTCACCCCACATGGCTCACTGGGGTCTGTGAGACACCGCTTCTGCAGACTGGCTCCATCAGCCTTGTCAAGGTAAGGGATGACTGTGTTCTGCCAGTTGGTGCTGGATTACTCAGAGGTCTTGCTATTAAATCTTTTCTCTCTTGATAGAGCAGAGTTTGTGTCCTCAGCACCCTGATTTGTTCCTTCCTGTTAAGAGGAATGGAAGCTGGCTCACAAAGCTTAATAGCTCTAGTAACCATTTCTTGTTAATAACAACTTTTGAAAGAGTCCATTACAAAGGGAGCCACTGGATTTACAGTAGCTGAGGGCAAATTAAAGAGGCAGAATGGAGGGCAGAGAGGTGACTGCTCAGAACGACCTCTGGAGTGCCTACACACACACAGACACATGCAAACACATCCACACAGGAATGTCAGAGGCTGGCAAAGAGAGCTGTACCTGCAGCAAAAAGGAAAATGGGTGTCTGTCTCCCGTGCAGGAGGGCTGTAGGGTGACCTCTCTTTGCCTTGTCCTGCATAGTGTGCTCCTTTTCCAGACAGGCAGTGTGGAGGGGAGCTGGGAGATTACACTGGATATATTGAATCTCCCAACTACCCTGGGGACTACCCTGCAAACACCGAGTGCACTTGGAACATCAACCCACCGCCCAAGCGCCGCATCCTGATCGTGGTCCCAGAAATATTCCTGCCCATCGAAGACGAGTGTGGAGACTACCTGGTGATGAGAAAAAGCTGTGAGTCTGAAACACCCACTGGGGCACAGCTCAGGGGGAAACACAGGGTTCTCACAGGTGTTGCTGTTTGCAGAAACTAATGTAGCCTGCCTGGCATCTATTTAAGAGCAGAAAATTCTTTAATGGCAAAAGAAGTCCTATTTGGCAATGCTGCCCCATAGTTTTCAGTGAAATTCAGAGGGTGCAAGGCCATGATGTGCCAGTCAACTGAGAGAAATATTGTTAAGAAGGGGTAGATGGTTCAAACTAACCAGTCATGCGTTATGCTAAGCAGTTCTAGGCTGGGTTAGGAAAGAGGAAATGCTTGCTAATCCTTACAGGTGCCTGATGTGTGGGTAAACAACCTCAGTTTCTAGTGTAGGCACGTCCTTCCAACAGTAGACTGTTATTTTAGGAAAAAGGAAAATATTCTCTCACCAAGAAGTCCCTCATTGATGGCCTGCCATCCACTGATGGCCTGCCACATTTTGGGGAGTTTTCCTAACACCAGCAAGCATTTTTCTTGTGGTAACAGAGAAAACAGCTCTGACAGCTCTTGAGTGGGAAGCATTGTCACACAGCTGCCTGTTGTGTGTTTGCTTTGAAAGCCTCTTCCAACTCGGTGACCACGTACGAGACCTGCCAGACCTACGAGCGCCCCATAGCTTTCACTTCCAGGTCCAAGAAACTGTGGATCCAGTTCAAGTCCAATGAGGGGAACAGTGCCAAAGGATTCCAAGTTCCTTATGTAACCTACGATGGTAAGTGGGAGTGAGCAGCTGGGCTGATGTGGGCTGCTGCAGCTGCAGCAGTGCAGAGCTCCCCTCCCTAAGCAGCAGGGCAGCCCAGTGCTCCCAGCAGTGTCACCAGGAGCTGCTTCCAGGAGCTGTTCCATTGAAACTTAGTCTAAGGAATTCTGCAGTGCACTGCAGTCTTTTGAGTGCCACCGTGTCTTCCAAACAAAAAGCTGGGGTTCTGGGCTCTGGCCTGCAAACTACAGAGCTCAGACATGGAATTTAAGTTTCATGCACTTCTGTGCGTTTCCATTTTCTCTGGGTGGCCCCAGTTAGGAATAAGGTAGAGCCAAAGTACCTGTGTTTTATGGTGTTCCTGCTACCATTTGTGGCCTAGAATCAAATGGCAAAATATCTATATTGGAAAGAAGCTTGAGGGGAAAGATTTTCACCTCACCCTTGTCAGAATCACGAGGTGTGAAAGTGGAGCTGAGGATTTGCACTTCAGCATAAGTGAAGTGATATTGTATGTTCTGCTCATGTTCTGGATTTATTGTGAGGGAGTCATCCTTGCTGTGGTCTGCAGAGTTTCACTAGTGGTGGAAAAGTAATTTTTCAGGGGATTTTTCTCCTTTTGAAGAACTTTAGGCTATGATTGAGCAGGGGGGTTACTTTTAAGAAAGCATCCTCTTACATAATTTTTTGTTCTTTCTTCCTGTAGAAAGAAGTCAGTAACAGGTTGTGGGTGTGTACAGATGGGTTCCTGCAGTTCAGCTGGTTTGAAGCAGGTTACTTGGTTACCACAGACACTCCAGTCTTGGGTGCTTTATTTTTTCCTTTGCTTTTTACAGATTGGTGCTGAGCAGCTCAGCAGAGTACACTGTTCTCATAATAAAAAGAGAAGTGTTAGGAATAATTTCTGGCTGCTTATATGAGGGGCAATGTTCTTCTGAGGGCAGGGCTTCCATGTGTAACCACGGGAGGTATTGAGTATGTAAGTGAAGTATGAAGTATGAAGCTGCAAATTACTCTTTTGTGCATTCCCCACAGAGGATTACCAAGAGCTAATAGAAGACATTGTTCGGGATGGCAGACTTTATGCATCTGAAAATCATCAAGAAATACTTAAGGTACATTCCTTCCACTAAACATGTTGGTTTTGATCGGAAATCATGTTATTTGCTGCAAGTGAGTTTGCTTCTTGCTCTGCATCAGGTCTGTTCCTTGGTGCACCAGACATGAGCTGCTTCAGGAAATGGGGAGAATCAGCAGATCCTGGTTGTGCAGAGCAGTGGATAGGGGACCCTTTGCTCAGGGGCACTCAAGGTGGATCAGAGCTACCAGGGAAACTAGTTTATTGGGAAAGCACTTGGTGCTGCTCCTTGTAGCCTGTAGATTAGCAAAAGCTTTTCCTCCCTGGGCAAAAGAAACTTCTTTGTGGATTTCTCCGACCTTGGTTAGGGGACTTCCATAGGCAAGTTGCGTGCATGCCTTTGTTTACTGGATATCAGCTCAAGTGTGGGTTCATTTTGTGGTTTGTTAGCTGTTCTTGGATGTATGAGGAGGGAAGAAATTCTGGAGCTGCTGATGTGGAACACCAGTGACTTCCCAGGAGCCTGAAAGTCAGCCTTGCTCTGCTACCTTTCCAAGCCCCTGAAACACTTGAAAAGTAAAATGCCCCATAATCTTTTTAGAGTTAGACAGGCATTGAACTTTGGTAATGCTGACCATAACTCCTCTGTGCAGCTGATGTAAAATCTGCTTCCCTTTTCCCAGGACAAGAAGCTGATAAAAGCACTGTTTGACGTGTTGGCACACCCACAGAACTACTTCAAGTACACAGCCCAAGAGTCCAGAGAGATGTTCCCAAGATCCTTCATTCGGCTGCTGCGCTCCAAAGTTTCCAGATTTTTGAGGCCTTACAAATAGTTGGCACTGAACTTAAAAGCTAAACCAGCCCTGGGCATGCACAGAGGGGCTGTGGTAGGTGGGGCTGCTCTCTGTGTTTTACACACTGGCAGAGGCACTCCAGGGAACCTTGCCAGCTCTGTTCTTGGTAGAGTTTGGCTTTCTCAGCTAATATAAATATTTTGGTGAACAGAATTTGGATTCCTTTCCAGATAATACCTTTTGGGTACCAAAGGATACCTCATGGGTCCCTGAATTGGAGACTGCCCATGATTTCTGTAACTGAAGGGCGCCAAGCAGAAGTTTGTAGAGCTCTGCCCCGTTGCTTCATCAGCACCTGTAAAAGCTCATGAGGACAGACAGGCTAAGCAGTGTGGTTTGGGATGAACCCTGGGCTGCCATTAATGCATGTTACCTCAACAAAGCTGGGTTCATGTTGGGTCTCGCTGAAAGTGAGAGCAGGATTGATGACTCTCTTAATATGTGCTACACAGGAAATTCAGAGCTAAGATTGACATAGTTTTAGTTCAAACTAGTGAGGCCAAGAACTGCACAAGGTGCACTTTTTCTCTGAACTACACATGGCATGAAGCAAAGGGTTGAATATCAGCTTGGATGTTCAGGGTCTGGCTCACACAGTGTCCATGGAAGTGACCTATTGGCTTACATGGAGTGATACCAGAATAAACCGTGGGCACCACAGCAGTGGGAAACAGGCCCTGACCCACTGGACATTTCCATTTTGGGCTGTCTGCAGCTGCTAGAGCAGATCAGATTATTTCCTAAATCCCAGTGCTGTCCCCATGCATAGGCTTGGGACAGCAAAAGGCATTTTCCAAGTTGTGTAAAATTCTGCCCTCTGAGCACCTGCAGGTGGACACAGAAACCCGATTTTAACTGCAGGCTTTGCATAGATGATGCTCTTGGTACAACACTGTTTAAAGCTGAATAAGGTTATTGTATGAGCCCCAGCTGTCATATTCTCTACCTTTTCTGAGCACCTTGCAATAGTCTTGTGGAGCAGAGAAGAGCTGGTTTCCCTGTCTGGCTGGAGAGAAGGAGAGGTACAATTCAGCCAGACTGTGGCCACAAAAGTTGTCTATGGCAAATTGTTCCTCAGGGTTCCCAGGCTGTGTCCTTCTCCTCAGGCTGTGTTTCCTACTGGAGACAAGGCTATTCTGAGAGGGCCTGTGGGGAAACCTGTGCTGATCAAAATGTTGTCTCAGTGCTATTCTGCCCACACCTACATCTCCTCTGGCCATACAATCCATTCTCCCTGAGCATTGTACCTTGAGGACCTCCTGCCTTGAAGGGAGATAGCCACAGTCCCATCCATTTGGAAATGGACTTAGGACTTCCATCCTTTGGTCACTGGCCATGCCAAGGGGTGCAGTGGGCACCAAACTCCCTCTGTGCCATCTTAGGAGCAGTACTTACATTTCACAGGGTAGCCAGGAGCAGTGCTCCCTTTCCCAGGGTGTGGAGTCACACCTGCTGGGTTTCACTGCCTTGGCACGGGGTATTTAACTGCTGTGTGTGAATAACACCAGGTCCACAGTGTGACAGCAGGAGCTGGGCTCTGAATCTCTGAGCAAGTGGCTGCTCCCGACTCAGCCTTGCTGAGCTGCTGTGCCACGCTGCGTGTGGGGCAAGGACACATCTTGGCCATGGTGTGACAGGGAGGGACAATGGCTTTGGCCACAGCTGGGGAGCAGATCCCCTCAGGATGGGGCTGCGGGGTGCTGTGCCCCTCTTGCTGCTGGGGAGGAGTTGCCTCAGCCTGGCCAGAGGTGGGAATTGGTTTGCGCTGCTGCCAGGAGGGAGAGCTGTGTCTCCCTACTGCACTGGGGCATGGCTGGGCAGGGCAGTGTGTTGCCCACCCCAGGAACAGGGCTGCTGCGGGAGCAGCGAGGCACAGGGAGAGCTGGCAGGGCAGAGGGGAAGGAACACAGCTCCTCATGTGTTCCTGCAGCTGTGCTGCATCCCAAACAGCAGGGTCCTGCTGCTGCCTCTGCGGGAGACAGGGACACCTGGCAGAGGGACCTGGCAGTGTGACTGGGCAGGGGAATGCCTGAGGAATGCCAGAACAGGAGGAGGGGTGGTGAGAGGCTTTGCTGCATCCCAGCTGGAGTGTGCTGTTGTGCAGAGAGCCAGGAAGGCATTCCCAGATGGTTTCCCTTCAGCTGCATGGCCCCTAGCCCACGCTGTTGGAGGCTTCCCATGCCAGAAGCAGCGAGCCAGCAGCCACCTCTGTGTGGCACTGGAGCACTCTGGAGTGGCCAGGGTGCTGCAGTCCTGCTCGGAGGTGGGCACTGTGGGCAGAGGCCATGGTGTGCCAGGCTCTGGGCCAAGCCCAGCGGAGGGGCTTTGCTGTGGGCTGCATGCTGGCTGCCAGGGAAAGCAGGGCAGTTCTTGGAGTGCTCCCTGCCAGGGAGGCTGCAGGTCTGAACAGCTCTGCTCTGTGGGGCTGAGGGACACACAGCAGTGGTTGGTTTCAACCAGGGCTCGAGGAAGACAAAGTTGTGAAACATCCCAGTGTTTCTAATGGGTGAAACTGGGCTGTGCTGCTCTGTAGGTGAGTTACTGATCCGTGCTCTGGGTTTGTCACACTGCATCTCCTCTCCTAGTCCTGCTGTGCCAGCTCTGCACAGCTGCCTGGGACCCACAGGGATGCCAGCCTTGCTTCTCCTGCCCCACGAGCACAGGCCATTTTCATTGCTGGGAGGAGAGGAGTGTGCCTGCTCTGAGGCTGAGGAGACAGCCTGCCCTTTCTCAGAGGAGAATCCTCATTGTTCCACAGCCCTGCTCGTTTCCTACTTACATAGCAAATGACTCAGAAGCACTTCTGTTACCCTTGATGTGACATTATGGATCAAAATTTCCCCTTTTGCTGTAATTGCTGTGTGTACAGTAAAAAGTGAAGAGGGAATTTTTGCTGCCTTGAATGCTGGGAGGAGTGATAACTCACAGAATGTTGTAAACACTTGGCATTGTATCTTCATAGTGATGGTAGTGGCTCTGTAGAAATTTCAATTTCTACTTTCTGTGTGGTTGTAGACTGATGATGTGTTTTGGCAACAAATGACTCAACAATGTTTAACCTTATAAAACAAGATGGAATTTTTGGAATAATGATTAGCGCTAACTGGATGACTCAGTGTCACCTGTGTGAGATAAACATAAGGATCTTTTTGATGATTGTAAATTAATGTAAAATGTTTCAGACTGTTACTCTTGATAAGAGAAATAAACCAGTGAACTTTTAGCTGCATTAATTTCTTGGGTAATATTTTTAGTTATCTTTCTGTGCTAAATAATAGTTCTGACAAATTTAATGGTTGTTTAACAAGTTATTGCACATCAGATACACTTTATCCTGGGAACATCTGCTTACCACAGCATTCTGTTTCATGGAATACATTACTGCCTGCATCTATACACATAAAGACACAATTCTTCATGTATTTAATGGTGCACATAATTCTGGCCAGTAAAATACCAGAACTATCCTGGTATTAAATCTAAAAACTATTCTAAAAATGTCTCCTATGTGATGAGCTGGAGTCAGTTCGCCTGTTGTAACAAGCTGCATGAAGATAGGATAAACAACTTAAAGTAACTCCAAAGTGTTTTATTGATTTGTAGATTCATCTGATTATTTTTCCTAAAAAACAAAACCAAAAAAAAACCCTCACAAAACCAAAAAAACCCACACAAACAAAAAAACCCCACACAAACAAAAAAAACCCCAACCCCAAACCGCATGGTTTAAAATGAAAAATAATTTAAAAAACTCCAAACCAAGGAAAACAAGGTGAAAGCCTGTTAAGACACAAGTTCCTAGAATGCTTTTAAGATTATACCACAGTGTCGTTAAATTCACTGGCTAATTTCTTAGAATTGAAAAGTAGAATTAGGTCATAGAAAATTGAAAATAAGTCAATCTATAATAATTTTCAATACTGTTTTTTTCTTTTGTTTTCTTATTTTTAAATATTATGTTCAGATTTTTAGGTTTAGTCAGTCTATCAAACTTTTATAAAAGTAATCCCAATATCTTCTCCTGAATTTATTCAACTGCCTGTTTGACCCTTTGCTTCCTTTGATCACAGTGACAAGAACTGATTTGTATTTCACTGAATGTGTCCACCCAGGCTCATTTGGTGTGGTTTTGGAAGACACAGCTGTGCCATTCAGCTGTTTGCTGTGGAAAGGTGATGGTTTATGTGGCAAGGAGTAAATGACATGCAGGAGTATAGAGGTCCTGGAAGAGTATGGTGGCTGCAGGCTGATCACAGCAGAAAACTCTGTTATCCAAATATTCTCCCTGGTTCTGGGAATGCTGCCTGTGCTGGACTGCAGTGATGGACACGAGTGCTCAGACAGCCCCTGGGACAGGGAATGTCAGTATGAGCTATCCTGGGAACTCCTGGAATTCTGACTGGGACCTTGTGGTGTTCACATAACAAAAATAATTAATAGGGGAATGTGGAGAGCAAGACTTGAAGCTTCTTTAAATCCAAGGAACCAGAGGAGGTCTGGTGTGGGTAAGCAGGAAAGAACAGCATTATGATAATCCTTTGTGACAGAATGCTGCAAGGATAGTGGTCCACAAATATTTCTGAATTAAACAAGCTGAATGCAAGTGCCTTTCCTCTCATGCATATAGATGGCATCCTGTAAATGCAATAGATGTGGACTGCAAAACCTGTCACAACAAAAATGTCAACTCTTCCACTCCTCCTTTGGATGCTGCTCCACCCAAACCAGCAGTGCTTGTGCCAGGCTGCTGCTGGAGGAGACAAACAAGTGCTTTTTAAGGAACTGGAGCCAAACTCAGGTTTGTTTCTGGGGATCCATGGAGGAAACCCATCCCACAGCACCTCTTGCTGCTGCCCATTTAATTTGAACAAATCTTTTGCTCACAGGCAGATTTTCCCTCTCCCTTGTGGAAGTCTGCTTTCCACAGCACACGATCTGCTGGGAATGTAGGGAACAGCCAGGAGCAGCGATGCAAATGGAGCACCTGAGGGGACAGCAGGAGGCAGAGAGCTCAAGGGACACATTCCACTCAGTAGGTAAGCCCATCTAATTTTTCTCTAAGTCAGAGCAAATCATATATGACATTCTTATGCTGCTCTTATTACATCACTTTAGGTGTTAAGGAAAGAAAAGAAAAAATGTATCCTTCTCTGTTTAAATATACATTAGTAGAGCTTTTTCTCTGATTTAAGCACATTTTGAAGAGTAAGTTTTCTGGATTCCATGAAGCAAAACCTGTTTAGTACACAGTGAGAAAAAAATAGCTACGAAAAGAAGACCGACCTTGAAATCTTTTTTTCTTATTGGAGAGGTGTTTAAATACAGAATTCATAAAGGAAACTCCCTCACACTGTCTAGATGCTAAACTTGATCTGATGCAGCCCAAGCCTTCTTTTTTTTTTTCCATTGGGAAATTTATTCAACAGGCAATGTAGGCTTACAAATCATATACCATGAAATCTCAGTTTTGTGATGATTCTGGAGATCATGAAATCAAGGGATCATAGATTTAAGGAAAGAAAAATTTACTTTGGAAGCAGAAATATTCTGAAGTAGTCACTTGAGGTGCAATTTGTTGTTTAGTAGTTTTTACTTCAGGTGTTGCCTGTTGTGCACACTGAAATACTTCTGTGCTGGACAAGTTTATGCCTGACAGGAGGAAGCCTCCTCCTCTGTGTCAAATCCAAGAGTGGCAGCTGTCACCTGTTGCAAAATGCCAGCTCACCTGGCTCCTGGAGGGGCTGCCCAAAGCAAAACCCAGCCACAGAAAGGGCAAAGGAGGGGATGATGATTTTTGTGATGTTTAAATTGGAAATGGAGGAAGCATTCCAGAGAAGTGGGAGTTCAGGATCTCTGTGTCCAGTGCACAAGCCTGTGTGTGACACAGCACTGCTCATGGATTTTGGGTGGCCCCAGTTTGCTGTTCCTGGTGCAGTGCTGGTGTGAGGGGCTGTGTGGAAAAGCTGAGACCATTTATTAAAAACAGGACGACAGAAAAGTGCTCGGGGGGCCTGTCTGGCTTACATAGCACAGCTATTGTGCCCTGGCTCCCGTAGGTGCTAATTCTCTCAGCAAACTTACAAAAATAAAACCCTGAAAAGGCTCATCCACTCTGAGAACAGCAACCTCATTCAGTGGGAGAGGGAAGCTTAGCCCTAGGAAGGGAGTGCTCCACACTGCAGGCATTGCTGTCTTCCCCTGGGCTGTGCAGAAAGCCCTGCAGCCAGTGCCCGTGTGTGAGAGGGATGCAGCAGTGCTGGAATGAACACATTCCAAATGCCTGTCCCAGCTCTGTGCAGGACACAAGTCCAGTGTGACCATTTGTCCGTGGAGTGGATAAAAGAGGCCCATCTATCCCAGCAGGATGTTTCCTTAGGCAGGACTGGAGAAGCCAAACCCCATGAAGAAGACAGTCTTCCTTAGGGATGCTCTGGCATAACTTCATGTGAAGTCCTCCCTCGGACACTTCTCAGGGTCTCTTCTTTCCTGGGCTGTCGGGAAGGGGCTCAGATAAGGAGGTTTTTGAGGGTCTGGGGAGCTGAGGCAGGGGGGCTGTGCCTCTCTGCGAGCTCCCTGCGGGGCTGTGCCCGGGCACCATCCGCAGGGATTCATTCCCACGAGAGGGCGGCATGTGGCCCCAGCAAAGGCAGATCCTGCTCCAATCCCTGCTGCAAACAGCCGGGGGGTTTGTGGGGCTGCTGCAGCAGCAGCCCTAAAGCAGAGTCGGCTGAAACTGGGGCTTCGGCAGCTCTTGGGCCTCCCCACGGCCTCTGATCAGTTGTTCTGGAGGGGATGGAGTGATTCATAAATGACCTTGTACTTTGAGTTAATCTGTTTTTTACAAGATGCAAATATGGGGCCAAGAGGGACCCGTGCTGCTGGGCCAGGTGTTGCTGCCACTTCAGCTTGGAGTGAGAGGAGACCTTCTGAACTGAGTCTGACCACTGGTCAAGGCTGTTCCCTGTCTCTTCCAAATTACTGGTGAGGAAATGTGTGGGTGAAAGCTGTTGATTTCCAGGCAGAATAAACCTCGAAGGAAGCTGGAGGAAATGGGTTGTGAATGTGTAGCTTCAGTTGCTGTTTGCTTTGAGAACAGTGAGCCATCCTGGCACTCTGCCTGGCCCCATCACTCTGGTGACTCAGTCCTCACAGGTGTCAATAATGGACTTTGAACGTTTGTCTTTGCAAATGAAATTGTGTGTGTAGTAGTCAGCTACTGATTCCCTGCATCATTTGGTTGCTCAGCTTGATCACAGTTTGACTCCTGTCGGTGGCTGGATAGATGATCCTGCAGGAATTGATCCCCAAGGCAGGGCAGAAACACCTCCAAGTGCCATGTGCCTCATCATTCCTGCCCACAGTGCTCCTGCTCTCCTGGGGCAGCTGCCTTCCCTTTGGGGAAGCTCACAGTGTGAGCTCCAGTGTCCCTCAGCTGCCTAGACTTGAAGGTGGAGGCATTTAACCAAATCACAACATGGCAAACACAACCTCTGTGTTAGCAGAGCCGCATTGAAGCCCTGTTGATGATTTTGTACGTGAGCAAATATTAGCCCTGAGTATCCAGTAACATTTCTGACTGACTCCCACCCGGCAGGAGCTGCTGCAGCCCTGCATGGGCTGTGGCAGGAGGGCACAACGGGAGCTCACTTGTGCTTGAGAGCCCTGGAGGCTTGACTTCATAAAATAAACATAAGGGCTCCACAGAGGTGAGAGATCCTGTGTTTGACTAACACTGTGGTGACCCTCCCTCTAATGCTGATGGAAATAATATTTTTATCTTAAATGGGTACTGCAAATATCTTAGGTTCAGATTTGGATTTATCTCAAAGTTCCAAAAGAAAGGTGTTTTGATGCTTTTGAAGAACTTAGCATTTGAATATTTAAAACTCCAAAATTTATGTATCTTTAGCTTATAGCATTCAAACCCTGAGTTCACTGAATATTAGTCTGTTGTGAAACCAGATCAGTTTCAGACTTCATATACAAAACAAGCTACCCCCTTCTCTTCTCCTCTGCAGGAAAGGTGCAAAGCTGTCCTAGATCCGAGCTCCATAAGAAGGTGGAAATATTTGTCAAATGAAATCCTTCTATGAATACTCCTTTAACTGGTAGTGGCAGGAAAGGTTCACAGTCAGTCTTTTAAAGAGCATAGTAAGAATGTTGTTCCTTGGTGAATCCCACGTTGACATGAGTTGAAATAAGCACCTGTTCTCAGGG